AGGACATTTCGTGTAGATTGCCAAGCGGCTTTCCACAGGCTAAATCATGGTTAGCATCAGAACACCAGTAAAGAATGCAGTTACTTACAGAGGAGATAGGCAGCTTTCCTGAAATACAAGGCTGCGGTATCAAGCTCGGACATGGCCACATAAAGGCGACCCTTAACATAAGTTGACCAGGATGTGCTTACTTGGAAGCGCAGGAAATCCCAGGCCAAGTCGATGTTACCCTTGGCTATCAGGTCACATTGTATGTAAACCAAGGCATTGGGGTAGGCCACCTGGCCTGGGCGAGTCACCCAGGATAGCACATCTCGAATCCCGAGAGTAAGCGTGTAGCTCTGGGGAACGCCAATGGCCTGGCGGGGTTTAATATCCGTCGCAAACAAATCCTCCAAGACAGTCACGACTCTCCTATCCTTGGCGTTTGGAGGTGGAGTGGTTAAAGAAAACGAAGGCGTTGACGAATCCTCTGTTGTCATTTCGGGTCTAACAGATGCCTTCCGCGTATTTGAGCTCAGCCACGACATCATCTTATACTCTCGAAGCAGAGTAACTATCTCAACGAACAGTTCAACTGCATCGAAGGTAGAGCCATCTTCTTGTTGCACCTCACCATCAACAAACACAACAAGTACCAAGAGATCAATGAGAATTTTCTTCGTAAACAGAATCGTCTCCTGGACGCCATTCACGGTGACCTTCACTCCGAAATGTGTGGGGAGGAGGTCAGAGTCTTTTCCGGGGAACCCAAGCGGAATGGTCTCCAGTATCTTGAAGAATATTTCGCTGGATAACATGTAAATGTTCAGCCTCTGATTCATCTCGGCGATCAAGTCGTCATAGGTCTGGTTGGAAATCTGCTCCGAAAAGTCGCACCGGTCACGGAAAGCATCCATCCTATCCTGAACAGACGATGAAGGTTCTGCAAAGATCTCAGCATCGATAGCGCCTGCGCAGGTCGCATCAAGATCGGCCGAGAATCTCTTTCTGAAGTCGGATGCAACTGTAATCAAGTGAGATGCTTCTTCAAACAGGTCCCCAAGCTCCGAGTCCAGATTCCGGTGCCTCCAGCGGTCCGCGACCTTGGGCCCATCCTCTCGAAGCACAGGCCCTGGGTTATGCAAGAGAAGTTCTGTTGAGCTGCATTCCCGGACTACTGCACAACTATCCGTAAGAAGCAGCCAGGGAGTTTCGTAGTACGAGTCGTAGGCGAGACTGACGGGTTCAAATCTCTTCTTATTGAGATCGTCTACAACCTGCCAAAACTGTCGCCACTTGGAGTCTGCATCAGTGCGGTATCGTGGGAAATCCATCTCATCATCTTCGAATTTTCGGAGAGACACTGTAGCTGCAACGGTAGAGCAAAGTCGTTCTGAGAGTGGGGTGCTCTTCTTCAATGAGCTTGACCAAGACAGCGGCTTGAGGGCTTCCTGGTAAATTGCTAAAGCGGTTTCGAGGACCTCCGGTGAGTACCTATTCGGCTGTAGGAGATACTCTAGCCACCTCTCTGTCGGGTCAACGACATCGGATAATGCTGGCCGCGGTGAAGGCTCGTGTCTGCGACTATCTGACGTTGCAGAGGTCCAATTGCTCTCCCAATCCGAAACTAGAGATTCCAAGTTGAAATGAAGAGTGTATAGTCGGTAGAGGCCGCTGTTCCTCCACAAAATCCACAGCTCCATGCGCTTCCCTTCTTCAGCCGGCTTGACCTCGAAATCAGCAATACTCCAGAACATATTTCCGCTCGAGTCGGGGTCCAAGGGCCTCAGTGTATCTTCGGGGAAAAGATCTTCAATCTCCAAAGGCGTGGTGAGCCCGCCTTTAACAGCCCAGAACTTGAAGCATCCATCTTCAAAGGGCGAGTACGTCACGACGTAATAGCGGTATCCTCCATCCAAAGCTCTTTCGACGTTGAATACGCGGATGAACGACGATTCGGATGGGTTCAACGAGTACGATAGGGCTTCGGGCTGTTGTATCTCACGACCAAGTAGATCTTTTGTCGCTACCAACTTGTTCGTAGCCAGGTTCCAAATCTTCAGCGTGTGGTTCAGACAGGCTGCAAAAACATACGTCTGGTCGGATGTCGTGGCGATCGCGTTCGCTACGCTCGCATCGAGTGTGCGACCGCCGTATTTAATAGAAGTCTGGGCATTCCACCTAACCCACCCGCGAAGTGAAGCACCCCAGGTTCTCTCGTCAAGCGTAAGGGGAGACCAACTCGAACCTTGAAAGAGCAATATGTTAGCTACCTAGATCTGCGCGAATATAAACCACAGAATACAGCACATACCATCATTACCGGCCTTTCGGGTCAAGCGCAGGAGCGCGCCGTTGTCCAAGGAAATGAAGAGCTCCAGCGGGCTACTCGCGTGCAATCGATGCGGGTGTGAAAAGGCCAGAGGTGCCGGAACATAGGATTTGCACCAATCCGAGATATTTTCATCAATTGACGCCGCTCTCCTAAAGAACTCGGGGCGCAGGGCCAGGGTGTGCAACTCCTTGGAGGCTGTGATCACAAACACATTCAGCACTTCATGGTCTTCCAAATCTGCGATAGCAACACCTGACGGCAGAATCTCTTCCTGGAAGTCCAATCGCAAAGTAACATTATACTCGTGGTTGTCAGTGCCGCTTTTGGTCAGATCCACGCAATGGATCTCCAAAACCTTGCTGTCGTTGACAACCCTCCAGAGAAACGCTCGCGGGTAGACGTTGCGTTTGCGGAAATACACAGATCCTTGTGTCGCGACATATCGTCTTGAAAACTCATCTTCGTCTTTCGCAACATGTTCATCAACGCCGGTGAGCGAGGAAATCGAGAATCGGGTACGGCTTTGTGAGCTTGTTTGTGTTGGAATCGGTATGTTGACGATGGTGTTCGGCGAGTACGGCCGGAGATCGACCTGCGTATCTTGGTAAATTTTCGCCATAGCGAATTGGCAACAGACCTCCTTCCTCTATATTCAAGTTTCGATTCAAGTTTCCATCGTCGGGGGTGCGGAAACGAGTGGTTGGCAACCCGACGCAGTTGAAAGGCAAAGCTGGGTTGAAGCTCTTCCGCAACTCTGAAAAAACAAGGTCTTGGCGCCCAAACGCGCATCACCGCCTACACTATCAATCTACACAACTACATAGTACTGCAATACTATCACCCCGTTTGAACGATATCTAGAGTATAATGGATATTATTCTTTTTCTACTCTAATTATTGGTGTTTTCCATACTATGCAATCGTCATATTTCGAGGGAATAAAAATATGTACTGAATAAAGTGCGCCAGATACAATAAAGCACAGAAGGTATGAGTCAATGAATCAGTAAATCGTCGCATCATAAAGCAAATATCAAAAGCAATCACACTTTCAGCCTCAGTCATTCTCCAGGTCCTTCGGACTGGGGTCACCGATACCATCCTCGTTAATGGCAAAGAGACAATCACTCTCCGGAAGGCAAGGGCTGTCGTAAATCTTGCAGACTCTAGTCTCGCCTCTTCCCTTCTTCAAGCTCAGTCTTGTCGTACTTGCGTGCGCAATGATGTTTCCACCAATCGGCTTCTTCGGGTCGGGGTTGAACATCGCACTCGGTCCACCGTCAACCTGAGCAACAACCTGGTTTGTGATGACGACGGCGATACCGAACTCGTCAGCCAAACGCTGCAGGGTACGCATGAATTTAGCCAGATGTGTTTGGCGAGTCGACAGCTCACCACGGCCGTTGAAATCAGTTCGATACAGCGAGGTTGCAGAGTCGACAACCAAAAGTGAAAACCGCGTTTCGCACATCATCTGGGAGGCTTGGTTGAGCAGTTGCAGCTGGTGGTCTGAGTTATAGGCACGAGCATAAGCCACATTGTCTAAAACCTCCTCACCAACAAGGCCGAACCTCTGCGCAACAGCCAATAGACGAACTGGGCGGAAAGTTCCCTCGGTGTCAATATAGAGACATTTTCCCTCTCCGCCACCCATATCAAATGGCAGCTGGCACGTAACAGCCAGTGTATGGCAAATCTGACTCTTTCCCGTTCTGAACTCGCCAAATATCTCCGTGATTGATCCTGTCTCGATTCCACCTCCAAGAAGGGTATCTAGCTGCTTAGAACCAGTTGTGATTGAAATAAGTTCGCTTCGTCGAGCATGCATTTCCGTAGCCGTCGTGAATCCCATCGGGACGAGCTTCGCCGCTATCAACCGAGATCTTTTAGCTGGAATTCTGTAAAACAAAGGTTCCCATAGACAGACTTACCTTCGGTCAATATTTTGTTGGCTTTCTGCTCCGATACTCCCTTAATTGTTTCAAGCACACGCTTTGGACTACAATCGTGAGTGAATCATTCTCCGACAGCATAGGGATTGGAACGTACGTATATGCAACAGACTCAACAGTGTGAAGTCCGAAATCTACAAACAACTTGATATCCCGAGAAGTTAATCCCGACATTCCCTGCACGATACCAGTTAATTCACATCTATTAGACAGGATGATGAAATGGCCGAAGTTCTTACCTCCAGAGCTGACAGCGGAGTCGGAGCTCCAGGGCCTGGAAGTCCGCTCTCATCGTATTCATTTTGGCTCTCCATATCTGCTGTCATTTTGGATCAATCGCTCTTGACGTAAAAGGTCGTAGACTTTGGACAGGCTTGCCACGGCGACAAGATACGCGTTTTCGCTCGCGCCACGATATTTCTCAGAAGTTAGATCTCAATTTGCGAAAACTGGTTCTTCTATATAAGTTCCCTGTTGGCTGTTGGCTGTTCCTGCGTGACCGCTGTCGAAGGCGAAATTCGATTGCTGCTATGACAATTGTTTTTGTAATCCTCTCTGACTTGGAGTTGGGATGGGGACGCGTCGAGACCATCACGAGATCACGTGTCTCCAGGCACAGGCTGCTGCTGCCTGAGAAAACAACCATCAAATTCCATTTACTTTTCTTATACGAGTGATTCGCCCGTGGATGGATGAAAAATACAATAGCCGAATGAGACAACTCTTAAGTACAGGAATCCGGTATGGATCTTACTGTTTTAACCCATATCAAAGGATAACAATATCCTAGATATACAAGCATAACGCAACATTCACCCAAACGATCAACCTTGCTGTCCTTGAACTTCCATCTTTGGCCCTGTAACAACTGGCTGCTCAATAATGCTTTCCAAGGACGGTCTACCACTACTCTCATTTGATTCTTGATATATGGGCGTCAGTTGAAACCTTTCAGCTGGGCGTGGTGGTCCAGGCGGCAAGGTCTCGTCAAAGAGCTTGCTGAATCTGCGTCTGAAATCCTCGGACGATCCTCGACGACGCCCTGTAAAGCATAAGCAACGCTCTTTTTATGTCGACCAAATAATGGGAGGCGCCCTCATTGCCAGGTGTGTATACTCACCGTCACGCACAGACATTCTTTTGTATCCCACAATAGGCTTCATCCACGAGCTACGAGAAACGAACCACGGGCGAGAAAGAGGCCTCTCGTTCTCAGGTAACTTTGGTCCCTCGCGCTCACCGGCGCCCATTCCACCAATGTCGAGCTTTGGAGGCTGGGTCGAACGAAACGTGTCGATGTGAATACCTTCAAGTACACTCTCAGCATGGCTATCTGCGGTTCCCGAATTGCGGTACGAATCACCCCCAGTGGTAGAGCTGATGTCCAGCGTGTGAGGCGTCTGGGAACTGCTAGTCGTCGACTTATGTCTGAGCAGCGAACCCAGTATTGATGATCTCTTTTCCGCAACTGTTGGTGGCTTAGCAATGGACTGTCGCTTCATGGTCCAAATACCCTCGACTTCAATTCCTTTCTCCAGTGCTGTGGCACCGAATGGTATTTCGTTTGACTCGGACCCAACCTCACCCATTTCAGCCTTCTGCTCTGCTCGCTCATTTGCTTCTTTCGCGGCCTGTTTCCTCATCTTTCTCCGGTTGTACGTGAGAACGGTGAAGGAGTACACGAGTACGAGAAACTTGCTACGTCAGTAGTTTTATAGGTGCATATACACATCGCCTTACCAGAAGAAACGCAAGAGCCTATAAAATAATCAGTCACTATGCACTGTTAGTAGGTCGATGTACCTACAATGCTCAGTTTCTGCCACAGCGCCCAGCCCTTCCAGAATCCCATCTTGAGCTTTGAATTTCATACGTCCCAGAGGCCGAACGATGTAAATCTTCTCGGCTAGTCGAAGGCAAATTGAGCAACAGGGCGTTGTGTCGAGGAACTCAAGGCGTAGGTTGTGGAGTTGAGATCTTGTTACCCGTCCAGCGAGACTCTCCAGTAGGGAGATAATAGAGCAACGATATATATACCGTGCAGAGAATAAAAGCGAACGTAGCTGCAAGACGGTCTCATAATGCCTGACGAGGTGCTGAAGTGATGGTGGTGGACAATGTTGATACGGCAAGTGCGACTCGCACTCTTAAGGAAAACTATGCGCGACCAGCATCACGCCGGTGTTGGCGAAGACATACCAACTATTGAACGTAGAAGTGAAAAAAAAAAGAAAAGGAAAGGTAAATCCAACTAGACAAACTACTAGAAGTATAATTTAAATAACAAAAAGAAAAATAGAAAAGTAGTCGTTCAGCCAAACAGCCAGATTCCCTGTAACGCAACGGTGTAATCCAATGACGCCACCCCAGGGTGGAAGTGTCTCTGCAGAATTGCTTCCCTCAAGGGTCACTTCCATTGCTTAATGCCGTGTAGCGTTCGTGGATTACTCGCACGAGTACAATCGACAACCCCAGGATTCGTACTGGGCACCAGTCGACGCTGGCCAAGACCTTAGCAAGGTCACTGACTAACGGCTAACCTCCCACTCGACTATCCATGACAGATAACCAAAATTTGTCTTGTTATGATTTATGACCCACAATCTGGATTTTGTGAGACTTGTTGAAATTCCGCAACATTTAATTGAATTATTTACATTGCATGTCTTTCTTTGGAATTAAATTGTTGATGTTTAGTGTGAATACACCCCTTCGGTCGCATATCTTGGCGAAAATCCTACTAATATCCACGACGCTTACGGTACCGGTAAAGGTCATATATATATGTTGTGGTCGAGTAGATCAAGCCCAAAATACAACCGCGAATACAGGTTTGTTTTCTTATATATTTAAGAAACCACAAGAGGAAGTAATTTAAAACATCATACACGTAAATAGCAACATTAAGAATAAGAAAAGGGAATAAGTGATGTAAATCACTTGGGCCGGACGCAACGAATCTTCCCAAAGATCAGATACTCCCGCTGGCATTTAGCAGAGCAGCAGCCTCCATCCTGAAGGCAGGGCCGCATTGTGCGTCATCAGAGCAGCGAGGTTTACCTAAAGTATAGACACATTCTCATTGTTCTTACTTCCACCCATGCCCATCCTAAGAGCCGGGGCTGCAGTAGCTCATTTGGCAACAGAGACGAGAGCAAGAGCAACAAGGGTGATTTTGGAGCAGCAGTGCATTTTCGCAGTTCTGCCAGTAGCGACAAAGTCGAAACCAAGAGATAAAACTGTGTAGAGGCCAAAGTGGCAAGTCGCTGATACTGAGCGTGGAGTAGCTGTCAGGGGGAAGGCGCGGGAAGGAAGTTGCAGACTAGGGAAGAGATTCTCACAGCAGGAGGCGAGAGGACGGCCTTTTTGCGGTAGGAACATTAAGCTCCCATGGTGACCATGAAACTCAAACAGTGGGTCAAGTGCATACTGTGGCCAGTATGAGCAATGGAGAACCGCACCTACAGTTGGGTAATCTCACATCCAGAACTTTAGCAGGTTTGGAACCTAGCAGATGACCAAACTCTCAGTTGTCCAAAGGTTATCTAGCTCATTGCTGTTCATAGGCAAAGACGCCCTGATCGGTAGGGACACCTAGAATATCAGGACTGGGAAGTGAAAATTCTCCAGAACTCAAACTCGACTCAAGGGACCGAAGCCTCAGTTTCTATATAAGGGAACCGCATTGTAGCAAGGAATCACGGCCCGGCGATACAGAGGCCTGATTGTTGGAAATGTGAGTCAATACCTTCCAAGAACTGTAGCAGCAAAGTCCCGCGCCAGACATCCCGGAAGTACAAAAAGTTAAGCGCATATGAGATTAGGCCCGGGCCATGGAATCACATGCATATGTGGATGGAAACTTTGCGTGCATCAACCTTAGTGGCAGCGATTAGACTACGAGGTCCTTGGCCAGATATTGCCCTGAGTGCTGAAACTGTAATGTGTTGTATAGAATTTAAGGCACAACGCGTTATCCATGGGACGGCCCAGGAACGAAGTTCCGGAGGAAGGCAATCGGTTTCCAATGGTTGACTTGAGAAGTTCCTGACCAGGAGTTCTTAGATCTTCATGCCATAAGGCTGGAATCTCCACAGTTCGGGCGATGTCTGACATGAGCGCGAATTCAAACTGGCAGGGAAATGTTGCTGCGGGCGTTGTGGGCAACAGCTGCTTCGGGAAAGAGTTGGAAAATTCAGTTCCATCCATGAGAACCTTTCGCTGAAGCATGAAATTTAGCCGATCCTTTTAGAATTTATCCCCATACCCCCCGCCAATACCGGGCGATAATCTCGACAGCGATCGAACAGGGACTTTGACCCTCCATAACAGTCTATGACGTTGTTCCTCGGGCGCTAAATTTTCCAAGGCGATAGATCCCCATAAATCCACCACCAAACCACCGATCATGTGAGGCCCTGAACGTGGTACTCTATAGAAGATATTTCCCCTTGCATTGCCGTTCCATTTCCCCTGGCTTACCCATTATCAATTCATATTCTCCTTTCAACGCCAATCGTTTTGTGAACAGACGACCAAATGCCTCCGTTTCTCAACTTCCTGGGCCGAAAGCCTATCAACCCCAACGGCGGGGAAGCCGACCTTCACCCCGATACTCGACTCTCTGAAGACAGCCATCGCTCGACCCCGTTGAGCATCGGGAAAAGTCAAGAAACTGAGCCCCCCGAGTACAAACTCAGCGGTATGTACTAGTATCTATCTTACGACAAGAATATCCAGCTAACGACTGATTGATTAGTTGTCGATTGCAACGGTGCTTATCTTCCAGTATGTATAGTCGTCTATCGCTCGCGGCGTCTTTCAATTCATGGCTAGAGGGAATGCGCAAACTAATACTATAGTAGCCATCGCCACCAGAGAAAGAGAGTTTCTGGCGCAAGTCTGGAATGTCACGGTCGTCCTCGAACCACCGCAGTCTAGTCGACGAAAATGAGCCGTTCTCAATATCGCGCGAGTCCTTCGACTCCTACCGTCGCTCTTTTGTAAGTCTAACCTTCCGAATTCCCAAAAACTAAACAGAATCTAATACAAAATATCTATAGGACATCTCCGCGCGATCGCCCATAACCTACCCAGACGCCATGCCCTCGCGCACCTCCCTCGACTCGCGCTTCTCCCGCGTAACCTCCTCATCGGGACAGCGGCTAGGCGACCGACCAACACCTGAGTCAATGGAGGAAGACAACTTCGAGGACGTCGGCCTCAACGACGACGATGACGCAAAGCCCAAGAAGAGGGGCATTTTCTCCCGATTCGGCGACTTTTCAAACGACGCAGGAGGAATTAAGCAAGCATCACATATCGGATTTCACCTTCCACACCGGAAAAAGGGACCCCAAGCGCCGCCCAGTTCGGAGATGAGGCCCATCAAATCTGCAGTCGCTTCCGAGGTGTCAGAAGTGCGTGAGGGGTGATTGACTGATTGTGAGCGTCATCGTTGCCGATCACTGAATTCTAGACGCTAAGCGGTTTGCATGACTCGACGAATTGGCACTTGGGATTATGAATAAATCGGTGTTTTTGGAGCGATGTTTGCATTTTATATCTATACTGCAGCTGCGTTATGGAGCGGCTTTTCTTCCTCTTGGATGGTTGCTATAATTTTAATGGATGTCCTAGATTGCTTATATTGGTTTAAATCGAGAATATCAACGAGTTTGTGTGGTCTGATTTCCATAAGCCTAGCTAGAGTGAACAGTGCAAATATTTTCAGACCACAGTTCATAAATGCCGTCTAGTGCACCTATTCTTAGCTGTAGGAAGGTCAATTGGTCTCGAGCTAGAGATGGTAAGCATCATATACAATGAAAGGATCGAAAATACCTTTAGTCGGGCTTCTTAAATATCCAAAACCCGCTTTTCCGTTTTCCTTCGGCGCATTGGTAAAGTGGCCTGTCCTGTGTCGTTTCCGTTGAATGTCATATTCATGGGCCTCGCAATCTCCCTATTAACATGAAACCCTGGATTCCAATACTAAGCATGGGCTATCCCAATCAAGAAAGCGTATCTGAGGACCTAGCCTCCTGGTGCCAAGGTCTGTTGACCGTCTTGCAGAACGCCGTACCTACAAGCCATCCCAATCTTGATCGGCCTTATGGATTCTTTCCAGAGATTGGCAGCCTCGGGAAATAAAGAGTAAAGAGAGAGGAACCTTTGAAGCTTGACTCTTCGCTCGAGAATAGATGTATATACACCATTTCATGTGACTAAATGCCGTAGACATACATGCTCTCAGGATTTATTTCCTAGAATCTTTTACATACGGCTCACTTACTTCCCGGGTTAGAGGTGTTTAAGAAAGGACGGGTTGGCCATAGTAAGTGTTCTGTTAACAGCATAGAACCTGATTAGACAAAACTATAAAAAAAATGCTTACCTAACAATCTTATCGTTGCGGCGCAAACAGTGCAAACACGGGGACTCCGACCGCCTGAGAAATTATCGGCAGTAAAAAAAAAGTCGGCAAGATCCATGCGGTTCTGTTCGAGCTGCATAAGACTCTACTTTGCTTAATCGAAACTAATTTTCGCTATGGTTGGAGTAAAACGCCGCGTCGATACTGGTGATGACCGCAATGGGAAGCGGACGAAGACGAAGACCGCTGTTTCAACGAAAAGCAAATCGCTGCCAGTCAAGACGCAGAAGGATTCGAAGACTGTGAAGTCCGGAAAGAAAGACAAGAAGGTCTCTAAGAAAAAGCCTGTTGAGGAAGAGGAGGATGATTTCTCCGACGAAGACGACGACTTCGACGTCGATAATGTTTCAGATTCCGAGATTGAGGACGGAGACGATGCCGAAGACGATGTTGAAATGGACGATATCGATGCGGAAGACGACGATGAAGAGGACGAAGACGTAGAAGTCAAGGACAAGAAGAAATTAAGCTCAAAGTCTCAGGAGAGTGAGGAGGCGAAGAGTATGTTGTTGTCCTTTCATCATACTCACTTTACTCTTGCTAATTGCACTAGATAAAACTTCCTCCCGTGAGTCGCATATCAAACAGAAAGCCCTGCAGCAAGAGCGCAAAGCCGCAAAGCCCAATGCCGATCAGATCGCCCGGTCGAAGAAACTGTGGGAGCGCCTGCGACGCAAGTCGCACGTTCCTCTGGAGGAGAGGAAGAAGCTTATTGCGGAGCTTTTCGACATAATAACCGGCAGAGTCAAGGATTTCGTTTTCAAGCACGACTCTGTTCGTGTTATCCAAACGGCGCTGAAATATGCAAATGTTGAGCAACGTAAGCAGATCGCCCGGGAACTTAAGGGCAGCTACGTTGAACTGGCACAAAGCAAATATGCCAAATTCTTGATTGGAAAGTTGATCGTACACTGCGATTCTGAAATACGGGACTTGATTATCGCCGAGTTCTACGGCAAAGTAAAACGCTTGATCCGCCACCCCGAGGGCTCCTGGATCCTTGATGACATCTACCGGACGGTAGCAACACAGGAGCAGCAAGCCAACCTTCTTAGGGAGTGGTACGGCGCCGAGTTCGCCATCTTCAGAGACAACAGCAACAAGACACCCACCGCTGATCTTTCTAAAATCATCGAAGACGAGCCTGCGAAGCGATCACCCATTATGCATTTCCTTCTCGAGCTCATCAACCAGCTCATCCAGAAAAAGACCACCGGATTCACGATGCTCCACGACGCAATGCTTCAATACTTCCTCACCGTGAAGCCCGGCACTGCCGAAGCCAACGAGTTCATTGAGCTTATCAAGGGCGACGAGGAAGGCGACCTCGTCAAGAACCTCGCGTTCACCAAGTCCGGCGCCCGCCTCATGTGCCTCGCCCTCGCATACTCCAACGCAAAGGACCGCAAACAACTCACCCGCTTCTACAAAGACACCATTAAGATGATGGCCGGCGATCTTCACGGCCATCTCGTCATCCTAGCCGCGTACGAAGTCATCGACGACACAAAGCTCACCTCCAAGCTCATCTTCCCTGAACTCCTCAACCAGAACATCTCAGACGAGGAAGCCCGCAACGAAGAACTTCTCTACCAATCCACGGACCTCACAGCCCGCATTCCCATCCTATACCCCTTCGCTAGCAACAACAAGCTCAAGTGGCTCCTCCCCGAGGGCGACAACGCCGTCCTTGACGAGATCCGCGAAATCCGCAAAGAAACGTCAAAGAAGGACCCTTCCGTCCGTCGCCAGGAGCTCGTTAAAGCTGCATCCCCGACCATCCTTGACTTCATCACCGCCCGTGCAGACGCGCTCCTTGAAACTAGCTTCGGCTGCCAGTTCCTTGCGGAGGTTCTCTTTGACGCTGACCCTTCGGACGGCAAGAAGGACGCTGCGCTGGCTGCTGTCGCTGAAGCCGCCAAGTCCCGCTCCGACACAAAGGATTCACCATTCGTTGGACGCATGCTTAAGTCCCTTGTCCAGGGCGGACGGTTTAACAGCGCTGAGAAGAAGGTGGAGAAGGTCTCGCCGCCGCTGAACTTCCACGGACTGCTGTATGAGCAGATCGGCAAGGAAGTGATGGCGTGGGCGACGGGGTCGAATGTGTATGTTATCGTTGCGTTGACAGAGTCAGATGATTTTGAGAAGAAGAGTGAGCTCCTGAAGGCACTGAAGAAGGGGAAGAAGGCGCTGGAGCAGGCGTCGAAGACCGAGAAGGGGCCTGCCAGTAGTGGAGCGAAGCTGCTGCTAGAGAAGATTGCGTAGGAGTTATATCCAATCCATATTTAGATTTATTCCCTAGTTATTGTACAGAAAAGCATATTTCTTCATCTTCATCCTTTCCCATTTCTTTTTGAAACTAGTAACGAGATCAATTCAGGCCAGCCGACTGAGACCATCTAACTCATATACAGAGTAAACCAGGGTATCCATATTAATTAGAGTATTTACACATCCATCCCAATCCAGCGGAAAATAATCTATACAAAACCCAAGCACGACAACTGCAAGTTCTCTAGCCACTGAAAGCCATGACGCGTCATCAATGTCGTTGTCACAAGTAACGAGTAGTTATTATATACTCCATCCAAACGCAACCAACCGAGACCTCTCCAACGAGGTGAATAAGAAGAACCAGGAGAAGCAGATACAAAAATTAATCAAATTCATGCGCCCCCGATATTTCCGGAGCCAGAACCCTCTGGAGACGAAACCTGTTCTAACACAACGGCATAGAACTTGCCCGTCCCGCCAACGCCGCCGGGTGAGCCCACGCCCAATGTCGGGTCGTTATACGGCCCCGCCGCTACAATTGCCCTGTGCATCCCATATTAGCATACCGACCGACCATTAATCTATAGCAGAAAGAAAAATAAGAAAAAACAAGAAAAGAGCGAGCCAAATAAAATTCCATTTGGCAAGTCGCCACGAAATTATAAAGGGAATAAAAAGAATGACGGATGAGTAGTACATACCACCCCTTATACTTCACGCCGTTAAAAATCTCCGTAAAAGCTGTGATCACCCGCAAAGGCAGGTTCAGTAGGCTCCCTACCCCTAAACCCTCGGGCAATGAGCCCGGGCCGTGTACGGGCAGGCCGAGTTTGTTGACTGGGATGTACTGGAACTGTGCATGGCCTTGCTGATATTGGATTCCGTGGGCTGCTGGGCTTGGGGTGAGTGGGTTGGTGGGGGATTGGAGGGGCGTTTCTTGGAAAATGAGAAGGCGGCGGTTTGTCATTTTTAAATGAATCTCGAATATTGAGCACCTGCAGCTAACGTAGAGGAAAGGTGATATAGATAGATGCAGACAAAGGATGTAGTGGAGAATGAAGTTCAACTGTCGACCGAGTAAGAGTGAGGATGATTGATATGATTCGGTTTTTCCTGATTGGGAAGGGAAATCGCGTGGCGCGTCGACCACGTGTTGTGGCGGTTTTAACGCCGTTTTATATCCATCTACCTACAATATAGAGAATATTATGCCCAGGGGTATTTGGTAGCGCAAATTAAGTAAATTGAATATATATACACACTTATACAAAATAGGGTATCACAATCAAACCTCCGACAATTAGAATTATATTTAAGAAATGTGCATCAGTCAAGCTCTCCATCAAGCACCCGTCTTGCGGCCTCCAAGCGCCGTCTGAGCAACTTCGCCTGCTTTTCGTCATATTCGGGGGACGTCGTAAGTTCCTGAAGTTCCATACAAACGTCGCCTAGACTCTTAAAGAGCTCCTCGAGGAGCCGTGTGTCATTCTCATTGATCCCAGGTTGACTGTTGTCAGAGTTTGGATGTGGGCTTGCGGCAGCTCGCACAGTCGAAACGAGCGACGAAGCAAGAGATGTTGGCGTTGTTGGCGTTGCCGAGCCTGTTGCTGCAGAATCAGGACGCTGCGAAAGGAGGTTCTCCCTTCGCGGTTTCCGAGGCGTGGGCTCTGATGCCTCGGAATCGGAGTGTTGCGCGTCGGCTGGGTCCTCTTCGTCTACATAGCGACGGTCGATTTCTAACATTGTTAGTGCCTTTTCAGATTGTCGTGCCAAAAAGAGCTTACCATCGTTAAATTTCCGGTCCCAATACAAGACACTCTCAACATCATCTTGGCCTTCCGTGGCCGTCGCAAAGGTTGCCACGGTAGATATCGAATTTGCGCTGTTGGACCTGGAGTGTCGGATCGAGCGTCGCTCGCGAATTGGCCGGGTTGTCTCGACGGACGTCTCCGACGCATTGCTTTCCCGGCGACGTCGCGCCTGTGTGTAATTGCCCAATGCGCTGTGCAGGATAAAGTGCTCATAGTCAAAGGCATCCTCTCGTTCTTCGTGCGGAGTATCATCGGTATGGTGTAGTACCCCGGAAAAATCCGCCAGCTCATCATCATTAAGATCATCATCAAGAGGTTCCCGTAAGATCTCCTCCAACGCCTCACGGTCGATATCCTCTTCTGCATCTTCGTAGAGGCTTTCCGCAGTTGACTGATCATCCTCATGATCAGTTAGCTCAAACGGTGGCAGGATAGCACCGTCGGAGGATGTTCTGGCCTCGGATGATACGGTCTCTGGGACAAGAAGGGTTGAATCGGTATTACTACTGGAAGTATTTCCGCTGCCACCTTGGCTGCTAATAGGAGACGCAAGGGACTGTCCGTGGCCGGTGCTCGGGTGGAGGTGGCTATTGCGTTCAGACGACTCAAGAGGATTCGCATACCAGTGGGTTGCGGCTGTCAAAGGGCTGGGCGTGCGCAAGCTCTGGAGGCTGCGTCGTCGCAGACCGTCTTCCTGCGCCTTAATCTTCAGAGTCGAGATTTTGATATGGAGCCCTTTCATTTGGTCCTGCAAATCTCGCACTTGAAGCTGAGACTGCGATCGAGAAGGTAGATCATCTACAGGGTAGGCTGAGTTGAATTCCTCCATGTTGGAAATTGCCTGCCCTCTTCCCTCTTCGTCTTCTTCGTGCTCGTCGAATACTGGTGGTGAGTCGGAAGATTCGCGCTCTCTGTGTGACTGCATAGAGTTATGTTGATGTATAGACGAGACCGATGCACGGTGAGTCAAATAAGCCCGGTTGGGTGCATAATGAAAAGACCGCTCGTCATTGTGGAAATTGGAACTAGTACTCGAGCCCATAGCGCTCACGGAACGCGACACGCGGTTTTCTGAACTTGGCTGGGTTGACGGCAGGTTGGTCTCGCTGTAAACTCGGGAGTGCCGATTATTGGATGTGTCTTGTCCTCCATATGTCTGCCGCGGCCGAAGCATCGAAGACCTGCGGTCAGCCGCGCGGTGAATTGATTGATACAAGCCGCCGACTGGTTGTCCGAGACCTGGGGATGAAGCAGATGGCACTGGCGACGATGACATTGAGGGGGTAGTCGAGCGCATTGTAGAGCGGGCGCGCGTCAGATTCCCCTCCATAAGCTATAAGAACACACCGGGTCAGCCAACCACATTGCCAAATGAACCAGACTGTAAACTACATACCGACAGCCTCTTCTTCGCATTTTCTAAAATTCGCTCCGCCTCGCTTTCCAGAATTACTTCAGAACCACCTTCATCCGGACCCGTTCCCTCATTGGCCGAGGGCGCGTTTGCGCTCGATTGCGCACCACTGGTCGCCTCAGGGGCTGCGCGACGTTCACTCAGTGATCCCCGGCTCTCCTGCGCAGCCATGTAGTCCGCTGCGCGCCCCTTTGTCCCCTCGAGAGACGATGTCTCACTTGCGCCGCCGCTGATAGTCGAATTTGACGAGCTGCTGTGCGCTCTGGTTTCCGTGACATCGGAGGGGTCCGCTTCGTGGAGCGAAACCGGGGAATCCAAAACACGGCTTTGCCGAGCCATCATCTCTTGTGCGCTTCTACCAACTGCTCCATACCGATATGACAACGCGCTGTCTTCCTCTCCTATATCCGACAAGCGGCGACTGGCAGCATCGTGGCCCTCGTGCATCCACGTGTGGCGCGGAAACGGCTTTTTCTGGGGCCTCGGCGCGCCAGTATTCCTAGTTGGGTCCAGGTTGTTGTATCCGTTTGCGTAGCTGGTTCGGTTTTCGTAGAACGACTGCAAGTGGGATAGCGAGGGCAGGTTGAACGGGGGCGACGGAGTGGAGTTTTCTCGCTCGTTATCGTCGAAGGGCAGGATCATGTCTGGATTGGACAGAGTCGGCGACGGCGGGATGACGGGTGGAGGCTGTTGATGTGTCGAAAACATGGTGTCTGATGTATCAACTCCGTCCTGCCTGAGGGTCTGCTATTTGGTACCAGCACGAGGGCACAAGTCTTGAGGTGATTGTAAACAGTGTCCGCGATCGTTCCCCCTTTTCGCTTTTCTAAGCATGGGCCATCTGCAAGTGTCGCAACTGCAGCTGGAGGACAGTCAATAATCCGTCCGCTTTGAGAGATGTTGAAGCTGCAGGGGGCGAGCTGCAAGGGCTGTCGGGGCCTCGATTGGGGGGGGACTGAGACACAGGATCAATGGCCGAGACCAAAAAGAAAAAACGGCAGGAAAAGGATGAAGGAGAAGACGGTTCGCAGGGCGGGACTGGAAATTACTGTCTGGCGATAACGCAGGCTTCTATAGCGGTGAAATTAAAGGAAGAAGCAATAAAAATCCCTGCGCGTTCTGCGAGTTCCCTCGGGCGTCGAGTCTCTCCTGATGCCCGCCAAAACAGGCAAAGATCGCATCCAATCTTTCAGGCATTTTAGCAGCAGAACTCTTGACTCTTTCTGGTCTCGCGCCGCTGATCTTTATCTCTCACGCCGTTGCTTCTCGGCTCGTGGCACGGTAGCTCGCCTGCCGAGGAGAGACCGACCCCATTTCTACTCCAGAGTGGAATCTTCAGGCTTCACTTGTCTTCTCTATAGTCTCCAGATCAGACTACAAACAATTGCATTGTCCTCCAGCCACACCGCAAGACAAAACCATTAAGGCTCAATTTACCCTGTCTCCTAGCTTACAAAACCTTGAAACTATCTTTTTCCTCTTCTCGCTTCCTCTTCCTCGACTTCTTCCCGGATCACCCATAGTCGGCCCATTAATACACATATATGTTATTAGAAGGTAAAGATTAAGAAAATAAGTAGGGTACAATGGCACGGTTCAAGTAGCCCCGGCCAGCTCGCGTCCAGCCAGGACATCCGTTAATCGAATTCATCGGTATCATCACTAATGCCGTCCGCTCATGCATACACATTCGCAGGCGGCAGCAGCTTCGCCCCGTAACGGAAGTCAAGCGACCGAGAATCAGTCGGGTCGAATCCTGCAGTTTGGCGCTGTTCAAGGAAAAGTGCTTCAAGTCCATTAGCTTCAGGTTAACTTGACAAAAAGAGAATGCGTTTCTTACGGGAAATTTTAATCATCTCGAACCAGCGAATCGCGTTCTCATCGCTACCGTCCACGGCCTTCAAGATTCCGCCGTCCGGCAGCGGGGTCGCCTTGGGTGGTAGACTGCGCATCTTCAACAACATGTGCAATATATCCGAGAAGCGGTCACCCTGCGTCGCATAGTATGGAGGGCGCTTGTCAAGCGGCCACCGCTGTGCAAAGTTCTCATCATCCCAGGATCGGAACAGCCAGCAGGTCCTCTCTACACAGTTCAAAAGAATGAGAGAAACTAGGAAGGTCTCAAACCAGCCGCTCTGCTGACGCTGGAGCAGCCTCCGCTCCAGGTCGTTCATCACCGACTTGCTTAGTGACGCTGCTCGCTTCTCGGTTGCAGATCGCAACTGGCCGCACAACAATGCGTAAGACTCAGCGTTTGTAATCTCGTCGATTGGGATACGCCCCTCATCCGCTGTCTGCCCAAGGGAATGCAACGAGGCAGGCGGTAGCGTCGGATTGCTAAAAGTCTTCCAATGCAGCTCCGCGTCAACCAGAATATGTGTGGCAACCCACAACTCCAGCACCCTTTCTAATAACAAATCCTAGAGACCAAATCAGCATACTACGATTCCGCTCAAATTCCGTCAAATCATACCTTCTTCTGCTGGGCCAGCTCTGCTGCTAGCATCAAGGTAGGTCTCATGACGTCGGAGGCCTCGCGCTCGTAGAAAAACGGCGCCGTTTTCTTAATATACATCTCAATTTTCCCCGGTAGATCATCTTGGTCGCTGTCTAGTAGGTAAATTTCTTGAAGAGGACCTTGGAATTGAGTCTCGTCACCAAGTCCCTGAAGTTGGGGATCAAGTGCTGAGGCCGATGCCTTATGGCCCTGGAGCCCACTGAAGGTAACGAAAACCATGCTCTCTTCAAAATGGGTGACTTCAATACGTCCTGCATAGTGTTCAAACTTGATCTGGTTTCGTATGCTACTAACATCGTGATAAGCCAACGTTGCGTGCAGGTCTGAAACTCGGTTAGCAATTTTGACAACTCAATCAGGCATAGCGCACATACTAGCATTGTACAATTCAAACTCCTCCGCAATACGAGTGCGGATGCAAGGGTGCTTCCACAGACGTGCGCTTTCGACGCTAGCGCAGGTGGTACACGGGCTGTCCCCAGAGCACTAAACAGGTCAGTCATGCGATGAGGCAAGGGTAGAAAGGAGACATACAGGTTTCTTGAGCATGCGACACCGTATGCACGCACCTCTTTTCCTCACTTCCTGAACCTCTCTGCGTCTAGCTGCAGAAAACCGACCACGAACCTTGGGCTTAGCCGGTTTGGTGGAGTTACCAAACTCGTTCACAAAACCCTTGGCCTGAGAGTTCGGGTTCATTGCGATGGGACGAGGAAAAGAGGCGGCGCGTTGGGTCGCTGCGGTCAGCGTCGGATCATGCTCCTGGAGGCTGTCGAACAATAATTGTTCCTGAGTCGAGAGCTGTTGGTTCCATGCAGAACCCATCTTAGACAAACCGTCAGAAAGTCCAGTGCTAGGATCATGATCCAACGGGAGGCCGTGAGGTACCATTTCACTAGCAGATGCAGCGATCATAGACAGCTGTGACTGCCGAGAAGTGGCGTTTGGGTCGGGAGTCAAAGAAGTCTCTGGCAGTGGCGGAGAAGTGGACGAGGTCGGATCAAGCGAGCCGGTAGGAGGGAGTGAAAGAATCGCCGTCGCGTCGTTTGGCGATTGGGGAGATACTGTGGATAGAGAACCGGCGCATTAGCGCGTGGAAGACAGGGAACAACACAAGCAAGAACCGACACTTACCCGGAACCTTCACGTCCTCGTCCATCTGCTCAGACTGAGCAGGGTGGCCCTGAAATCCCTCTGCCTCAAGTGCAGGGTCAACGACCACAGTCTTTCCACCAACGGTGACAGACTGGGTATAAGCAGGACCTCCCCGCTTGGACTGGTCAGAAGCACCCACCTGTCTCGACGCCTCGGCCAACACATTCAGGCCGTCGAAATTTTGTCGCGTCGTATAGGACACATCGCCCGACTTTCCCTTATTCTGTCCGGTAGCATTCGGGTCTTTGTTCTGGTCACCATCGGCGAGGTCTGGCAATTCATGGAGTCGCAACAGGACGCGTTGTCGGTCCCGTAGCGGGATCGCCTGGCATTTCTTCACCAGGTGATTAGTGAGGCTGTCGATGCGACCTTTAGGAAATTTTTCGCCGCACGCCTTGCATGTATGCTGGTAGCGGTTACTAGCATCCTCGAGTTTCTGGCCTCGAATAAAGAACTCGAGGATGAGCGCGTTGGGTTTGCGACCCATCTTGGAACTGCGTGGCAGAAAATGAAGGGCGGATCGAAGGCGGGAGGACCGAGTTCGAGAGCAATTCACGGCCTCAAGGTCCTAAAACTGCAGTCCGAAGGGCTTCTATAAGGATTCCAGGAGTCGATAACCTTGAGACTCGGCGACAACCAGTCTGGAAAGTGGGATGCCAGTGACGCACACAAGAAAGGGCAGATGGGAGATGGCAAAAAAAGAAACACGGTCAGGGCGGCGCGGGAGTGGAAGGGTAGAGACCACCACCACAACGGTGAAGCCTTTTGAAAATAAAGAGTTCGTCAAGGGAATAGATCACGGTAGATATAATTGATGGCAGAAATAGACAGCACAAGACAGGAAGCTGGTGCGTTTAGAGAGTGGGATAGAGGAAGGTTGATTCAGCGGCAAAATTGGCAAGGGCGGTCTGATCCTTACCTGCAGTGTCAGTGCACCGACCTTGGAATTAAAAGTGGGTAATTTCTACGTGATTTATAACCAATAAAATTTATCTTAACTGCTAGAACTACCCTGTCATTCGTTGATATTAACGTGACTATTTACTGCCACGCACACATGCCTTTGATACACACCTCCTCTAGTTGGTTTAGAAAAAATAAAAGCTCACCGCATCGAGGCGGTAATTATATCGGTGAAGGCCTTGCTTTTTTTTAAATCAGACTCGGATAGAGAGACCGCAGGATGAAACGGAGACCGAAGATGATCAAATAGGCAATACGAAATCGTCCGATGGTCGCTTCCGAGGGAATGTATCTTGGAATGAAACTGGCAAAGTTTGTACGACTGGCTTGGCCACACGCACTCACAAATAAGGTAGGTACGTACGCAGTACACAAGTCGCGTCTTCTCTCAGCGGCTTCTGAATCCCACTTAGTGACCGCTCTTCTTGCTGGTCCCGAGTATTTCATCCAAAGCACTCCATAGACTCAGGGAGAAGTCACATTCTTGTGGAACCCACAAAGAAGAAATCTGACATGATAAAAAGCAAATGCAAATCTCACTTGGTTAATTCCATTACTTCATTAATCATCATCATTATCATAAAAACTAGTTCAGTAGACTAATCCACAGCTCTGAGCTGACCAGAAAACTACCCATCGAGTGCTGCTCAGCATACGTGGTTCCTGTTGTCAGAGAAATGGATGAAGGCGCATGAATTCAGGCACTTCAGCATATGCGATGCTCTGGAGGGCGCCACGGGACTACTAGGATCTCGAATATCCTTCGTTCGTCGCGGCTTTCGAGCAGTCGGCCAGTGTTTATTTTCGCCCTTTGGGGCCCACGCAGCACATCCGCATAGAGTCCCCTCTGATTGAGGCGCATGGACTTCTTACTCGCAAGGAGTCTTATGCTGCGGTTAAAGATATCGTTCCCAGTGAAGTAAATCAGCGCGGCACCGAGCTCTGAGCCAGGCACAAATAACAGGTCGATACGTCGCCACAGTTGGCTATCTGGCAATTTGGAGGCGCCGTGCCATTTCGATCCGTCATCTCGAGACGTGGCTGCCAAACTGACTTGAAGAAACCCTTGTTCGAATAGCTTTGGCACGACTTGGTCCAGCATCAACGTTCGAATCTCCTCGATCGTCGCATCATGTCTCGTGATGATCAAATCGATATCGCCAGAGTTCGCTGCCCCCCGTCGGTAGGACCCTCCAATAATGACTTGCATCTCTGGGCTCTCCTTTTGCACCACACGCCGCACAAAACTTCCATGCTCTTGAACCTCACTTCTCGGTATTCTTTGGGAGAAGTCAAAGTATCGTTCAAGACCAACACGCTGTGATCGTGTTAGGGTTGCGTCCTGTCGCAAGTCTTCCAACGATTTATAGCCTTGAGCAATCCACTTGGAAGCAACCGAGAGTCCAGCACCATATACGCCCAAGAACTTTTGGAGGAGACGGTCTTCGGCTGTGTTGCTGGTGTTATCCAAACGGCGAAGCCGGTTAGTAACCACAATTTCTTCAATTTTGTCCGCTAAACGGGGTCCGATCCCGGGAATCTCGAGAGCTTCAGCGCGGTTAACGACCTTCCTGGGCTTATTACGAAGAGCACTGATTGCTTTACGATACGCCATAATGCGCCAATGGTCAGCTGTTCGGGTGTAGTAATTCAGCATTTGCTGGAGAACTTCAATGGTCCTCGCATTCGGGTTCTGATCATTAGAGGTTGAATCATGCTTCTGCATGCAGACAAACTTGTGTTGCCAAGATTCGACTGCATTGTTTTCGTCCCTCGACGGCTTTCTTCGCTTGTATTTTGTTGACATCGGCTGCGATTCATCAGAGCTCTCATCACCAGAGGCTTCGGCTAGAGCATCATCATTGGGGACATCGTGCCCATCTAGCGGGTCCAAAGGCTTCCACGGTATGAGAACAGATGAAAATAAGTTAGAGGTGGGCAGACTTACCAGGTGTTCAACGGCTTTAGCCTCCGCTATCATGTCATCCAACGCATCACGTTCGCGGTCCGGAAAACTGTCACCTATTATCTCTTCGGTGGCTTCTTCGTGGTCTTCGGCATGTATCTCTCGATCAAGTACAGGGATATCGTGTGGCTCAAACAGCCACCCCGACGCCTGAGTCTGTGATTGCTGTTTTTGGTCGGACTTTAAAGGCAAAGATCCCTGGCCGACAATCGGGGGTTCACCAGGAGATGCATTGCATTCTCGCATAGCTTTGGGCAAAGCTGCAGTTCCTTTAACTTGGAACCGTGCTTGAGTCACATTCAAAATGCAACGAAACTTGATACACTCGGCGGGGTAGCACTCATCAACTAGAGCGATATTGGACTACAAAGGTCAGTTATTGAAATAGGGCGAGTAACCGACACCCAGTTCACGAACCGGAATTGTCTCCAGATTTAGATGTTTCAAGATCTCGTCAAACTTTAGGCCGTTGTCAACTATGACATGAGTGATGTTTTCTCCCCAAGCCCTTGCCCATGAAGCGCCGTACTCCTGTGCTCTTTGGATACGTAAACGTCGTAAAGGAGAAACATCGCTATTTGGAAAGAAAACTATGAGACAGTCAGTAAACTTGATTACAGGTAGCAACTAAGCGGCTTACAAAACACAAGGCCCTTAAAAATCTGTAGGTGTTCAGGGATTATTTTCCCGGATGAACCCCGTTTGCGTTTTCCAGGAGCATCCTTCGCCAGAGTTTTGGATGGTTCTCCCATGCCCTTTTGTAAAATTGGCTTGGAAATACAGGCTTCACGGGTTGATGTTATGGAAGGAGCTGAAATGATGCTCTGGGCAGCCACGGCATCCGAAGAGGAGCTGATAGTCACAGGTGACGAGGGCGAGGGCGAGGGCTTCTTGATTTGGCAAGAGTCGGGAGATACTTTCCCGTCATTCGGCCGCGAGGTCGAAAATAGACCATCAAATTCACCTTCTGAGGTATCACTGAGGCAATCCAGTTGGTCTAGCCTACGGAAAAATGCCTCTTTATCTGTCATCCGCGACATCTCCGCGTTGAAAGGTGAGCCAGGCAACTATCCGAGGGTACTTGAGCCATATGTAAATTCCCCGCCAGTTGCCTGACGGTTACGAGTTCTCGGGAGTTAGATCTGAGTTTCTTCACAATCACTGGTTACTTCAGCAGTGCGTAACCAAACGGTTGAAGGTTCCAGTACAGGCAGCCACACGTGTCGGGGTCCGGCACGAAACTGTCGCCAAATCACGGGATCAATTATTCCACTCTTTTCGGAACCAAAAGCTACTAGAGCCCGGGTCGCGCTCAACAATCTACGCAAACTATACTGCATCGACGATGTGGAAGCGCTCCGTGCTTCTCTCCTCCCTCGTGGAGCCGACCCTCCTGCAGGGCAGTCGCTGCCTCAGCTGTCAACTGCGCAACGGTGCCGCCCTCCGATCTAGACCTTCTCTTCGTCCATATACCACAAAGAACGGCAGCGGAGACAAGCCGCCAGCCTCGACCAGTGCCCCGACCACCAGAAAACTACAGTTCCAGCAAAATGCCACTCCCCAGTCCTCGCCTCCCAACCCGAACGATCCAAACAATGAAGACTTCATTCCAACCCTAGACCGGCCAATTGGTTCGGGAATTCCACCACAAGAAGGTCAAAATACAGGAATTGATAAGCGGTCATTGGGCCAACGACGAGATGACTTTGTGAATTATGACAAGCATATTGAAAGGCGGAAGGAATTGTAGGACACCCAGCGCACCCCGTCTACAGAATATGAACTCACAGTTTATTTCCTAACCGCTAGAACGAGGCAAGTCGCAAAGCCATATTTCCGAGAATGGTCAAACCTGCGATACAACCAGGGTAAGACATTCATGTCGAACCCTCGGCTATTCAAGCGCGACAAAGCACTTTACTTCCCTAATCTGGCCGGAGCTACGCTGGCCTCGCCGAAAGAACCGCAAAATACTACCTCCATCCTCCGCGGCAAGGTGTCCGTCATAAACCTATTTTCTAGCGTCTGGGCAGAAAGCCAAGTTGCTACATTTACTGGCCCAAATATGAACCCCGGCTTATATGAGGCTTTCAAGAGTGGCGAGCGGCATGTACAGAAAATCGACATCAACCTGGAAGAGAACAGGCTCAAGGCATGGCTTATCCGAATGTTCATGTGGCGGATGCGAGGCAAACTTCCCGAGGAACAGTACAAAAGATACTTTTTGGTGCGCAAGGGTCTCAATGATGGCCTTAAGGAGGCTATTGGTATGATGAACAGCAAGGTTGGATACGTATATCTATTAGATGAAAACTGCCGTATCCGATGGGCTGGCAGTGGCCCTGCTGAGCCTGCTGAACTGGAAACCCTGAACAACGGTGTCCGCAAACTGATCGGGGAACGGAAGATCAGTCTGGAGTCCGAGCAACCAGCGCAAGAATGGGAGGGCCAAAGAAAGGATACTAGGAAGCCCAGAGTTGTCGAGCATAGTCGTTAATCATTGTATGTACATATTAGAGTGAGCTTGTAAGATATATAAGTTAAGCCCCAAATACCATCAACTCCGAGCCCATTATTAACTTCCCTGTTTAATGAGAAACTGATAGATGTAAAGGAGCATCCAGTAAACGCCGCCCAGGCTACAGGCCGGAGGGAAAGCGAGATGAATCTCAATCATCGAAACAAAAGCAGCATCAGAAAGCAGACTCCAATAAAAGCTCCCAGGATAAGCGCATCCCTCCGCCTCTTGTTGCCAATCTTTCCAATCAAAGCATTTACTCCAGGAACTTGGCTTGCAGCACCCACAATCCTGCGGTTGATGCTAGTGATCGTCTCGCGTTGGATGCCGAAATTTTCATTAATCGCATATGCCTGGCTGAGGACACCGTCCATTACGCCGTGGCTCTCGTCAATACGACGTCGCTCCTCCAACATGTATTCTGCCTCTGCAGCAGCGGGGTTTGAAGAGCGAAAGGCATCAATGTCGGATCGTACATTTGAGAGAAGGTTTGCGCGATCTCGAGATTCTGCAATTGCAGACGTGAGGCGGGATAACTCGCGTCTATGGTCTGTGAGGATTTCGCGGTGGCGGGCTAGGTTATTTTGTTTGAGGGCCGAGGAGGTGAGCGTGGCTTCGGAGTCCAGGAGACGGGCTAGTTGGGCGACTAAAGATTCACGCTTTTGGCCGTAGGCAGTCAGTAAGGTTGCCGTGATGCATTACATAGAGTATGGTCGTACCTTTTCCAGAAGGTCTTTGATCTGGGTTTGGTTCCTGGATTCTTCTTCTGAGGGCTGCGGAGGCAGTTTCGTCATCGACGCAAATTGGGAGTAGGTATGAAAGAGGTTCTCAGTCTGTCAAGAAATAAAATAGTTAGTATCATTCCCCTCTACACCCCCAAAGGCAACGCCTGTCCTCAGATATGCTATTTCGTACTTGAGTTTCGAGAGATCTGGCCTGCTGTCGCAGTTGTGCCCATCCGGCACCGGTAGAAGTCGCCATGTTGCGGGGGAGGAGAATAGAACGGAATGAGTTCGGGGTATAAACTGAATGTAAACAAGGCTTGAAATGCAACTGTCAACTTGTCCACTCTCCGTCCAGCGGAATCGCAGCACTTGCAATGGATCAATTAAACTGCTACCTGCCAACGGCGTTCTATGTCCGGCCGAAACCCCAGCCGATTCCCGATTCGGATCCGCGTCATCACCGCCGCAGGCGCCCCGTGACGCACCAGCCACAGTCACGTGAGTCAGCGCCCGCTTAGCCGCCGCACCACGCCAAGGAGCAAAAAAAAGCCCTAGTCCCACAGAAACATCCCCAAATCGACCCGGTCCATCTTCAATCCTCACGTCGACAATCAACCATTCGACAAGATACCGCCCACCATGGTATGTACAGCGACTGTGCCCAAAAATGAAAATATGATCGTGAGAATGGCATGCTGATTCGATTTTTCCACAGTCTTCCAAGGTCAAGGCTGGTCAACTCTGGGGAAAGAGCAAGGATGATCTCACAAAGCAGCTGGATGAGCTGAAGACCGAGCTGGCTCAGCTTCGTGTCCAGAAGATCGTTGGCGGTGCCTCGTCGAAGACCCAGCGAATGTGCGTTTGAATTTTTCCCCTGCTTGCAACACAATAAACTCCCCGGATGGACGATTGAAGATTTGGAACGAATGTGCGTTTTGGTCGGATCGCATTTTGCCACGACAACTCGACTCGAAAAGCGAACACCCAACGAACAAAAACGACACAAAGTCATTAATAGGGGGAATTCGAGGACTTGGGGGCGAATTCACTACAACCGATCGCGCATTCGATCTGATCACAATCACATCCATCCATCCACCTATCAAATCACTCAACACATTCAAAACTCAGATACAGAGAAAGAAGGAATACTGATAATCTTGTTTCAACAGCCACGACATCCGCAAGTCGATCGCTCGTGTCCTCACCGTCATCAACGCCAACCAGCGCTCCCAGCTCCGCCTCTTCTACAAGAACAAGAAGTACCTTCCTCTTGACCTCCGCCCCAGGCTCACCCGTGCTCTCCGTCGCCGCCTCACCAAGCACGAGGCCACCCTCAAGACTGAGCGCCAGCGCAAGAAGGAGATCCACTTCCCCCAGCGGAAGTACGCCATCAAGGTACGAGCAGAACATACCCCCCCAAAAAAAACCAAAACGCCAGCCATACAGTTTTCGCCGGAAGGCTCTCAATTGTTTATGGAGTGAAGCTAACGATTAATCACCAACAGGCATAAATCCAAAAAGGAGAAGACGGGATCGAGTCTGGATCTTGATGATGGAGTTCTGGGACGTTTGACCTGACCTACCTATTCTGGGAGGTTAACATAAAAGACATGGATTATGTATCTTAGAAGAAAAGATGCAGGTCGATCTTGAATGAATCCTTTGCTTGCAATGACATATAATACCACTTCAAGTACTCTTTCTCTTGAGTCCTAATAAGTGCCCCATCAATATCCCAAACATGATCCGGAAAATTGAGGGGTGAACAATAGTTCTCCCAAAGTTGCATACGCAGCATTCTAAGGTGGACTTCCCATCCCGGTTTAAAATTCGCACTGGGCATTAGGCCAAGTTCCTTAATTCCAATGACTCGATCCACCAAACTATAATTGTCTTCACATTTACGGAGTAGTTTTATTCGTTAAAAGTTCAATAGAGTCAACCATCTATGATATCTAGTCGCCAAAACCCGTTACCTACATCATTAGGCACCTCCCAAAGTGGAAAACAGCATCATCTTAGCTAAGTCATCAACCCCGATTCCAAATCCCACATCCCCCCACAAATACAAGACCTCAAATGCCCCAATTTATAAATCATCCTAAACGCAGGGACTGAACGCGGCGGGTACACCGCCTCAGAGGCCTCACAGCAGCGAACACACCGTCTGCTCAAATGTCCCTGAGTCCCGCTCCTCGCACCCAAATCGCCCACCTCCATGGTGCCCAACCTTCCTGACCCAGCGCCAGCCACGGCCCGGAAAATCGGCGTTTTCTTGATGATATCTATCTCGCGTGATCTTCGGTAAGCTTCCGTGCGAGCGTCCGAGCCAAATCCCAGCCAGCTATAGTCGCCCATGAAGATTGCCATGCGGTCGAATTCGGCTTTAATGCTGGGTATGGTTTGGCGGAGGATGGTGGATACTGCAGTTACGAGGACGGGTGGAATGCGGCTGCTAACGAGGAGTTCCTTCTCTGGGCCTGGTCGCTCGTTATCGCCGAATCCAGCACCTGTGTAGGCGTGTCTGACGGCGGAGTCGACGCCGGCGAGAAGTTTCTCGTAGACATCAGTGCGGACGGGAGATGTTTCTAGAGCGTGACAAATTTCGGTGTAGTAGACGCGAGCATCACCGGTGAGGGGGGCGTTGGCGTAGCCGGAATGGATTCCTCGAAGGCCACGGCAGATGAAGCGAAGGAATGCGCGAGACATGCTAGAAAGGACAACGATAAGGGGCAGGGAGGCAGTTGATTTTACTACAATATTGATTAGCATGTATTCATGGATAGTAGGGTGTTGACGGACGTTTCTGATTGAAGGCTTCTTGGTCGGCCGGGACGCTTTCAAATTCATCCGCGAGATCGAAAAGCTCGTTTAGGGTATATAGGAAGAAGTCAAGGACCCATTTAGTATTCCCAAGAACCATACGTAGGACATCTAAGCGGCAATCAGCAATTAGAGTTGAGTAGCTCGACAGGGGTCTCACCTGGATCATGCGGCTCGGGCGGCTGGGATCCTTTATTGTATTGAAAGAAGAAGGGGTATATGATAGCAGCTTGGCGAAGTTGAATAATAGCCCACGGAACATTTGAAACAATATTCCTCGTCTTATACTTATTTTTAAAGCCTAGCGCCGCTTGTATGCTAAGAGCACGGGAGATATACGGATGGTTCATCAACTTATCATGCTCTGTTGTGAAATTGCAGTTGATGGACAGCGCACGGTAGACCTCGTTGAGGAAGCCTGTCTGGGAATCTATAAAAAATTAGGGAAAAGTCGGCGAATTGCGAAGAGAAAGGGTCGTCCTGACCTTGAGGTAATTGACGTATTAGAAGCAACAGAATATCGTCCGTGTTGACTTCACCACCGCAGCCACGACAGAAAGCTAGCGTCAATGAAGCAATGGCCGCGGAGAATTTGTCTATATCTCTGGTTAGATGAGTCTCGGGAGGGGGGGGTTATGGAATCACGTACTCTCATCATAATGGCCATTCTCCGCTCCATAGGAATGTTCCATAATTCTAAGATGTATCTGTCCATCACTGTCCAGCCCCACGGCAGCACAGGCACTCGGTGAAAAACATGTGTGTATTGCTATAATCCACATGTCAGAATCACCTAGCAAAATAGATTTAAAAGACCAACCTGAAGAGTCTAAGGGGTAGTTGAATCCTGCCTGGGCGAGGCTAGTGACAGTGCTTGCATCGTCAACAATATCAAAAGCTGCCATAGTCTTCGGATCATAGAAAGAAATTGAGCTATCGTCGTAAGATACGGCGAGGACGTTACCATATTCTGTCTGGTCGACGGATATAACATGGCGGTCAGAAGTGATGTCGTCAAGGCGACGCAGAATAGTTTTCGGCTAGCCATTAAGTTAGTGAACGCTATTGTTTATGGCATATATTCATACCTTGGTTTGTACGTTACTCTTCTTTGAGGCAACTTCATCGAATTTGGGGTGCAGAGTGGGAATGCCAGTTTCGAGTTGCCACCGGATAATGGCACTGGCTGGTACTTGCGGTTGTTGATGGAGAATGGCGTGAGGAGGGATTGAGAAAACAGCTACAATCCAGGGACTTGGTGTTGAGCCTGCGGAGTTATCGGAGGCGGGAAGGATTATTTGCAAGGACGTAAGGCAGTAGAGAGAGCTTGTGAGGGTGAATTGTTCATCCGGGTTTTCGCCTGCTGTCCCCCGGTTGTTTGGAATATCGTAGGGCATTTCAACCTTGGAATGGATGGAACGGAAGCTTGGGACTGGATGCGGCTGGGATCCTTGTTTCTGCTGCGCGGGATCCCATTGTGGCGGATTCCACTGGATGCTCACTCGGTAGACGGATATTTTCTGACATGCTGAATGTGTAGCGATTAGGATTCCCGCTTGTGTTGCTACCAGAGCCGCATGAGTAAGAAGCCTATCGGAATAACTTGTGTTTTTCAATTCTGTCGTGATTTCCGCCCATTTGTTGTCTGGGTTTTGGTAGAGAAGTTTCATGGTCCCAGACCTTGTGATGCAGAGCAGCGCGGCTTTATTAACAGGGTGGAAAGGCGCAATCGGACGCCGTCTAAATGGCGAATATGCCCAACGGCCTTGTACCTTAGCAGCCTGATAAAATGAGTGTACCTAAACAGATTTAGTATGCAAAGTCCATAAACGTCACGGGTAGAATGTATACTTACCGAGCGGTTCTGATTCAGCCACATCATCCCAACAATTTGAGCCCCGTCATCAGCAGCGTCAAAGGCGGCTTGGCGAGCTCCATTTACGCTATTCAGAGCAATTGGAATAGAGTAAATGGATACTCGACCGGACGTATCAGCTATCGCCAATTCTGAGCCAGATTCATTCCAGCAAAGATGAACCAGGGCATGGCCATCATGAGCTTCTGCGACCTGATTTAATGGTGTCTCATCGCTCAACGTCCACTTGCCATCTGATTTTTGGCACTGAAGATGGCGAACGTTGACCCGAGAAGAATCTTGCGAGATGTACGCAACACATCCGAGCCTCGACCAGGCAATTTTCCTAAGTGGCGTCAGATTAAACAAGAGAGAGGTGGGATAGATGGTTTCGGAGAGCAACATACTGGCAACACCCCACTAATCTCATTTCATCCAAACGTTGGGCTAGGCCTTTCGCAGGGGCTGGGGAAGTGTTCGGAGGCAAGCCCAGCTGGAGAGAGGTGGATTCACCGAACAAATCGTCGACATTGATCCCGTCCTCCATAATTAAGGGCATGCTGGGGGTGCTCGGTGGAATAGCGGATAGTCTATGCGGTGATGGTCAATGATACCTATGGATGGGTGAGTCTATAACAGCACCCAGGTATCATAGTGGGTGCGATCCACAGAAGCGGGATGGATCACGGATGGTAGAATAAAGAATCAACGCGGGGTAGATTCGAGGAGAGCTTTCAAGCTACGCAAGAGAGCTTTCAATGGAGCAGAGGCGCAGCATTCACGACTCCAATGACATCCGCTATTCACATTTTGCAGATCAAGGCATTCAGTCTCTGGGCTTCGTAAATAAGAGCGAGTGAGGCTAACAGCATGTGGAGCCTCTCCGACCCGCCGTGCTGATTAAGCGTCACGTGTAGTCATGTGGCCACGGTAACCAGGTCAACCAACAACCACCACCTCGAGTTTTGCCCAATTCCGTGACTCCTCGAGAGAAAGATCTAGAGGCACTACATATAAATTCAAAGTTAATGCAGAAATAGTCACAAAACCTACATGCTCCTACAGTAATTGTCAAATGCGACGCGTGAGGTGTGTTTCACTGTTTATGCATGAGGCATGATCAGGTTAGCCCCGGCTCCAGAAGAGGCTAATCCCCATTAGGGCTGGGGCTGCAGGTCCATCCGCTGGCAGGAAGAAATCAAGCCAATCAGAGGCCGGGGACTTTTGCGACCGAAAACAACCTCAGTTCTGTAATGATTCTTCCACTCCAGATCTTATAGAGAGTTGCTTCATATTGCGACCGCCAGGTTACGTCAAGAGTATATACAAGTTCAAGCCTCTTGGTGGAAGGCGCCGCATCGTTCGATCTCCGGCATTCCTCCATACTCGCCCCCTCCTCCACTTCTTGTCTCTCCATACCTCCCTTCTCGAGTCCTGGCCCCAAGACTGCTGTGCCTTCTCTCTCTCTTATTATTATCCAGAAATCCCGTGGGTCAAAACAAACACAACCCCGGGTGCAAGCGAGAGAACCATCCAAAGACGACCACCTCAACCTTCCCGTCTGCCCTCGCCGACCCTTCTCCCTTTTACAACCACTTCCTCCCGACCTCCTCGCTTTTTGCACTCCTGAGGTCGGACCACATCGCAGTCACGGGGTTTCTACTTTCGCAAGTTGTTGCTCGACTTCTGGTATCCGACTCCTCACGCTCGACCCCCGTCATCTGTTCTTTATCCTGATTCTCTTTCTTCCATGACACCGAGAGAATTCTTCAACACCGAACCCCTGGAAAATCCCCCCCTTCTCACTCTCAATTGATGCCGGCTTCTTAATCAATCATTACCCATGATTTCTATTCAAAGCGTATTTTAGCTTCCCCGCGGCTCTCTGTCAGGCACCCAAAACTCTCTGCATCCCTTCCTCTCTTATATCTTCACGTCATCTCCGACCGGCGTCATAATGGCTCCTCGCAAAACCACCACTGCAGCCACAACCACGACAACAACCAACTCCTCCAACTCCTCATCCTGTCCGTCTCCAAACAGTCTTCAAGCTATGGAGATAGATGACATTTTTTCAGACTGCTCAGACCTGAGCTCCGCGCCGTCGTCTCCTATCGCGCCTGAAGGCTTCTTCTTGCCCTCCCCGGACGAGTCTAGCGCCGGCCGGAGCCAAGACGATGACTTGCCGCCCGCCAAAAAAAAGCGCCGTGTGGCCCTCCCCAAAGAGCGTCAAACACAGCTACTTGACCTCACCCCCCGCGCTGGTCTTTCCTACGGCGATCAAGAGTCACAGATTGACCTTCTCGTCAACACCATTCGCGGCCACCGGAAAATTGTAGTAATTGCTGGGGCTGGAATCTCCACTTCTGCTGGCAGTACGCGTCCATTTCCCTATACTCTTACAACCCCCGTCCGAAGCTAATGTTTCAACTCTCACGCAGTCCCCGACTTTCGCTCTGATGATGGCTTGTTCAAGTCATTGCAAAAGAAACACAACCTTAAAGCATCGGGCAAGCTCATGTTCGATGCTGCCGTCTACCAGGATGAAACGTTGACCGCCTCGTTCCAGGAGATGGTACGGTCGCTGTCTGAAGAGGCTGAGAAAACCTCTCCTACAGCTTTTCATCATATGCTGGCCCGACTAGGCCGCGACAACCGTTTGACGCGGTTGTACACACAAAACATTGATGGCATCGAAACGTCAATGCCCCCTCTTGAGACGCAAATTCCATTGAACGTCAAAGCACCGTGGCCGCGCACCATCCAATTACACGGAAGCCTTGAGAAGATGGTGTGTCAAAAGTGTCGGCACATGGGCACCTTCGACCGAGCCATGTTCGACCGCCCTGATGCTCCTGAATGTCCGGAATGTGTAATAAAGAATCAATTCCGCATGGAAACTGGTCAACGCAGCCATGGGATCGGAAAGATGAGGCCTCGCATTGTCCTATACAACGAACACAACCCGGATGAGGAGGCCATCACCTCTGTGATGAATGCTGATATACGCTCGCGCCCAGACGCCCTAATCGTAGTAGGGACCAGCTTGAAAATCCCCGGGGTGCGTCGTCTTGTCAAAAGCTTATGTTCGGTGATTCGAAGTCGCCGTAACGGGGTCACTATGTGGATCAACAACGAACCACCTTCTGGCAAAGAATTCGAGGACAGCTTCGACCTGGTGGTCAAAGGCGACTGCGAGGAAGTGGCACGACTTGCCCATTTGAAACGCTGGGATGACGACTCAGAACCAGTATTTGACGAATGCAATTCCTCCGACGTCGAGCGTATCAAGAGTGAACAAGGTCCAATCTCCATTGTCATTCGTACGCCGAAGAAGCATCGACCTCTGGCCCAGACTGGGATGCTCACGCCGTCGTCTAGCTACGATGGTGATGCTGAGAACCCTTCTAACACAACTCTTACCAACCCCGCCAGCAAGGGGCCGAAACTCACGGACATCCTCAAGGCCAACAAGAAGAAGGAAAATCCCAAGAAGGCCCCTAAAAGTGCCGGCGTTAAAAAGCCTGCACCTAAGAAGCGAACAACGAAACAGGAGCCAGCTAAGAATACCAAAATCACCAACTTCAGCAAAGTCACGAAATCGCAGAAAGTCATGCCCGATGAGAAATCGGTCAAACTGGAAAAGGAGGCGCATAAGGCCATGCATCCTCTACCACCTGGTGAGGTGCGCAATAACACGCTGATGTTTCCTAACCTGGCTTCGAAGGGGGACTCAACGCCATGCAAGAATCAATGGCGCGCCCCCGAAACGATTTCACCCAAATCCATTCCAAACGGAATGAGTGATTTATTAAACCAGCCGACTTCATAGATTTTTCCCGGCTTCGCTCTGTCTATAATTGTTTGAGATACCACTGATAGACCACGGCGTTGGCGTTTGATCCTTCCCGCTTTATATGTCTAATGGAACGATCACTACATCTAATGTTTGCATGTGGAATTGGCATTTCGGGTCGGCGTTCAAGGTATTCGTCGTTGCAGGTCCGCAACAATGTTTTATTTTTCGGTACATTTACATGAAACGGCGCAGTGTTAGGGATAAAGGTATTATTATGTACATCATCATGAACCCATTTTTCGACCTTCCAAACAGCTTCAAGAGCATAAGTAGTAGTAGATTTTTTATCCCAACCCCATATTCCCTCGTAGTTGACTCCCAGGCCCATCGTCGTCGCTCTCAGTATCATCCCCAGCATCAGGGTCCATCATGCGCCGCTCTCGGTCTATGTCCTCGACGCGGTCAATATCATCGTTTTCACCCGCTTCTTCTTCCTCGTCCTCGTCCTCCTCTTCTTCCTCCGTAGCATCCTCATCATGCTCCTCCTCCACCTCGTCTCCAGCATCCTCTATCTCATCCTCCCCATCCTGATCTTGATCGTCTTCCTCGGCCTCATCACCTCCAGCACCTGCCCCAGCACCGTCCTTCTTCAGCCTCTTCACGCCCCGAACAACTACTTCCTTCTTCTCCCCTTCCCCAATTGTACCTGTCTGGGTTTCGCCATCGCCATCGCCATTCTCATCCGTTTTCGTCTCCCCCTCGGCACTCTTTCTTGGCTTCCTCTTCGCAGCCTTCAGGTCTGTAAATTTGTCCAACTCCTTCTCTAGTCGCGGTCTGAACCCTTCAAGTTCCAATTCTGATATCGCATTCAGCACGTCAACTGGCGTCACTGTTCGTTTTAAAGTCGCTTCGTTGGCGCTGTTCAATAAGTATACATATGTTAGCTGGCTGGCTCAATAACTTCAATCTAGCGCGGCGCGGCGGGGTGGTAAAACAAGATACCAACCCAACCCGAAACAGATAAGAGATAAAAGGAAATAAGGGATGGGTAGGAACGTACTGAGAGGATAAATAAGAAACAAACACCGTCGCAGCCTTCTGGATCGCGAGAACTGCATCCTTCTGTACAGATGTATTCGGCGGGAGGACGGACTTCGCTAGTCGGACGGTTATTGAGCGCGGGAGTAGATAGTCCTCAATTGAAACACCCTCGGCGCGCGCTTTGAGTTGTTGCTCTGTTGCTTGCACGGTGTTCTGGGGTTGTTCGGACTGCGAGTGGGATTTCGGAGGGGCGTCCGCATCGCCACCTGGTGATGAGGACATGGTGTGGTTTCTTTTTTTTGCTTTTTTCTTTTTTTTTCCCCTCTTATTGATCTGCGTGTGTATATATAGAAGCTAGCAGGCGGATTGTACGCTGTCGTCCTAGATAGATCTTCGGTGGTCGCAGGTTCCGATGCAGGTGGCTATACGGAGGAGCGCGGGACGTCGGGTCTTTTCTTTGACTTTCTTGAACAGTTGGGGGTTCGTTGCTTCGTTTGTTGGCCAGGGTCAAGGTTCTATTCGTCCAGTCGATGGTCACTCGGTGTAATGGTCAAAATCAAGTTAAGTGTTGGATATGCAATGTGGTTGACAATGAGACACGGTCACCGCAAGCAAGGCGGTAATTTCTCATTCGACGCGACGCGATTCGGTTGGAGAAATGAGCCTCGAGAAGCGCGTCTCCACTTACTTGGCCTTGTTGTTTCTTTCAGTCTAAGTATGCAGCCTGGTAATAATTTAGCAGGGCATTGCTTTGAATATCTAATGTCTACCCCCAGCCTTGTTGGGATACGGTAAGGGCTGTTCGCCCATACATGCTTGACATACTTGACATCATCTGTAACCTGCCCGGGTGAGCCGTCTGGAACCATGCGGGCTAGAGGGATAAGTTCCAATGGTAACAAGGTCCACTACTGGGGTTTCAGATAACGTCTTGTGTCCATTTAAATTGTAACTTTGTCGCGCGATCGCATCATACAGTAACTGTATAAGTTAGAGGGGATGCAAAAAAAACCTAGCTTTGGCGGGGAAAAAATTTGCGCCAGATGAGATTCGAACTCACGATCTTCGCATATCCAATACGAGTGCGACGCCTTACCCCTTGGCCACTAGCGCAACATATCAGATTCTGCATGGTATTTCGCTTCATGGGCCCAGACTACGGACTGCTGTTATCTTCTCCTTTGTATGGTTTTTACGGTACATTTTTGTTAAATCGAGTACAGTGTTGCCTTTCTAGAAATTCTGGTTATTGACAAATTCGTCTTAATTGTTCGGGCAAAGTATTGGAACGCGTGTTGTTTCTTGACCGGGGTTGTTGTGTGTGGATTTTCATTATTGTATGTGTTTTGTATCTTTATATATTTCTACATCCTTATAGAAAAGGGCACCAACCATATCCGATTTTCCTACATATAAAGGATATATAGTGTCATCAAACTCGTCTGAATTGACTCAACTCGACCACGTAATCTATTTTTGCTATACCCTAAACGCCGTCTGGTATCCCATGACCATGACTGTAAAACGAACGACAAAGAAAGACATTAGATAGCAGAGGAGAGAAGACAAGTCCACCCTACTCCTCCATAGCCTCATCGCCCCCATTTCCATCACCCCATAATCCCTCAATCTTGAATTCCGCCGCCCACTCGGTGACCACTTGCCTCGTGTCAACACCGGACGCAGTCGCGGTAGCAGCAGTATCTGCACCCGCGGCATCCGTGTCCACAACCTGCAGGACTGGAGGCGTGGCCCATCCCTGAATACGTCCGTCGCGCCAGTCGTTGACGACTGTCATGGCGGCGGCCTCGAGGTTGGGCACGCCGCGCTTACCGAGACGACCGCGCTTGCGAGCAACCTGGATAAGGAAGTCGTTTGTCTGGTCTGTGGTTGAATTGCCGGGGTATAGCGTGGGTAAACCGTATACCTGGAGAAGCTTTGAAAGGAGATCTTCTGAGGAGGATAGGCGCTTGAGGAGGAGGTTGACAGCCGGGATCGGATCTTCAATTTGCTTCGGCGGGACGGCATTGAGGAGGATGAGACGGGCCTGGTCGTCCTGCTTCTTCTTGCCCTTCTTCTCGCCGCTGGTGTTGGGGAAGACAATACCGGGAGAGTCGATGAGCTTGAGTTTGCTGTCAAGCTTGACCTCGCGGAGGTTCGTGGTGACACCGGCTTCGGCGCCCGTGGGGCAAGCGTTGCTGGAGCCCCTGCTCATGCGGGCAGTGAGGGCGTTGATGACGGAGGATTTGCCGACGTTGGGGTACCCGATGACACCTACGGAGATAGCGCGTCCGAGATTCTTGTTCTGGGCATATGTCTTCAGTGCGCGGAAGAGCGTCTCCGACGTTCCTTTGACGGAGAGCTGCTTGTGGTCGAAGCTGTGCGCACCGCCAGAGCCGTTGGAAGCCTTCAACGGCAGCGTAGGGAAGTAGCGTCGCAGATGGATCAGCCAGTTCTTGAGCACAGGCGGTGGGACAAGATCGATCTTGTTCAGGATAAGAATAAGTCGCTTCTGTCCACCGTCCGCGGCCATGATCTCCCGCTCCACTTCCTTTGATCGCGTGCCTTCAGGATCACGCGCATCCAACACGTAGAGGATGACATCCGCCGCCTCAACAACCTTTTTGAAAACCTTATCAAAAGCCCGTCTTGACGTCTCCTTGCCAGAAACAAGGGTAGGAACGCCATCCTCATCCGTTTGCACATCGTCGTCACTCATTCCATCCATGTCATCATCTTCATCCATTGCATCCTCATCCCCGCTCTCATCATCACCCTCGCCATACTCCACGGCCCTAGCCCTCGCAGATGCCAGAAGCGCAGCCATGGGGTTCGCATCGTCGCCTGCATCTTCATCCATCTCGTCATCCAACAAATCATCATCCCCGAGATCAGCCATCTGGTTTTGCGTCGCCTCGTCACCACCTTGCTCACCACCGTTCTGCTTCTGAGCAGCACGTCTCGAACGAGCTTCCTCGCGAATTCGCACCTGTTCTTCCGCCTTCAACCGTCTCCGCTCCTCGATCTCATGGAGCATCTTTTCCTTGTGTGGGAAGAGGTTGGGGATACCGGGGTCCTTCTTTATCTTGGAGCGCCATTCCGGGTTCTAAAACCGTTAATTACCGGTCGAAGAAAAACCGCGCACAAAGGGGACATGAGGCAGATATTGGGAACAGGGAGTAAAAACCTTCTTCGCAAGCTTTCTCTGCTTGCGTTGCTTCGCCGCGGAGGCTTTCTCGATCTTGTGTCGTAGCCGGACGGGCGTCCGCTTTGAGTTTTTGCCTGGGGTGGGTGAGTTAGAAAAAATCCCATGCTCATTAATTCCAGAGTCCAATATACCTAGCTTGACCATATTGACTGGGGTCTAGAAGTGTCGCTGTCGAGCACTGACAAAACTCGGTCTGGGGACTGTATAATTTTTTTGCTGCGCTAAGCTGATAACAGAACCGGGTTCGCCTATCGTAGACGCGATTAGTCATCCCGTCGCCAGTGGATTGAGCGCCTCGGGAGGGGTTCTCTATCCGCAGTATACGCCAAAACCCATCACTTGGTTTTTAAATTTAATTCTCTTTCTCACTATCAATCCTAAATAGGGCGCCTTTATATGGAAATTGATAACTGTGGGCTCGACTTCTCCACAGATCTCGCACCTCGCAATGATGGTGTCGAGAAGAATCTTGGTGATCCCTACTCTAATATACTGTCCTGGTCATTCACATTTGGCCTCTCCGGCCCAGAGGCGATGATGGCATCATCTGGTAATGTCGAATGTTTTGCACCACCGGCTTGATTGACCTTCTTGGAGGCACCATAAGCCCGCTCATGGCGGCCCGTCTACCCGTGTCGAATAAACACTTGGCCACAGAATCTGCAAGTCAGATATGGACCTGGTTTTAAACTGGCCCGGACGGCACATACCTTCTCGTGCTTGTTCTTAATAATGGCTCTATAAAAGACTTTATTGCAGTACCTGCAAGGTGCTGGGATCGGGCTTTTGTTTCACATATATGCCGACAAGGATAAGCGGATGTTTGATATTGTCCCTAGACATTGCCCAGGTGATGAGCTGAAAGGTGGACTGTGAACTCATCTCGTCCCTCAACATAACAATGCAATCTATGTATTGGACATTTCGCGCCCTTGAATGCCCTCTTTGAGGGTTGCTTCAAGATGCTTAGCCGGTAAACATCCTATATCGACCGCTCGTAAAACCATGATAGGAACTGAAGACAGACTATCGAAATCTCCGACTTTCTTTGTCGTTGTCGATATACAAGAGATTGCTCGAGGAGGTCATGAAGCGAGGCGCTGGATTGTTTTCTCATTGGCCGCCCTCCTTCGCACACGCTGACAAAGCCGGACACCAACTTATGCGGGCCATTTGATCCATAGCCCGGGGCATTTCCATCCATCTTAGATTGAAACTTTTCTTTGTATAGATTGTCTTCTTCTTTTAGAGACTATACGTGCGACAATGTCGTTTTCAGCGCCTCCTCAACTTCTTACTTTCGATGGTATTTTGTCTGACTTCGATGGCACCATCGTCGACTCGACAGATGGTAAGTGGCATCAACCTCTATGCATTGATAGTGAGGGGCTCAGCAACCCCTCCATCTATGATATGCATTGTGATATACCATGTACGATTACTGAACTGGATTTATGACAGCTATTGTAAAGCACTGGCACAAGTTAGTTCCACACCCTTTGATGAAAAGAAAACGAGGATAAATGAAACCAACACAATAATTCGAACTATTAACTGACATCGCCCCCTTCCAGAATTGGTGCCGAGCTCGGAGTCGACCCCAAGACTATCCTGGCCACCTCCCATGGCCGTCGGAGTATCGATACTCTACAGCTCTATGACCCCAAGAAAGCCACCTGGGAGTGTAAGTTAGACCTCGCATAGCTATTGAATTCCTTCATTTGTTGACTGTCGATGAACCAGATGTCAGCTACATTGAAGGGCGCATCCCTAAGGAATACGGCTCTGACGCGGTCGAAATTCCCGGCGCGCGGGCTCTCCTCGCTGCTCTGGAAGAGAGTGGCGCAACCTGGGGCGTCGTGACATCGGGCACACGCGCGCTGATTGATGGCTGGCTGAGTGTTCTCAATCTCACACATCCAGAGTTCCTCGTTGTGGCGGAGGATGTGGAGCTTGGGAAGCCCGATCCACGGTGCTATCTGCTTGGGCGGAAGAAGCTGGGTCTGGAACACTCCTCCTCGCTGGTCGTGTTGGAGGATGCGCCATCGGGAATCAAGGCTGGCAAAGCTGCAGGGTTCACAGTTATTGCCTTGACTACGACTCACACGTTGGAACAGCTACAGGCTGCTGGAGCAGACGTGATTGTGGAGGATCTGAGGAGCATTAGCATCAAAAGTGTTTCGAACGGGAGGGTGGAGTTGGAGATCAGGAATGCCTTCCAGTAATGGTAGTATTTCCAGGGAGAATGACCTTGGTTCCAACCAAATAGGTTCCTGCAAGTTGCCGCGACGGTTGTGTCGGTGAGGCTCTTGCCTTGCCTGGTTCCCATACCAACACGATTCATGAGTTAGATGCTAGAATGATAGACAGCGGCATTGTATATAGAATCTGGACTTCCTTTTCCTTCGTGGATATGACGTGTGTGATAGAATACGTTGGGGATGAGCCTTGCATCGCATCCACGCAAGGATCTCCCAACCGGCTTTCTCCCCGCCGGCTTCTTTTCCGTGAAGAAGCGGAGGAAGGTACGGACACAGCTTGTATATGGGTTGCCGAGTTTACTTGAACTTTCTTGCCCTTTCCGAATATGTCCTCCGTCGGAGCCGATGGACAAGGTTACGTGAAGGGGGCGAAACCGTTGAGCTTCGCAGGTTATGACGCGGTAACGGCTGAGCTCTAATCTCAAACGGCCCGTGAGCCCATCCGCTTTAGCGGTGTGGCATTATAATTATCATCGAGAGAAAACTGGGTTTGTTACCGCGGTAGACTTTGTGCATTCAACTGCCTGGGAATTACGGTACAAGCTAACAGCCGCAGTTGAAGCGGCTCACCGATATTGGACATCGCAGCCGCGGACCACGGCCCATCACCGCTTCCCAACCCTTTTTCGATATGTCCCATTGGCGCCGGAACATGAACCTAAAACGCCAATATATTAGAAGCTTCTCCTTTTCTTTTCTTTTCGAAAAATAGCTGAAGCTCGTCGCTCGTCGCTCACCGACAAGCTGGACTTGACGTAAGAAAATCCGAGCTTCGAGTCGTGGAGGCTGAGCTGAGAAGATCGGGGAGGTGCGGGAAGCTCGATCGAGAGAGCTCTCTCACGTTGCATAGCGGTGGCTCCTGCAAATAACCTTAGTGGAGAGCAGGTAACCACGCAATACTTGCCCGGATCTCGCAGTAGGAGATAACCGATGAACCACAAAAAAAGCAAAATCGAGGGCACAGATGATGACTGCTGTGAGCCTGTGAGCCATTCAGAGGATTTCGGAAATGCAATCGTACGACCAGCTCTGCTTCGACCGTCATGTGTTTCACCACACGAGCAAGCAGGATCCTCGTCCAGCTTCTCAGAACAGAACGCGAGCATGATGGGCAGCTAAGGGCGATCCGCTCGTTGACAGAAGGCCGATCGGGTTCTGGAAAGTTGATGTATCGGATTCTTTGCCGACGCCTCGAGTCAGAAACGACTCGGCGAGACGCGCTCGCTCAATGGATCAATACTGCATCGCAACGACTTGTTCAACGCCATCTGCAAGGGATGCTGGAAACCTGCAACATGGATAATCGCCCAGGAGGATTCGAGCTCGTCGTCCCCCCTTTTCTCTTCTTTCCAGACGGTTCTATTTTGGCGAGAGTGCCTCGCGATCATCGATTTTGCGTTAATCTGAGTGAAGACGATACCTTAGCTCCTAATACGGAAACCAGAAGTAAGGAAGTGAAGAAAAAAAGTCGAAAGACGAGAAGTCCCCGAGACATCGATGGCTGGATCAGAAGCTGCTTCAGGTGGCAACTGCGACCTCTATGGCTTCTGCAGTTTGCAGATAATGTTGATGTGGTTGCAACTACAAGTCCCTCGGTCTGGACAAACGCTCCCCATGAGCCCAGGTTGCAAGCTGTAAAAAGTAGCAAAGTAACCCGAGTAACTGCTCAGTCTCTTCGCAAGATGTTAGAGCTTCATAGTCCGTGCTCGACGCAGAATAGCAAAGAAATTGATAACAAAAATAGCCGCCGCCAACATCGTGCACTGTCGTACAGCTTGGAGATGGATCCAGCCACCCAGAGGTCTTTGGAGCACGCAAAAGAAAAGGACGAAAGTCGAGAAGGGCCCTTCGAGTGGCTACCCTAGATTTTCCGTCTGACCGATCGTTATCTGTACTATTGTCACGGATGACAAAATCGAGATTTTTTTTCTTCTTTTTTTCCTTTCTTTTTTTTTTTTTTTTTACCCAGCTTCGAAACCGCACTGAACATGCTTGGGGCTATCATGACCCTGCAGAGCAATCCGTCCAGGCCTCAACGCCGAAACGGCTATCGGGGACTCGCACCGCCACATCTGCCTGAATGACATGGTGGCGATGCTACCGCAGCTCTAGTTTTGAGAGCCACTTCATTGTGGCGTAGCTGGTGCTCTGCTGATCGCTCTGTGGCCGAGTTAGGCAGTAAAATTACAGGTGACGCTGGTATATGCGTATTGGAGATGTACGGGGTGTCCACCCGCAGCCTGAAGTCGTGATTGTAGGCTTAGTGATCTGTTGACAAGCTCTTCCAATTTTGGATCTTAGGCCAAGTAAAATCACGAAACAATGACCAGCTCCAGAGAGCCTCCTGGGAGAGATTGGAGCCTTGGGCTCCTCGACGGTACAGTTACATCATATGATGTGCATCTAGTAGTAAAGGCTTCAAAGTGTGATTGACAAAGATCAGACCCAGGGGTGTGGGAGAATCAAGATAGGCATGGCTGATGGGATTTACAGCAGATCACTCCGCCGCCAAGGCCTAACCTTCTGCTAACAGGGACTTAGCGTGGAACATCTTCCTGACTGTGCGTACTGATACTTGCTGAATTGAGTGTATGGAGAAAGGCTAGTCTCAAATGTTGGTGTGAAACCTCCAGGGGAACACCAGTTGCTACACTTGTCCTGGAGGGAGGTCTCTGGTAGCTCCCCAGAGCGTCGCTGATTGCATCAAATCGACGATCCTCGGAAATATCGTCCGCCCAATATTGAACATTTGGTGATCAAAGGTCATGGACCCCTCGTAGTTTCATCCTGATTCAATCCACGTCAACCTTGAACCGAGCGCGTCGGTTACGGGATCATCCCAGGGGTTAGCCCGTCGATGCTTCGTAGCGTAGAGCTTATATCGTGCTTTGTGGTATGCACCCTGAGGCACATCTTCGACTGTGATGGGTGGTGATCTAAATACTGATTGGTTTTGAGGGAGAAGAAGGTTTACTGAGGAGCACAGTATTCCAGTCCATTGGCTCCAAGGCCAAATCCAGTGAGAGTCACTTCACACTGACTCGAGGTCTTTACTGTGCGAAGAGCCTGGCAACCGCATCCATGCACGTGAGCCAGGATCTGTTTGGTTGACATGCTCGAAACGAGAGTCGCTTTTGCCCACCTGCACCGTGTACGCAGTTGAACGAGTACCGAGTTACTCCGGAGGTACATAATTAGGGTACCTTGTAATCGTGGAGACTGGTGGCGGGGCAACCCATGCCTGTGTGAGGCGATTGGCCGCTTCATGGTAATCTCCAAGGTCAAACCTGGACCAGTGTTCTGCATGTTCAGGCAGCAATAGTGATGTTTTGAGGTTTTTTTGACCCTTCGAGCGGCCCCAGCCTCCGAGGAGCCGGTCGAATTTTACCGGTTGTTTGAGGCGAACGTTGGATTGTCAATCTGTCTTGCCGCAGACTGAAGATCCAAAAGAGGAGCTAGGGAAGCATGAAGACTGAAGAGAGAAATGCATGTAAAACCTGCTCGAGTATTTGCCAACAGAGCCCCGCACGGAACGCATATGATGGTCCCGAACCAACGAACCCCTAGCATCTCCGGTAGTCGAAGCGTCCGCTTGCGCTGCATGGAGAGAAGGTGGTCCTTGGGCAGCTGCTGCGTAACCCATGTATTGGTGTGGACGCCTCGGGAGGTGTCATAATTAGCGTCGAGCTTGAGCAAGCTGACAGTCGACACTCACAGCCTGCTTCTGAGGTCAGATCTTGAAACGGACGAATCACGAAAGGAACCCAAAGTCACCCAGGCATTGCACGCTCCGAGACTGTCTCGAAATACGGAGGCAGCGTTACGGGCTTTGCCGCCCAGCGCTGGATTCGAAAAGGCGAAAACAATTGAATCAAGTGATCCTGGGAGGTGATCGACAGGATCTGTCGACTATTGAATTTAGTGGGGCTTGGCTTGTGCTGCCACGCTTTTGCATCCTTCCTTTTCAACTTTTTGTCATGGCCCAACCTTGGATCCTATCCTAGTCGTCGAATGATTGGTAGATCCAGGAAATCAGGGCCACCGCGTGAAAAGGATGACAGGCATGGCTGGCGATCCGTGCTTGAGGAGGGGACCACCAGGCGGACCGACTCGGAGGTCGCCTGGATTTCCACGCGTCCGGGAGGGAAAAGTGCACTGAGGCTGTCGAGGATCAGAGCTGCCACCAGCAGAAAATAACCCTTGACTTCCTCAATCAAGTTAAAGCGGATTGGCCCAGAGGAGTTCCCCCTCTCTCCCTTTGGGCCGACGGGGTCCGAAATCCGAAATCCCCCCCGCTGGCCATGGTGAAGACTGAAGAGCGACTATTGGCTTCTGAAACCGGACATCTCGAAAGAGACCGTAGAAAGGAAAGCAAGCAAAAATCCCACCATTTTGGAGCTTCCGTCGGGAGCGTTTCGCAACAGGCGCGGTGTAAGCCAGGAGAATTTGTCCAGTTCCTGTCGAGTTCGAAACCTTGGATGGATGGGCCTTGGGTTTGGTTCTTGGGTCACCTGAAGTGGCTCTTGGCGCCGGCCCGTAGCGCTAACCAGATCCAGAATATGTGGTGCGCCATCCTGTGACTGAACCCACAGGCCACACTGGAGATGGAGTCTGACCGAGGCTCAGGAACACGCTTCCAAGATCCTGGGACTGCGAGTTACGATCCACTCGAAATCGTGTTAATCAGTTTCGCGTTTCAAACGAGGTCTGCGATTGTCGGTTCGTCACACATCGCGCTTCCTTAGGCTTGACTAACTCGTTGGAGCAGCAGGATACATTGGAGCACATCGCAACCCACGGCGACGCGCGGTTACTGGTTCTCGCTCGACGACGCTACTGCAGGAACTGATGAAGCTCGATGGGAACATCTCCAACTCGTCACAATTCCAGTTTCTTTGCCAATCACCCGCGTGAAACTCCGAGGAAAGAAGTTGGCCAAAAAAGAGGACAGAAAACGCCTTCCAGAACGGCTGCAGAAAGCCCCCTGGTTCTCCCTTTATTGACAGTTTCAGTCTTTCCTCCCAGATGCCATATGGCTTTTTGACGTTGACAGGCTCCCTCGCCTCGTCTTGGTATGTACTGATCTTGTCAAAATGAAGCCGACGGTCGGCGTAAGGCAAGGAAGGGTCCCAGATTCGCAGATGGACCGCACCAACCCTGCGGGTCAGCACCACCCAGATGGATACGATGATAACAGGAAAAAAAAAAAAAAAAGCAATCAAAATACCTCCCAAACAAGAAAAAGGAACAATAAAACGAGTAAAACCTAAAGAGGACGAAGCCAGTGTGGTACGGTCACCGCCACTGGGGGAGGGCCAAGATGGTCGGGTCGCGTACTGAACTGGCCCCTGGGCTGACGCTCAGACGAAGCAGCCTGCTGGGCGGGATTGCCATTGTGTTCCTGGTGCGATCTTTTTTACACGAACCCAGAGTAGCTTGATTGGAATACTCTAATTGTGCAGCCAGCCTGTAAGCAGTGTTCGTACCGTAAGACAGATACCGACGCACCGATCCTCTCAGTTTCGGGCGACGATCACCCAATGGCACATTTTCGTCGGGCTCTCCTCTGAATCCTTCCCTTCTCTCCTCCATCTCCAGTCTCTCCCTCTTCTTTCTCCCTCTCCCCGTCTTTCCTTATTCTCCCCATCCACACTCCCTTCCCTCTTTCGTTCTCCGTTTTGGTTTTTATTTTTTTTATTTTATCATTTTTATTTTAAATCCATTCCTTAATTTTTCTTTTTCGTTTTTCTATTTTCTGCTCTGCAGTCCCGCATCCTACAGAAGTCACTCCTTGTCCCTATTAGTTCCTGTCGTCGGACTTTATGCCTGTCCTCTTCACCTACTGGACGTTTTAAAAATATTGGATCCCATCTGCTGCAAATATACATATCAGTGAACTTCAGCTCTGGTCACTCTCTTTCACCTCTGATCCACTGCAACTCTGCGCTCCTCAGCACTCCTCAGCATTCTCCACAACCGCCTCGCCGTCCAGGCTTAAACTCTCTACATTGCTCCTCCGACTGTTACCCTTTCACCGACCGTTTTGTCCTTCCTTGGAGTCATTCCGACTCACCTCCCGCGGTCATGAACTACATCCACCATCCATACGCCTTCGCTGGCCATCCTGGCGTGCCAATGGAGCAACACCTTGGCTACGACCCGGCAATGGTTCACCCTTCTATGATGCACCCAATTGATGGCTATATTTACGCCCATCCTCCTTTCGACATGGTCGACTATTATCACCAGCCTATAATGGATTACGAAGAATACGCCGAAAACCTCTCGCGGCCGAGATTGACCAAAGAGCAGGTTGAAACCTTGGAGGCCCAGTTTCAGGCGCACCCGAAGCCCAGCAGCAATGTCAAGCGCCAATTAGCCGCCCAAACAAACCTTAGCCTTCCTCGTGTTGCTGTATGTGATGGTTGATCAAGATTGATTAAAAAAAAATAGAAATCAGTATGCTGACCTATTTGCAGAACTGGTTCCAAAACCGACGAGCCAAGGCGAAGCAGCAGAAGCGACAGGAGGAATACGAGCGCATGCAAAAGGCAAAGGCGGAAGCCGAGGAGGCTGCCAAAGCCAAAACCGTGCCTTCGGACTTCCCGGAGTCTGCTGCCGAACCCAATGATGAGAAGGAGGATAACGGCAAAGTTTCTACCCCCAAGCCGTCAAAACCATCCACATCTGGCAACCAGAAACAAACATCTGCTGTCTCTGCCGGGTCAAAACACCAGCAGACACGTAGTGAGGCTTCCCGTGCCGCTAGTCTTGCCTCCCTACAGCGAGCCTTGGATGCCGCTGCTGCAGCCCAGTATAACCCTGATGGCCGGGGTTTGACAAGTGTGGAGGGATCGGTGTCTCCAACCACATCTCTCCCAACGGACTCTGATGCATCCGTTTGGAACTCTGTAACATCGGCCGGAGAATTGTCCGTTCCTGGGTTCGACAACTCGCAACCTCTCTCTGACTATCCTTCGACCAACGACGGGGCTACTGCTCCCTATAACTCCATGCAATATGCTCTGCAGGCTGATGTGGACATCGGGCAACGGGGGTCTTCGGATGTGCTTTCTGACTCGCTCGAGGGCATTGGGATTACGGCTTCGCCTGGTCTCTCGCAGCTCGGTAACCGGACTGACCGGACTCCAGCTTGGAAGGAGGCGGGCAAGGAGCTTGATCTTGCTGCCCGCAGAAAGCGACCAAGGCCTGCTGCGATTGGCACGTCCAGATCAACATCCATGCTCGCAGGGCCTCCGGCCATGTCGCCAACGACGCGGGGGCAGAACTATGGCAGTGTGAAGCACTCCAAGTCTGCACAGGGTCTTAGCTCGCGCTATGCCGGTGTACGAAAGGCCTCTTCACAGCGTTCGCCCTTGAACATGTCAACCTTTGGGGAGGCCGGAGTACTGAGCTCTGCAAAGACCGAGTTGTCAACAATGTTGCAGCCGGTTACAACAAACTCGCTGGCTCCTCCAACGCCTTTGACGCCGGAGGACCTCCACCACCTGCTCCCCAACACGCCTTCTACCGATAGTTATTGTCTGTCGGCGCAGCCCACTAGCCACATGTTCCCCACGACGCAACCCATGCATATTAACATTGCATCGCCCCCAGCTACCCCATTGGGCATGGAAATGATTTCCCCATACCAGTATCAAGGGGTCGCGCCACCCATGTCCGCACCGGCCCATTTCACCTCATTCGCGGACTATGGGTGCGAGAATGGCCTACCAGGGAGGGGCTGGGAGGCGACTTCGATGCCGTCCCCTGATGCCCCGTTCCCTAGCCATTGTCCAATGGACCTTGCCTCAATATCATACGAGCAGGCTCTCGAGCAAAGCCACTCTGAAAGTGTAGCTTCGGGGTCTCCGTTCGGCGAGGCGGACATGCAAGCTTCGGGGGACGCGAAGGCTACAGAGTTCCATCTGTACGAGTTCCCGGACCAAGAAGAAGCTCACCGGTTCGTGGCTCAGCAGCTTCCGTCTCAGAAGCCCAAGGCGTATACCTTTGCGGACAACCGAACCCCAACCAACTTCGGCTGACGAATGATATTTACTGAAATCTATTCAACTGTACTCATAAAAGGCTTTGCCATATATACTGCTGGATTAGTTTATTTTTGGGATTCCCGAGCATTCTTGTGGGCTTCAATTGGTGTTGAGGATCGGTTATTTTTTTGGTTTAATTTCTGCATGTTTTGGGAAGCGCCTGGGTTGGACATAGGATAGGAGACTTTCACGTATATTAACCTTACTATATTAATACATAATTTCAACGAATTACTTGACTTGGTTTACCACTTCGGAGCCTTTACCACATTGACCCAAAGCCGTGGAGTGGCTGCAACGCCAACACGGCCTTGGCCTCCCACGTGCTGAGCCATTCCAGTCTGTATGGACACTCCCGTCTAGCTTCCGGAACCTCAGGTACAGTTTTCCCGAACCACCAAATGGAAAAATAAAGTATAAAGTAACTCAAGTGAGTCTATCTTTTTTCCTCACTACGCACTGCATCGAGAAAGGAGAAAGTTGATACTGACTGCGCAACGCAATATGAAGCTCTCCACACTCGCAGCAACCCTCGGCCTCAGCGCCGCCGCTTCAGCTTCGAAATCTATCAACTACACCACTGTCCAAGGCTACTTCATCCAGGATGACCCATCCACAGACCCATCCAGCTTTGACTACGTACGTCTTTATCGCCTCTTCTCTCTTACAAAATCAAATACGCAACCCTGTCATCTGTAATAAAAAAATAATAACTAACCAACCCAACCAGACATCCCACAACTTCGGCCTACTCGACCGCACCTACGACGCAGACAAAGTCGCGCAGCACTCGCGCTCAAGCTCAGGCTCAGGCATAATCCCCGGAGCCAGAAACCTAACCCAGTGGGAACGCTTCCACCGCCAGCTGGAATATCTAAACTCCAACTCCCCCAAGCACGTCAGCTACAAGCTCTTCTTCCTCGGCCGGCACGGCGAGGGCTGGCATAATGCTGCGGAGGATTATTTCGGGACCCCGGCTTGGAATGTACGTTTCTCCTTATTCTTACCCCCTCCAACATAGATAGATAAGATAGATAGATTTGGGAAATAAGGAGAAAGGGACAATAACTAATGAAATACAGTGCTACTACTCCCTCCTAACGGGCAACGCCACAACAACCTGGTTCGACGCAGACCTCACCCCAGAAGGAATCAACCAAGCCCAAATCGCACACACCTACTGGGCCTCCCAGTCCAAGGAGCAGAAGATCCATTTCCCAGATGCTTACTACTCCAGTCCGCTTACGCGGTCGCTGAAGACGGCGAATCTCACTTTTGCGGGATTTCCCCAGCTAGTATCATCCCGGGCCCGACCTGGCAATGCTGCTGCGGCGTTTGTGCCGCAGGTTAAAGAGGCGTTTCGGGAGGGGGTTAGCTTGCATACGTGTGATAGGCGGCGGTCGAAGAGTTATATTGAGGGGTTGTTTCCTGATTGGACGTTTGAGGAGGGGTTTACCGAGGAAGATGAATTGTGGACTGGCGTTAAGGGGGAGACAAGCGAGGCGCAGGATTTGAGGTCGCGCGGGGCGTTGGATGATATTTTTAACTCCCGGGGTCGAACTGAGGGTGAGAAGAAACCTAGAGGGCGTGGTGGTGCCCATGTGCCTAGCCATGGAGATGAAGATGGTGAGAAGCTGGTTATCTCGGTTACGGCGCATTCGGGCGAGATCACGTCTATCCTGAGAGTTATTGGACACCGAGAGTTTAAGCTGAATACTGGGGCAGTGATCCCTGTGTTGGTTCGTGCGGAGGAGGTGCACGAGCCTGAGCCCACAGCGACGGTGTCGTGGACCGCGAGTGCCCATTGTACGGCGGCGCCGGTGACATCGACCGCGTCTGGGTGTGTTTGCGCAAGCTCGGCAGTGCCGGTGACGACGGGGTTCCCGGTATTCGCTACAGAGACTCCATACTAGGCGTGATCTGGTGCGATTGGATTTGACGGGTGAATATGCTGTAGTTGTTATATGACCGTGAATAATGGTAATAAGACTATGTAATCTACCAAGAAAAAATAAAGGGTAAGGTCAATTTGTGTGCGTCACAGAAAGACATAAATCATGACCGCAGAAAGTGCAAGGGTAAGGGCAAGCGCATACAAACAGTGACATGTACTAGAACAGAGTGGAGAACTGATGCAAGACAGGAAACTCAAGTAGAGGACGCCGACCCTATAAAACAGCACTACCGATATTATCTGACCGGCCCTCTATCGTAAAAGAAAAGAAAGAAAAAAGAAAAAAGAAAAAAGAAAAAAAGAATGCACATTCAACGCATCAGATTTCCTACTCCCGAAACTAAAATCAAAATGAGCATCATCGGGTATAACAACGGGGTATTGAATGAAATGCAAATTAGAACTACTCATTCCCCTGTCAAGTGGCGAATCAAACATTGTATAAACAGCACCAAAGAAAAAATACCACTGTAGGCAAAAAGTAGATACCGAACGAGATTCCCATCCAACTCCAGAAACACCAAAGAAAGAAGGTTCGAGTTTCGTTTAATATGTAGACCAGCCAGGCTGTGGGTGTCCAGGTTGCATTGGTTGACCGGGCCAACCAGGCATAGCTGGATTCATGCCCATGCCCATTCCAGGTTGCTGAGGAGTTCCCGGCATAAACTGCTGACCAGCTGGGGCATTCTGCGAGGGATATAACCCACGCCCAGCCATTCCAGGGTACGGGTTGGCTCCGCCTGGGAAGCCCATGGAAGCCATGGACTGTTGCTGAGGAGTCTGCGGGTGGTGCATAGCAAACGACTGGGGCATCTGGGGCACTGAGGGTCGGACCTGGTTACGTGGAGACTGTGATGGGTGCTGGTGTTGCTGCTGTAGACTGTGGGTAAGAGGAGAGGGAGATTGTTGATGCTGGGGTTGCTGCGGCTGCGATCCTGGTTGCTGTTGCTGTAATTGAGAGGGGTATTGGGGGATGCCTTGTGGATTGGAAGATAGTGGTGAAGCCTGAGGCTGCGGCGGTGGCTGACCCCATACCTGCTGTTGGTGTTGCTGCTGTGAGGGAAAACCGTAGGGTCCAACCTGCGGCGCCAAAGCTGGGTTTGTCCGCTGATGCATGAGATCGGGTCGAACAGGGGGCATAGCACGGATGGGTGACTGTGCCACTGTGGCCTGCTGATGCATAGTTGGCGGTTGGAACCCGGCTTGACTGGGTATCATTTGGGCCTGCGGCATCATATTCGGCTGTGCTGGAGTTGAGCCCAAAACGCCAGCCGTGGATAGCCGCGGTGACTGCAAAGGCTGTGCAACGGATGTAGTGGCTTCAAGTTGTCCAGGCTGCGATTGCGCCGTCGACGCAGGCGGATCGCGCTGCTTGGAAAAGAAATCATCGAGACCCTTTTGACGGTAGTTACGCTGAGATGTCAAGATCTTGTTGAAGTCTGCCGTGTGTGTTGCCTGGTTCAAGATCTCAGCGGCGGTGCTAGGCTGTGACCGGTCCTGGTATGGCTGGCCAGTCAACTCTTGCCGCGGTCGGGGCATACTGTTGTATTCCCTTAAGCGTGGATCGTCCGTGGTGGCCATATTGATCATCGGAAGAGGCTGCGACAAAGATCCGCCCGATCCTAGTGACAGGTTGCTAGGCACTGTTTCTAGTGCATTGCTGTAGATTACATCGCCATGAGCCAGAGTGGGCAACAAGTTGGCGGCGTTTGCTGCTTCGGCGGCAGCTTCGCGAGCCTTCGCGCCACCAGGACGCTTTTCACCTGCGAGGTCATCTTCGGTGAAGCCCTGTTTGCGCGCTTTGCTTTCCCAGTAATCGTCACGGACGCGGCGCCCATTCACAATAACTCGGCTGCCGAACTGCCTAAACATCGACCTTGCCGAGACGATGGCAATCTGACGCGAGCGGTAGGAATACGGAAGAATATCCTGCTGAATGAGATCATCTTTCTCGATCTGGGTGGCGATGATTTTGTGCAACGACCGATTCTTGTTGAAAAGTAGGTACGAGTCCCTATAAGACAGAACTCGCGCGCACTCCGTCGCTAGCATAAACAGCTTCTTCCCGCGCAGTGGCACAGTAAACGTCCTGCACCTGTACTCGCGATCACCTTGTAAATACCCATTCGCATCCACCTTCTGCTCGCCAGCGTCGTCAAACTCTTTGGCGATATACTCATCGCGTTCCTCGTTTAGCTGATCGGTAGTATGGTCCCTCACAGTTGGGAGAGCTTTGACCAAGGGAGCTTTGGTTGGTGTCGTCTTCTCAGGCGGTGAGCCTAGCGGGGGTGAGGCGTTTGGGGGGGATTGCTGCAACTGTTGGGGCTGCATTTGGGGAGTTTGTAGTTGTTGAGAGCTTGCTGATGAGGGTTGATCGTTGGCTGTAGAAGGGCGAGGTGTCTTTGGAGGTCGGCCTCGTTTTCGACGGCCTTGATCGTCTCCTACAACTAACGCGCATGTTAGCATCTGGATCGCAAAGGGCGGACTCGGCAAGCGCAAAACAAAAGCAAAACGAAAGAAAAGAAAAAAACGGTGCGACAATAGCGATTAATGAGACGAAGGCGGCCCGCGATAACTCCCGAAGCACAAGATTACCCGGCGCACGTACCGTCATCTGGATCCCCATCGCGAGAGACTCCGCGTTGTTCCGGTGTGCGACCGCGCTTGACACCGCGAGGGATGGCGCTGGGATCTGTTGCTCCGTATGGCGGCGTTGGGAGAACAACAGGTACTAGAAGGGGGTCAGTATGAGGGTTGTCGCGACGGACAGACAGTAGAAAATAAGAAATAGTAGACCCCCATCACTACTGGTATCGACGCGACAGGTTCGCGCCACCAGATAAACACGCCAAGGTTGAAAAGCGAAGCAGTTAAAAAAAAAAAAAAAGAAAAAGAAAAAGGAATCGCGAAAGAATTAAAGGGAAGGGAAAAAAAAGAAAACAAAACAAAACAAAAAGGAAAATATGCGACGACATACCGTTTGTATTATTTAGAGCAGCAGGATTGATGGTGCCCGAGCCGTCGACGAGGTCCCCTCCGATCCCATTCATCGGAGCGGAAACGGAATGGGGGGTGCCATACATGGCGGGCCAAGGAGGGACGGGAGGAGGGTGAAAGAGCGGTCGCGAGGCCGCGGGCGGGTTAGAGAGACGCGCGAGTAGTCAAAACGCCGAGATGGAGGATGAGATGGGCTACTGCAACGAGGCGAAAGGAAGAATCGGCGACGATGCAAGTGGCCCTCGGACAACTCAGAGCAGACGTGTCGCGAGTTCGCATGCAGTTAGATGGTAAGGCAGGGAAGGTGGCAGAAGGGCAGATCGGCGGGGAAATGATGGAGCAAATCAGTGTCAGAGCTTGCTCGGTCGCAAGATAGTACCTTAAAAGATTAGAGGAGGACGGAACTCTCGACTCTTTGTGGTGGTCGGAATGCTGGATTGACTCTGGCTGGAGAGGGGAAGATCACGTTAGGCGGTGACTAATCACGACCGACGGCCGCGCCGACAGAGTGTGGCTGGTGTGGCTGGTGGATGTCAAGCCGGGCACCGCCACAGAGGCTGGAGGAATGCGGGTTCAGGAATCCTTCCCGTCACGGTCAAGAGGGGAAGACTCGGGAGTGGAAACCAGGGGGGGGTATCGCCCAAGGTTCGCTCGCTGCAGAAATGCAGAGCCACCAAAAACGAACGGGGAGATGCAAATGATTCACAGCTTGCCGCTGACGGAACCGATCAGTGGGGACGGTTGACGGGGGTGGGTGTGACCAACAGGCAGTGTCTGTGTGTCGTTTTAGTCGCGGCGAGATGAAGAATGGGCAAGGAAGTAGCAGAGGATAATTGGGTGGAGGGGCAGAAGAAACCCGGAGAAGAGGAGGAGTGGGGACGAAGGTTAGAGACAGACGATGCACCAGACAAAGAAAGGCCACAGCGCTGCCCAGGAGGGAGATTTGATTATGGGGAGGAAGAGGGTGAAGGATTCGTCTGCGAGGAGGGGAACACAAGCAGCAGGAGCGACCTTGGTCGTGCCTTCCAGTTCTTCGGCCGGGGGGGGCGGTGCCGCTGATTGGCTGCGCTATGCATGCATTTGTCAGCCACTGCACAAGCCGCTGCGGATAACTCCACGCAAGACCGGAATGCTCGAGGTTGCCTTTCTCGAGGCAGACTGCGTACTTTTATGATCTCAACTTCGACTGCAACGCAGGATGGCGGTCGGGTAGCGCGGAGCCCCTTCCAGCTAGGCTCTCTGCTAGTTGAGTTCTGAGATACCGCAACCCAGAAAGCCAGGCGTCTCGAAGAGCAAGGAACCCTGCATGCCCGAGAAATAGCGGCCCTGCGGGAGCGAATCAGTGTGCAGGCTCGTTGGGAGGAGCAAAAACTAAAACAAAAGAAGCGCAACGAGCCAACAACGGAAAAAGCACAGGAAAAGAAATCACGCCAGGCTGACTCGTTGAGGGTGAAGAGCCGCGTCGCCTTTGCTCCAGGAAGGATTTCGGACGAAATGGCCAACACGAAGTGATCAATGGAGCGGGTTTTCCGGCTGTGGCTTGTCCATCAAAGGAACTCGACGGGGCAGTGTTGATATGCGAGAATGCAAAATAACCCTCCTTGGATACACCGTAAGCGCCGGTGGTCATGCTGACCGTCTGACGGCACGGGCGATGATCTTGATAGCGATCACTTCACGTCAATGCATTCTTTTTCCGGAGTTGGACAAGATACTCCAGGCGGGAAATGATCAGCGAGAGTCGAACTGGGCTGAAGAAGAAAAGAATAGCCCTTTTGCACGGCGTGAAAGACAAGCGCTCCTGATCCCCAATTTGTCAAAATGACTCGCGCACCCAATAGCGTTGTCTTGCCTGGTCACTGCTTCGTGGACATCCACAGGTGGGGGATCTTACTGGCTCTGTGCAGTGGCGAATGCCTCCCTCATGCAAGACAGAAGCAAGGATCTATGATTGTCCTGGCCTGGGCCGACTAGCCTTGTAGTAGCTGATCTTGTATAGGTTATGACTGATGAGGCGCTCCCGTTCAGCACGGACTCCAAAAGGTTATCCCAGACGCATTTTCCAACCAAAAGCGATACTTATGATTTGATAGCATTTCATGGCCGGGCGGATGATCGCTTTTCACCTGTACAACCCGATAAAGCTTCTCGCTTGTCGAATCTATACCGAAGCCGAAGTATACCAGACGGACGTTGTTGATTACGGAGTTACGCCGCAGCCGAGCAACGTTAATCGCCACGCTCAGAATAGGTAAATAATAGATAAATAATCAAATAACACTACTTTTATTATCACAAGCAAGCAATGGTCACATTCGCGGAATTGCCACTAGTTGATGTCACTGAATACTGTACTTTGTCTTCGGGCCCTCACAGTCCCAATCTAGACCCCCGCCAAAGTATTCGCATACTCCATCTCTCTCAAGCCCAAACCATCGAACATCAAGAACTCAACGAGAATCTGCAAGCGGCTAGTCCCAGGCAGGGTATTTTGGCAGCTGACCAAACTCGGTCATCTGCCCCGAACGGAAACCCGGGTCGATCAGGACCGTGCGTCCATCAACGCTCCCCGTCCACGCATCTGTTTGGCTCCGCGATCCAAGCTATGCGAGATGCGGCCAGACCAGACGCGTCCTGGCATGCAGGCCAGGCGGCGGCCATCAGCAGAGCAGTCGCAGGGAAAGAAGGGGACACAAAACAACGGCGTCTCTGGCTTGGCTGCTGGCCGACTGCTGCAGTGAGTCACGGCGATCGGGACGGGGCTAGGCTGTGAAACTGCATTCTTGTGCGACGTTGAGTATATCGAGATTAACCTGGACGTTTGGAACTCCAGAATCCTACCCCCCTATATAAATTATTATTTATTTATGTCTGCTACATACGACCACAGGGTGTGGAAAACAGGGCTTCCCGTCCGCTCAGCCGTACTTAAGCCACACGCCGGCTGGTTAGTAGTATGGTGGGTGACCACATGCGAATCCCAGCTGTTGTATGTTTTTTTTACTTACCCAAAGTAAGTCAATCCATATTAGGTCAACACGATCCCAGGATCAGGAAGGCTTGAGAGGTCAACTTTCCATAAAACTCAATTATAAGGTCCTTGGCCTTGGGGGTTGTTGCGAATGATGTGAGAGGGTGTAATACACCTAATTAAAGGGAATTAACGTATCGCGGGACGTAGATTTCAAGAAATAAGGATTGTTAAAAGATTAATGCTGAAGTTCTAATGTTATGCCCTTCGTGAAGTGAAGAAAGATAAGTTAGTTATTTCCTCACAATGAGTCAGCTTCCAGCTTACTCGGCTTACACTCTCGCGAATATCCTGAGGCTGTCTTGCGGAGGGGGTCCTACAATATAGCTTCTCTATCAGATCCTTTCTAATTAAAATTATACAAGGCCCTGGTTGCCTTGTAAAGGATTGTAATATATTAATTCCTTAGTATAATAGATTAGTAGAGATATTCAGGGATCAGTAATACAGTAGTTAGATAGTAATTACCGAGCAGGTTGCTCTCTGTAGGCGCCCCGGCGGCGGTCCACAGGGGTCATATGGTAGGTATCACGTGGCACGGCCTTTGCGGTCGTGACAATCGGGTATAGGATTTCAGGGCGGGTTGTGCATGTCTATATGGAACATCAGTAATTCGGATTCCGAATTTGCTTTCACTTCTTGCTTTCATCTCAGCATGAGACTCTTCACCAACCTCTTTTTTATTTCGTCAAGACCATGGCTTTCGCCTTCCGGGAAGACCTCCTAGAGAGCTACACGGATTTGGAACTGGCTCATTATATTGTATCCTCACCGTCATGCGAGTCCACCTCCCGGGTATTCAACCTTTCCTCGAATCTCATAGCCAAGCAATATGAGCCTTCAGAGGTCGAAGATGCTTTTAAGGCAACCGAGGTTGCTAGCCAGCTTGGGATCCGCGGTCCTTCTATACAAAAGGTAATCAAAAATCAAGAGAATGCTTACGCTATCATGGATCGGATTGAGGGAGCTACGCTGGACGTCATCTGGAAGAAACTGGGCTGGGTCATGACAATTAGGCTTGGTCTGCAGCTTCGCTACTTTGTAAATATCCTCAGATCCGTTACCTCACCCACTGTCGGATCACTTGCTACAGGCGAATGCAGGTCTTTCTGGCTAGAAGATCGCTACGGTCTCCCGGCGAATTCTGGACCAGCTGAAATTACCCACTTCTTCCAGTTCTGGGCGAACTTTACGTCCATGCGACGGGCGATGCAAGCAGCAAAACAAGGCCAGACACCAAATTCCACCGCAGGACTTCCACTGACCATCGAGTCATTTGTCTTCACTCATCATGATCTCACGCCACGCAATCTTCTCGTTTCTCCTTCTGGCCAACTTTCACTCCTTGACTGGGATTTGGCTGGTTTCTATCCTGTCACTATTGAGTACGCATCGATGTATAATTTTAACATGCCGCAGGACTGGGGTTTGATGGCCCGTTTACGGTGGCATCTATTTACCTGGATCGCGGTTGGCTACTACGAGGCTGACGCTCGCCTGTTACGGAATATGCGCTCCAAGTTTACAAGATTCGCTATTGGAAGGAGATACGAACTGTTAGAAAATGGAGGGCCCTCAAGGTATCCTGTAACCTGATTTTGTGAACTCCACACAATCTGCTTTCGTGTCCACAATGTTCCTATAGGAATGAGCATTTACTGACTACGACGATGACCGGTTCAACTCCGCCCATTTACAATCCCGAGTCGGCAGTATCCATATTTGCGGCTACAGAAATGAGGAAAATGCAGGCGACGAAGATGGCAATTCTCCCACCAACCATTGGGCTGCCTTTATGCAGCTTTCACAGGGCGGATCCGTCCGCCTCGATATGACTCCGGGCTATGGCTCCGATGGACTGAGAGGAAAGATGGATATCTCGTCCAAGGCATACTCTTTGACGAACAACGCCATCAAAACCCTGTCCTTCCCAGTCAGAACTCAGGCTATGGTTCGTACAATTATCGATCTTATCAACTCGAAGGGCCGCGACAGGTATAAATTCACGGAGGAGTGGGAGGGATGCAGATTTTGGATGTTCACTTTCATCTCCGATTTGGAAGACAGTGGTCTCGTATCATCTGGTAGCGGAAAGGCGACTTGGGACGCTGTTGCTCTCTACTGGCGCAACCCTAATGGCTATGAGCCGAGGGAGGTCAAGCGGGGAACATTTTACTGAGAACGCACGTTGCTATGCCCGGAAGGCAGGTACTAGGATATTCCAGGCTGTTCACGGTTTCTTATTCTTAATTGTACTAGGAGGATAGCAGGAAAGTCAAAAGTAGCACTGTTTGACCCGGGCTGTACTATCATCGAAGGCGCTGTATATACTTTTCGATATACTTCAAGACTTTTTGTTTGTGGTTCTGTTGATCTTCTTTTTCTCAATTGACTGTTTAGTTCTCGGATGTATACTACAATATTTATAATCTAGAACTATTTCTCGTCACTATTGCAAATCCAACCTGGATATGGAGGTAGAATAATGACTTCCTAGCCAAATAGAACATATAATAATAGACAAACGTAGCTGATACAGGCAACAGAGGATAGTACCTCGGTACAGCTTCTACACAAACGGTTACTATATAAAGTCAGGGGTAACTTATACTGAGTCCATGGGCTATTTAAGAATTTAATCCGCGTTTCGAGGGTTATTTTGTCGCTCACCCTGTCTATTGTGCACTCATCCTACTCACCCCAATCTCACCCAGATCGCGCGACGGCACAGCAGCCTCACCTGCTCGCTCACCTGGGCCGCACCCACCCGACTTCTGGGAGCTGAAACCTAATCTCAACAGACCATAAACTCTAGGGGTCTCTGTCTATGACTGCGCAATGAAAACTCCTTCCTCCATCTCGACATCATCGCCGCCTTGCCTGCACCATGCATAACGATCAAGAAAAACAAATACACAGTACATCCTTTGACTTGTGCGGTCTCAGAAAGTGTTTTCATAAGAAGGAAGTCGACTCCTGCCCAGTCGACGATGACTTTCTGTCCTTTTGTGGAATGAAAAGGCGTCGGGGGAGTAGCAAAATATGGCACATCGATCCGAAACACGACGCATCCACGCTACATGACCACCTTGAAGCTATGCTGGTAGACTACAGCGATGATTCGACACAATCGAATATCTAAAGCGAATCCGGATATCTATGGGATGCAGGCAGGGCGCACCAACTCGCCAATCTACGGCATTGCCACTGACTCCTGGGACTGGTATTTTCTCCGTCTAGACCCTAATGGTGTTGTAAGGAACCCATCTACCGTGTATCTACTGTACTATGTCGTATGCTAATGTGAGCAGGTGTCGGCACATGTCGTGCTCTGGCACAACGACTCAATCGAAGTCATCTCCTTAATACACAAGATCATAGACCAGGCCACATGCCTGACGCCAGTGTCCAGCCAGGCTTTGCCAACAGTCGAGGAATCTAGCAGTCTACACTGGTTGCCCGAAATATACCACCGGTAAAGGCCGTTTCCTTTTTGGTTGTTTGTATCCATGAATTTGTCAGCGGCGTCAATTCCGCATCAGAAAGAATAATATACACGAGACAGACCAAGTGTTTCAGGTTGGAGAACCACTACACCGTGGAACAAGTTACTGCTAGTGCTATAGCCTCCAGGGCTTGCAGAGAAAAAAAAAAAAAGAACGTCTCAATCAATGCCTCACATTCCCTTAGTTCGACGCAGCACCCCCGCTAGCCGTACAATCCCCATCGCTCTCTCCACCCAACAAGTTCGCCGTGTGGTCCTCACACTTTCCAGGCCAAACCGCAGGTCCCGGCGCCGTGTAGTTCAACACAGGAGGGTAGTAAATGCCAATCAGAATACCCGGCTCCTCACCCGTATAAGCACCGGGGAACTTGACCGTCGGCGCGGGAGTGCCCGATCCATTGCCCGTAACCTTCAGCTGCGCACAGCCAATATAGAACTGCGCACCACCCTTCTCCCCAGCACCGTGAAGCCCAATGCCCTCCGCACGGAGCAGGTACTCGCCAGCCTCGAGGTTATCCGGCAGTGCAAACGTGAAGTTGGTAATCCCCGAACCACCGTCATCAAAGGCAGCCCACTTGGCACCCTCGGTCTCACTGATACTCGACGTCGTGAGCGAGTAAACCTTGAACCAGTCGCCCGCACCCTTGTATTCCTTGGCGGTACCGGGGGCCTTGCTCATGTATACCTGCTGGGGACCGGGGTGTCCGAAGTTGTCGCGGATGACGAAGCCGACTTCGTCGCCGGGGGCGACTTCGTGCGTCTCTGTGGCGCTCAAGACGTCGTCGTCAATGCCGCCGACGTTGCAGATGAAGTCGTCCGAGGTCACGTCGGTGACGGGGCTGTTGCTGTTCTTGGTGCTGCGGACGTATTGGTATTCCTCTGTTTCTTCGCCGTTGACGATGAGGGAGGCGTAGTTCCAGTGCGCGAGGGCCTGGGGGAGGACGGCCAGGGCCGCTGTGAGGGGGATGAATGAACGCATGGTGACGAGAATGTTCAGTATATACCGGATCCAGCCCAGGTGTTAGAAATGAATGAAGATGTATATGAAAAGAAGGAGAGTCGTGGGTTGGGTTGAAGAAGTTCCAGCAGGAGTCCTCGCCCCTTTATACCAGGTACTGCCCGACAAGACGGCCATAGCATTTCGGTACCAATTCCAGCTCGTTTAGAATTGAAGAGTCAGAATTGACGAGTACCGTCTTGTCCCGTTTGTGTTGCCGCGCATTAATTAAGCTGATACTCTAATCAATACAACCTGAAACGGAGCCCTAATTTCCCACCCACCCGCGACCTACCCGACCAACCAGTTCGGCGCTCGTATAGAAGATCCCTAATCAACTTGATCCAGGGACCAGCCTGATTTTATCCGTCGCCTAGGCTTGGGGTTTGTCCGCTGAAACTCGGGCCGTCTCGCGCAAGCGCTGAGGACTTGGCTGCGTGGTGTATATTGTTTCTCCACAAATGGGATTCTTAAACCGTGCATAATTTGCATAAATCAGCTCCGTGATGATTTTGTCCTACTCCGTACATAATTATGATTATAATTAGCCTATATAGTTGGTGCAAGCTGCGAACTGGGTGAGAATATAATAAGGATATAAATGGTCAAGTATCTTTCCTGGCGTCTCTCTAGGCTGCTGTTTCGCCTTTATAGTGTTTGCTTCTACTCGCACAGCATTAGGAATCGAATAGTTCAATACCATTAACGCGATCAATATGTAACAGGCTAACTACATTTGCCAGCTTTGGAGCCAGCTTTGGAAAAATAGGCCCTCCTTGGCCCTGACCATAAAGCATTCAGATGCCCATAATTGCCCAAGACTGGATCTGGGGGCGTGGGCACTGCCATCGTCTCTGCCAATGGATCATCGCGGTCCAACTCGGTGTCTCCATTGCATGACACCCAGCGCGGTGAGCCCTAACCAGTGAACCGGTGAGTAAGTACTTAATTGGATAGTGCGTACATATCTGAAAAAAAAAAAAAAAGAAAGAAAGAAAGAAAAGGACATACTTACGCTCGGAAAGAACGAAAGATATCGATAATCCCTCTCATCCGAGATTTTCGCGTGCCCCGTACCAGCAGGATGGACAATCACATCGCCTTCTCTCAGCGTCAAAAACAACCCGATTTCTTCAGAATCATGGTCCTCTGGTTTATGGCCGTTGGCGTTATCCAACTTTCCCACTCCCATCAACACTTCAGAATGACCTGATAGGATAGCTTTTATTCAAAACCACCCAACCCGCGTGTCAGCCAGTGGCACATTAGTCGCTTAGCTACTAAATCCTAAATTGGGATCGAGAGATAGCTTACCATAACACTCATGAACATTTGGATGAAAGTGTCGCGTGTATATTGCAGGCCAAACTATGCCCTACTTCAATATTAGCATCGGCATCTCCAATAGATGCTATATAAAGGGCAAAGCCTACCTGTCGGGACCATCCATGGCTCTCAATAAACTCCTGCGTAACTTCCATTGTCCTTGGCATCGGAAGCACATTTCTGTATACCAGAACTGGCATCGGACTGTTAGGGACATGCGCAGTGGAGGGAAGAGTATATTGCTCAGGCTGCGGGATATTGAGGGCCATGATTGATAGCAACTGAGTGACCAATAATAAGTTTTAATATATCTAGAGCTTATGCACTCTCTGTTTGTGTCTGTTTGTGTCTGTTTATGTCTGTTTATGTCTGTTTATGTCTGGGCTGTAGGGATTCCTTTATTACAGGCCAGAGTATAACCCAGACACGGATGGACGGTCCGGGTTTCGAAGTCTATTCACCATCTTCTTTTCCTTGCTAGAAGGCGATTGGTGCAGTGGATTCTATTTAGATGATTATGGACGTCTTCGCATATATATCATGAGTGTAATGCCGGGGTGAAGGGTTACAGTTGGGGAGGTTGATGTTTTCCTCAGCCTGAACGAGAGAGAAACCAGCTTTTGATATATATATATATATATATATATATTGGTAGTTCATAATTGATGTCACGGTCTTTATTTCGGTTCATGGGCGTCCTTTACTTGTTCGTGGCTTAAGGATAAGGAAGGCGGACATAAAGGGTCCAGATTAGACTATATATATATATATGTATACATAGGATTCCATATCAACAGAAGCTGGATTACGCCTAGTGAACGTTTTCTCGAAATTCCCATGCTTTATGTAGACGTTAAATCCGAAGTCTGCTACTTAGTGAAAGGGAAAGAGCCGCTCGTGTATAGAAAGATCGATGGAAATAAACACAGGGAGCGCACATGGATTTCAAGATAGTGGCTTATAGGACACCAATCTCGGCACAACATGTCTGAGCTTGAGCAGGAAGAGTTCTATTATGCGAATAAAGCTATACCTACCAAAGATCCCAATAAACGACGACCTCTCTGAGTCACGCTCCAGCGGCTAGTCATTTAAATAGGCTTAATAACCTCATAATGGCACCGGGAAGTCCATCCATCTACAAATAGACTAGAGATAGTCCAGCAGACATCTTCCGTTTGTTTTCTTTCATTTTCATTTTCATTTTCATTTTTATATAGTTTTGGCCTTATACTACGGTACCTCTCTACGGGATATACGGTACATTCTGTAGGGCAGATACCTTTTCCGACGGTAGGATAGGCGCGTATTCCGGTGTGATACACGGTGTATAAGGGGTTATGTGTAAGCACCCATATGAAATATTGAGCGGTTGATCAGGTTTGAACGTAAGATCTTCCATCGTGTCCCGACTACCCTAAGTCGGGTCATATCGGGGAGCCGGGTTGACGGTAATATATGTATCCGCCATGCAATCCAGTCTGGATAATTAGGGAATCACTATCTGGAAATTGGGCCGGTTAGGTGTAACTGGGAGCGTGATAGCATGGCTCAATGAGTGCGGTGGAGGTGAATGTTGTAGCTGAATTGAATTGGTGTCACTGGTTTATGAATGAAGTATACACAGTATAAAGCACGAGCCGAGATGTCCCGCTAGCAATAGCATCAGCGATGGGCCGGGTAATCGGTTATGTCATGGGCCTCAAGTCTCGACCGACTAAAAACTAGACTAAACAGGAAACTGGTGATGCCGACGATATCATCGTGGCAAGTAGACTCGTCCCATCGCAAGGTGTTGAGGGATGGTTCTGTCATCGGACAACGTGCTTCTCTTCTCCAGACTGGCGAAGGGAGGAGTTCCACGAATAAACTCACATAAGTCTCGGAACCGCAAATCCAGCAAGACTGGAACGGGTGAACGAGATCAGAGGCTGAAGTCATTACACCAGCATGACATAACCAGTGTAGTTTGGCAAAAGCCAGGGTTTACTCAAGCATCCGCTAGTCCCAGAAGGGCATGGCTCTTTCCACTTTTGGAACAAGGTTAGCCACAATGGGGAAGGTTGCCCCCGCAAAATTCACCCAATAGAATGTCCGGAATGCTGAAGCAGTTCCTCGTGACCGTTGAAAGCGCCCAGGGCAGCAACGTGGACAAAAACATCGAGAGACGATCGAATCGGGGTCCGATTTGGAAGAATCGAAGACGCAGATCTGGAGAGGCCAGGCACACGGCGTATATGGCCACATCACAGGGTGTGCGCTGTCGAGATGGCGAGCTTGGAAGACGCGTACACTCCAGGGTCGGAGTCAGACAATCGAACATTCGATGGGTCAGCCCCACCGAGCAGAAGGTCAGCTGCCCGTTCGATTTTGCGCTGCTGAGTCCCTGCTGCGTCCCCGTCGTTCCTCCAGATCTCGCCCTGCCCACTGGCTCTCGCCCAGCGTCGCAGTAGAGGGGACAAAAAATCGAAACCCAAGGGAAAGTCACGGTCAAAAACGCGATTGCAAGTAGTACCACCGTCGTAAGACAGCGCAGCGCCAGGAAACGGCGAGGGCAGCGACCGGAAACCGGCTTCGTGGTGGCAGCCAGCCAAGTCTAGACCCAGAGATCTCCGCTTGCAGACTCTGCTCGATCAGCCGGATTTCTGCTTTGGGAGTCCCGGCTGCCCAGCGTTCCAGAACCACCAGAGTCACCGCGGCAGCAGAACTCACGATGTTCCTCGCTCCCTCGCTCCCCCCGTGCAATAAGAACTTGCCTGCCCTCTGCCCGTCCCTCGTCCATCTCCCACCATTCTTCTCACCACACCACTCCTGCGTCCGCCCATGCGCCCATAATACTCCCACAATCTTCCCACACCTTCCAATTCTCCTCCTGTTTGAGTAGAGCATTGACATCCGACTCAAAACATCCGAATTAAATATAATACTGTCCCGTCACGATGGCCGTCGGCGCCCTCCCTGAGTCACTCACCTCAAAAGCGGCCTCCGCGCCCGCAATCAACAAGCGCCTCCCTCCTCTCGCCGATAGATCTTCTCTCTCCTACAAACTCACCAACCTCTCAAAACAAAAGCTCGCCCGCGAGGCTACTGCCCCGGACCCTGATATCCGTCGCTGTCTCGGTCACTTCCGTATGCACTGCATGTCGGTAGAATTCGCCCAGCAGGAGATGGCCACCAAGATCACCTCCTTCGAGTTCGAGGACGACAGCGAGTCCGAGGACGAAGAGGCTCAGGCACCGGCCGAAGAACAAAAGGATATTGAATCATCTACTACTACTGCTACTGTCACCGTCACTCCTGCTCCTACTCCTGTCGAACCTGAAGTACAAGTCGAGGCTGTCGAGTCACCGACCAAGGACTCCGAAAAGGATATCCAGGTGCATGTCGACGTCATCTCTGATGATGACAAGGATGCCGGCCTCGTCGACAAGAGTCGTCGGTGTCTTGAGAAGGCTCAGATCTGGCCTTCGCCGGCGCAATGCATACCTGTCCGCATCGCCTCATAATCATCCCTCATCTCCTATATACAACACCTCACCTCACCTCACCTCACTCGCCTCACTCACCTCACTCACCTCAACTCTCAACCGAGAAGTATACCTCATCAACTCCTATATACAACTTGCCACGGAACCACCTAATACACCTAATGAGTTCCCGTGTGACGACCTTACGATCTTACGAACTTGCCTTCTCTGTTATATTTATTTACCTGTTTTGTTATTTCTGCCGGCGCGCAGGGTATAAACGGACTGGAGCACGAGCAATCAAAACTTTTGAACAAGCCGGTTTTGGATCTGGAGTTTTGTTTTGACTTGGAGGGATTATTGGATTGATTGGATTGGATTGGCGTCAACAAAATCATACATACCTACCGACATACTTAACCTACTGATAGTTAGTATAGAACTCAACATTCGAATGTACCTAGTCTAGCAACATACTCAGCTGACTTATTTTGTACAATGAACATTTAATATTCATACTTTATGAATCTATCTTTAATTCCCCAGTAAAAGATGAAACCGAATCAACACCCAATCCTGAATACCCCAGTATAAGCGCCGGGGGAGCATCCTTCCAAGAAGTCCTTAGCCTTACCGACATTCAAGTTTCAAGTCTCAACCCCTGGCCTGACTCAAAGGCCAAAGCCCAAGCCCAAGCCCCAAGCCCCAGGGCCAATCCAATAACATCAATCATCCCCCGTGTCCAAGACTCCAGCTGGCAATAACGGACCCCAACTATAGCCTATAGCCGATAGGTAAAAAGGCCACTCACCCCACGGCCCACAGGGAAACGCCCCATAACCCCTGCCTCGTGACAACCCCGTTTCGTTCTGGGCGCCTGGCCAACGGGGAGTCTAGGATGGATTATTATCCGGAGGGCTTGCAGATCAATCTAACTAGGAGGAGGTACGTAAGGATCTGATTCCCCGGCCGAATCGCCACCTCAGTTGTCGCCGAGTTTCGGAGCGATGCTCCTGTGTACTGCAGTAGTCTACTGGATATTGCATTGTTGTGCAGTGCTGGTCGAGTCGAGTCGAGTCGAGTCGAGGCGCGGATGCCGTTCTCGGAACTTGGTGTTGGTGAGCAGAGTCGGGTGGGATAGGGCAGGCAGGGTAGGGAAGGGCATGGAAGGGGACTGAAGTCTGAGCTGGTCAGTTGATCAGGTATCGGGGATCGTGATCGTCCCTGGTTCTGTGGTTCATATTAATTAATCATGTGGGATGAGGATGAGGAAACAATTAATATCTCATGAGGGATGAGTGGGTGATGCCATTCGTCATTGCTGATGTTGTTCTATTTTCCATAGTGTTGATATTACTATTAATATTTACTTCGAATGAAGTTGTGGATATTGACTGTGTATGAGCTTGGTGCTGAGTGAGCCCGGATATCCTGCCCTCGCACGACTTACCCCAATAACTGCTTGGACCCCGTGCCTCGGCCCAGATCGGCCCTGAGCATGTCGATTGTCAACATCAAGTTTTGTTTCTACGCAGTTGGACTACTGCAGCAAGGATAATATCAATATACTAAACCTAGTAAACTTCAGCATGACTATAATCATAACCTAAACAGGCCATCTATCACAAGTATAATTTATAATTTAGGTATACAGGCGCCCGCTAACATATTGAGTAACCCATGACATGCTTTAAACCAAGTAAACAAAATTCACAATGCAAGTTCATCATCATCATCATCCCATCCCAGCGTCGAATATATTGATTTCTCCGGCGTAACTGGTACAACAACCGCAGGCTTCCTAAAGCCAGGACCAGGACCAGAAGCACTTGGTCGACGGCCAGCCGCAGCTGGAGCTGGAGCCGGTTTAGACCTTGGCGGTGTCTCGAAGACCATGGAACTCTGCGCCGAAGAAGTGATTTTGCTGGGCAAAGCAAAGAGGGGTGGGGGAGGAGGAGGTAGGCGTGGTTGGTAGGCGTCTAGGGACATATCAACATCTGTAGCATCCACATGTTGTGATCTGACCGGTGTTGATGGATTTGTTTCCGCGGGCCGAGAACCTGGTCGAGGAGGGACGCGGAAGAGGTTTCCGGATCCAGGGATGGGGGACTCTGATACGCTGGGCTCTTCAGGGTCTTTGGATAACCCTAAAGGCTGTGGTGGCCGGCGGGAGGGAGTCTCTTGTACCACAACATCGGCAGTAAACCTGGGCGTGCTTGTAAACGAGGTAGGCCGGGTAGTGGAGGCAGGAATAACTTGTGGCTCAGAGTTGAATGGCGACGAGGACGACATAGTTGGAGCTTTTGAGGACTTGGACCGACCCGCGTTCTTGGGCAAAGGAGGAAGGCCAACGACGGCGTCTCTCTTCCGTACCTTGCTGGGCGTGGCCATGACCTGGACACCCTGGCCTAGCGGATTTCGTACCGGGTTCTTGGGCTTTCGTGAGCTGGACCGTCTGTCTGCATCCTGGGCAATGTCCTTGGCTACGAGTTCGCGGTTCGGTTTCCGGAGTGCGTGAATAGCAGCATCTAGCTCTTTCTTTTGGTCTGCTAACATCTGAACGCGCTTTAGCTTCGTCTCATGCTGCCGTGCCACAGCAAACAGATCGACTTCTCGGTTCTCTGCTCGCTTGGCTTTCTGGATCCCGCCTCGGACGCTGCCGCTGAGCGATGGTAGCAAGGGCGTGGTCTCTCGCTTAGTCTCTATCTGTGATGGAGCAGTAATGGAGCGGTTCAGTGATGGTTGCGGTCGGCTTTGCGAGGTACTCTGCTCGTCCGTCAAAACCCGGTGTAGTGGACGGCGAGACTTGTGAGATGTATTGCGCTCGGTAGCACCTGATTCTTTACGAGGCTTCTTGGCTGACTTGTGGAATGGGGATATCGTGCTCGCTGAAACTCCCAGCTTCCGAGTAATGGTTTTGCAACGATCTGGCAACCGCGAAGCGTAGAATGGGATGATAACCTCAGTGCAGAAGTCCCGCATGGCGTCACTTCCACCCACCTTTCCAGATTGCTGGCTGTTTCCTGAAGCTTGGGTTTCAGATACCGCAGTATCGTCAAAGCTCACGGCGTGCCAGATGCATAGCCGATCCAGGTGGAGTTCGAGCATCACATTGAGATCTTGGGCCTTCTTGCTTTTTGGCTTTGGCTTCTCCGTAGTTATCTCAGCACAGGCTTCACCCTGCCCGGTCTTCTTCGCTTCATCCGCAGCAGCCGTTTCAAGTGCGATCGTCTCCAAAATAAGGAGGATCTGGAGTTGGGTCTCGCGCAATCGCAAGTCAGACACATGCTTCTTGATTTCCGCATCTCTAGAGGTTTCAACTGACGAACCGATCTCTGTCAGCGTGCGGTTCTTCCACCAGCGTCGAATGAAGTCCGGTTCCTCTGGATAAAACCCGTTCCTTCCAAGCGTTTTCTTTTTGCTCTTCCTCTTCTTCGGCGCTGCCTCATCGTCAGATACGCTGAGCACAACGTCGTGTACAGTTGCCGGTAGAGTTTCGCGGAACTTCAAGTCCATCTTCTTGGCTGTTAAAATAGCCTCTCTATAGAAGCTAACAAGCTCGGATATGTTGCCCGCGGGCTGTTCCGGGGCTTGGAATGCGGCTCGACAGCGCGGCAAAGGACCTTTGGCAAAGTATGCAACAGATGTCTAGGTAATATCAGTATGGATATCTTTATCTGGGTATATCGAGCAACATACCTTTGAAACATAGAGAGTCTGCAAATACTGCTCCCTCAGTCCATCAAAAAGCTCCTGAGGAGACTGCGTAGTTTCGCAAACATTTTCCTCGCCAACCCTTGCCCCAGCAGTTTCCAAAGGAAGTTGCTGCTCAGGAGGTACAGAGATCATACGCACATCACAGCTCGAACTCCGATCCATAGGATCAATCGGAGACATGCCCTTCATCTGCTCATCACGGTCCACAGGTTCAGTATTCACCCCGAAAACAAAATCAACCTTGGGTCGTTTGGTTGGGATCTGGATGCTAAGATCAGGCGCCGGATCGTCAACCTGCGCCATTCGCCACCAGTCGCCGCCATCAGAGGAGATATCCACCCCTTTGCGAGGTGTGCATGGGGGTAAGGCGCTGGCTCGGTGGCTAGACGCTTTTACGGCAACACGGACATCTCCTTCTTCTACGCCCCGGGCTAGTTTCGAAAGGGAGTAGATGCCCCTCTTCACTCTTTCGATCACGTATAATCCGCCATCGGAGGCTAACCGTACAATCAGGACGTTCAGCTCAGGCTGCGCGTCCGACTCGAGGGAAGGGATGTGTGCTGTGAACAGACTTCCCGATTGGATCTGCGACAGCACAGACGGGATATCTAACCAGTCGAAGGGGAACTGGTGCCGTGGGATTGTCGCAATCGGCTCAAGGACGTACGGTTCATCGTATAAGGACGCGGCATGGGCCTTAAAGTAGGAGTGTCAGTACGTTGGGAATACAGGTGTTGAGTTGGTTGGCAACGCACCCGAATGACGATGTTATCAACTGCTAATTCATTAGAAGCGGATAACTTGCGCTTCTTCAGCGGGGGACGAGGAGCATCGTGGAGTTGGTTGAGCTGGATGGGTTGCAAGACATCGAGAGATCCACGCGAAGCCATGAACGCGTTGGAATTACTCATACATCGTAGTTGTTGAAGGAATAAAAAGTCAAAGTCGGGTATATGATATGCAATATACGGATCCCCGAATACAAAGTAAGAATTGGCGACAAGTATCGAGTCAATTGGTAGAGTGACCGAAGAGTCCACTGCTTAATTCGGATTCTTTGGGCGTGACTTCGCGTCGACGCGTAGGTGGGGATGTGGGTTTCATTTGATGCCTTGATGCCTGATTATGAGACCCGCCTTCGTTCCGATCATGATGGGGCCACGGGATGGGGCTCGGACAAACCCCAGGGACGAGGGAACAACATCCGGAGTTCCTAAATGTACATAGATTCAGAGATATTCTTTCAATTACAAAATTTGAGGGAAAATAAGTTGCATGCAATGCAAATTTGTCTTTCATTATTCTATTTTGCCAATGTTTAGATTGGCATGCAATAGTGGTGGAACCAGACCACATCGGCCTGGCGCCAACCACCCTCGAGGGCCGTCAATAGAGACATCTGGCTTCCAGTCGAGGTGCTGAGCCTCTATGCTCATATGTTGAAATCATCACTCCAAAACAACGCCGATACATCCCTCCCAAAGTGGTATCATGTTGAATTTATCCGCGCAAACCTTGGTCCCTGATGGGACCATGCAAAGAAATAGTCTGACATTAGATAAGGAAATAATAGGAGCTTTTTCGTTTTGACATGTCTATGCTTGTGCTTTGAGTTGTTGAAAACAAAGCTGGAATCATTATATTCGTAAAAGAAAACGAGGAAGATTTGTCACGGGAGAATCAAGCGATAAGCGACAGCGCTTAGAACTTGAGAGCCTTGGGCTTCTCCCAGGAGAACTCCTGGTTGGTGAAGTGACCGTTCTGGGCGGTCTTGAAGTAGATGGGCTTGGCCAGGTCAAGCTCGCGGACAATGACACCGGGACGGAGGTCAAAGTTGTTGCGGATGATCTCGACAAGCTGCTCGGAGGTCTTGTCGGAGGTACCGTAGGTGTCGACATAGAGGGAGAGGGGCTCGGCGACACCAATGGCGTAGGAGAGCTGGACAAGGGCACGGCGGGCGAGACCGGCGGCAACGAGCGACTTGGCGATCCAGCGGCCAACGTAGGCAGCGGAACGGTCGACCTTGGAGTAATCCTTTCCGGAGAAAGCACCACCACCGTGAGCACCCCAGCCACCGTAGGTGTCGACGATGATCTTACGGCCAGTAAGACCAGCATCACCCTGGGGACCACCAATGACGAAGCGGCCAGAGGGCTGGATGTGGTAGATGGTGCGGTCGTCGAGGAGTTCAGCAGGGATAACCTTCTTGATGATCTTCTCCTTGATGACGGAGCGAAGCTCCTCGGTGCTCACATCATCGCTGTGCTGGGCAGAGACAACGACGGTGTCCACACGCTGGGGCTTGACAGCACCGTTGTCGTGGGCGTACTCAACAGTGACCTGGGTCTTGGTGTCGGGGCGGAGCCAGGGGATGGAACCGTCGGTACGGGCAACAGTCATGGCGTCGTTCAGCTTGTGAGAGAGGAGGAGAGTGAGGGGAAGGAGCTCAGGTGTCTCATCGGTGGCATAACCGAACATGATACCCTGGTCACCAGCACCAAGCTTCTCGAGAGCCTCCTCGTAGTGGAGACCCTGGGCGATATCGGGAGACTGCTGCTCAATGGCAACCAAGACGTTGCAGGTCTTGTAGTCGAAACCCTTCTCGGAGTCATCGTAACCGATGTCCTTAATGGCACCACGGATGATGGCCTGGTAGTCGAGCGGGGATCTGGTAGTGATTTCACCGAAAACCATGACCATACCTGGAGTCGGGGTCAGCAAGCAGTCGGAAATTGCATATATGCAAGGCTAAACAACGTACCGGTCTTGGTAGCGGTCTCACAGGCAACCTATTCACATTGTTAACCACCAGGATTCAGGAAATACTTGGGCCGTACGCCTTGCGGAAAAGACAAGCGGCCCGTAAGACGAAGAAAAAAAGGAGGTTTCCCTACTTTAGACAAGGGGTCGTCCTTGAGACAGCCTATCATATCTTATTAGCAATCTGGCCTTATATTTTGGAAATTGGTGAAACTCACTGTCTAGGATTGCATCGGAGATCTGATCACTGGAAAAGAAGTCAATGAGTGATTCAATGGCCTTCAAGGAGACACAATGGATGTAGGTATGAGGAAAAGGAGCCCATACGCGATCTTGTCGGGGTGGCCTCTACCAACACTCTCTGAGGTGAAGAGGAAAGTTCCATTCTTGGGGTTAGCTACGGAGCCCATTGTGAAGGTGGGTTGTAATTGAAGGGGAGGAAGAGGATTAAAGAAGAGTGTATGAGGAATGAGAAAGGAGAAGAGATTTGAATGTGAGGGAGGAAGAGGTGAGGGCGGGAGGGGGGCAGGCAGGAAGTGGGGTTTTTCAGGTCGGAGAAAAAAGGACTCAGTGAGGACCGGAACCGCGAAAACATCATCCCGGCAATCTCGCCATTCTGCCCCACTTCAGACCAACACGCCATTCGACGATTCGGTCTTTACCGCCCTGGATTGAGTACAGAAAGACCGAAGTCCGGGAATACTCAATCTCTCAGCATTGGCTGTCTGACGGGCGAGTAATTTCACTTGCCGCTCTGGGCCTTGAGTAGCTATCCCTCACTGATAAATACATAAGCTGACGCGATTGTGGAAGCCTTTGGTGTGCAATAATAAGCCACAAAGGGAGTTTTGGCCGTGATCCATACTGAGGGAGAATAACAGGGGAAACAGAGCGAGTTTGCGTGAAGAGAGGGATTTATATAGCATTGAAGGCTTGGAGACACCTATATTTCTATATATACACGTTATTTGGCTGCTGCACCCCCCGAAGAGGCCCGGTTGAAGGGTCAATCAGTCAATCGACCATGGACCATACTAAGGTTTACAAGCACGGTCAACTTGAGCCTATTCGGTGGATCCCTCGCAGGCGGAGAGTAAAAATTCCCAGCAATTCCCGCCGAATCCGTTCCTCCTCTGTAGCTCCAATAATCAACCACAGATAAAGCTTCTCGAACAGCGAAAATGTCCAAGTTCGGGACTCTGGTAATGGGCCCAGCCGGCGCTGGGAAAACTACCTTCTGCAACGCCCTCATCCAACATCTCCAAACCACCCGCCGCAGCTGCTTCTACGTCAACCTCGACCCCGCCGCAGAGACCTTCCAATACGAGCCGGACCTCGATATCCGCGAGCTGATTACCCTCGAAGATGTAATGGAGGAGCTCGGGCTGGGCCCGAACGGTGGCTTGATATACTGTTTCGAATTTCTGCTGCAGAACTTGGATTTCCTGTCCGAGGCGCTGGATCCGCTCAGCGAAGAGTACCTGATTATCTTCGATATGCCTGGTCAGATCGAGCTGTATACCCACGTTCCGCTTCTTCCATCGCTGGTGCAATTCCTGTCCCGTTCTGGTCCGCTTAATATTAGTCTCTGCGCTGCATATCTACTCGAGAGTACGTTTGTCGTTGACAAGGCAAAATTCTTCGCTGGAACACTGAGCGCCATGTCCGCCATGTTAATGCTGGAGATGCCGCACGTCAACATCCTCACGAAGATGGACCAAGTGCGTGAGATGGTCTCGCGTCGGGAATTAAAGCGTTTCACCAGGGTCGACGTACAGTCATTACAGGATAGTAATGAAGCTCCGACCGAGGACTCCGAGAGCTCCGACCCGATGTCGAAGGACGCCCTGCTGAGCGGGGGGTCGTTCGAGAGACTCAACCGCGCCGTCGCCCAGCTCATCGATGATTTCAGCATGGTGTCGTTTTTGCAGTTGGAGGCTCAGGATGAGGACAGCGTTGCTGCTGTGCTGAGCCATATTGATGACGCCATTCAGTACCATGAGGCGCAGGAGCCGAGGGAGCCCGGAGATGCGCAGGAAGTTGATTATGAGGATGCAGATTGAGGATCTACTGCGAACCGAATTTGACGAGAACTATGAATAATGACCGATTGTCGGTGTCTCCGGATCCGGCTTCTTTACCGGGATCTAACGTGCATACAAGTTGTGCTCCCGTTCGGACGGGGCCATCACCCACGAATATCCTCCGCCAAAAGAGAGGGCACGTCGGTAATATACTGAACTGCGCTGTGGGTTCGAACAGTGGCCGACGCATGGAAGTCTTATTTTACCCACAAAATCGGACGAACGTATATAATCATCTAGGACCATAAAATACCATGTTTAGAAATCATAATCATACTATAAATATTCTATCCTCGCATAGCTCGTTGTACCAATTCGAAACCAAATAAAATGCGCGTAGTAAACAAAAACCATAACCAAAAAACTTCGTCACTGATATACCAGCCCGACGCCGCCAGCCCAAACAAAACATAGCTCGTTTTCTCGTACCTGTCAACCGGAAAACCCGACTCGAACGAAATATTACACGACGTGACCATTTTCATGCACTTAACTAACCAGGAAGGGACAGACAGACAGGCAGACCAAATCACCCCCTCCGCCAGCCCGCCTGCCCCTGCCTCGAAGAACCATCCCCAGCGCGCGCAGTCGACTCCTCCAGATTACGCCCAAACTGCTCCAACAACCCGACAAGGAAATTGAAAACAAAGCCCAGATCGCGCGCGACTCTCTCCCAGCCGGCATTATACATGTACACCCCCAGCGAAAAGATCGTAAACCACCAAGCCACTTTCATAGCCAACCAGACCCAGAACATGACCGCGCGGCGCGTATAGTCGAGGATCTTGAACGAGAGGAAGAGGACAACGATGAGGACGATGACGGAGGCGAGATCGGGGGTTGAGGCGAGAAGGTGCGCCAGAGGCTGCACCACGTAGGGGTCTAGGTATGTCATGCGCAGATGGGCGAGCGATGGGTCAACGTAGGTTTCTCGTACGTGCGCGAGAGAGGGGTTGAGATATGTCGTGTGTAAATGGGCGATGTTGGATGCCAGTGGGGAGGAGGTGATTTGTTGGACGGTTGGGTGCTGTAGCACGGTTTGGACGTATTCTATATGGTTGCTTTGGTTAGTATATACTGTTTGTCACGTCGCAAGGGAGACTTGCCTGGGAGATTGTCCATGTTGATGGGAGTGTACTCAGAGATTCAGAAGTTGGTCAAGTATGAGTGACTGAGAATCCCGAGCCAGTGTATGTAGAGGGAAACGTTTTATCTTAAAGCGACAAGGGTCAAATGGGTGTTTAGTTACAGCCTTGATGCGGAGAGTATTGATTTGGAGTTTGGACAGAGCGGATCGTTTGTCTCGATCGCGGAACAAACAGAACAAACAAACCTTGCCTGGCAACCCCAGACTCCTTCCTCTTTCGCATTGCGGATTAACATATTTCCAACCATCTATATCCACCTCTTCACACTCGTGCATGGTTCATTAACTTGACATCAACATATGAAGCCGTCTGGCAAGACGATGGCGTATTTACTAGGAAGACAACAATCACTTAGCGCTTAGTGAAGTTTTCCCGTAGTAGGGGTTCTACTTTGCTACTACCCCAGATTATCAACTACATTTCCTGTTACCGGCAAGACGCCCACTGCTGGAGTTCCGACAACGACAAGAATTACTATTTTAAATAGCTAGGTTATCGGTAATCATGAATAGAGAGTTATATATTAATCGATCCGTCTTCGTGGTGTAGATTAGTAGTAGTAGTAGTAGTAGTAGTAGTAGTAGTAGTAGTAGTAGTAGTAGTAGTAGTAGTAGTAGTAGTAGTAGTAGTAGTAGTAGTAGTAGTANAGTAGTAGTAGTAGTAGTAGTAGTAGTAGTAGTAGTAGTAGTAGTAGTAGTAGTAGTAGTAGTAGTAGTAGTAGTAGTAGTAGTAGTAGTAGTAGCAGTAGCTCAATTATATACATACATTAGAGCAGAAGCGTCGTGGTGCTCGTAACAAGCATATATACAGTCCAACACGGTGACCGCTTAATGTCCTGCCGGGGGCAGCCTGGACGGAGCAGGTAAGACAGGGCAGGGCAATCGCGCGGAAATAAATAGCAATATAAAAACACCCAACACCGGCATCCGGGGATATATAGTTTTTAAGATCCAATCCAATGTGCAAAATAAATGTCAAGAAATGGCAGGTAGATTAATCAGAGGTTTGGGCTGGGAGATCGGAGGGGATTAGGTTGTTTGGTTTAGTTTTGACCAAGCAGGTTCTTGAAGACGTTGCGCTCTGTCAGGATCTCTGCCTGGAGACGGCGGGTTTCGCGGAGGGCCTCGTCACTGAGTCATGTTAGTACTGATTTCAGAATATTGGAATTTTGGGTTAAAATGAGTAAACTTACCGAGCGGATTGGAGTTCGGCCACATCGATCTGGGCACGGTTCATCCGACTGACGACCTCGCCCATTTCGCGGTCCGCTACGCGCAGCAGCTTCTCGAGCTCCTTGACTCGCTGGTCCAGGGTGTCAGACTTGACAACGTGGGTCAGCGGTACGCCGTCGCCGCTCGTGGTCTTGTCCAGGCGTGGTGACCGAGTGATGAACGGGGTACTGGGGGGGTTGGGCGACAAGGAGGCAGGGCTGTGAGCCCCGCTCTTCAAGCGCAGGAGCTGAGCGCTGTGGCTTTCCTGGAGCTGACGAACTTCGTCTTCGTGACGAGAAATCTCGTCATCTGCGTGATTCTGCGCCGAGAGAAGGGCGTCTTCCATTTCCTTCAACCTTGTTTGCATATCGTTGATTCTCGATGCAGATAGCTGTTGGTCTTTTTCGCCCTTGGTAATAGCGTCTGAGAGGCGCTTGCGAAGGGCAGTGTTTGTAGCTAGTTGCTGGCGCACATGTAGTGCTAGCATGTTTGTCCGGGTGACAGATTCTGCGAGCTCACCGGAGTCCTGTGGCGACTGCGCGGCACTTGCTTCTGCGTGTTCGCGGTCCGCCTGGAGCTGCTGATACGCAGATTCCAGAGACGACGATGTGGCAATGACTTCGGCGAAGGCATTCTGAGTATCCTCGAGCTCAGCGGGAACAGAAATGTCATGTTCCTGGAGAAGGACGCGGAGGGAAGTAGTCTCCTGCTCTGCACGATCAAGGTCCATCTTAAGACCTGCCAATCCCTTTTCACACTGCCATTTTTGATTCAAGGCATCCTCCGCGCGCAGCCGTAGGTGGTTCACTTCATCGCGCAGATTACGCACCTCACGCTCGTAACCCAGCTTGCGCGGAGAGCCGGTCTCCTGTGAGCGGGCCAATTCTATCTCCATGACTCTGATACGCTTCTCTGTTTGCCGCGTTTCGTAGGCCTGTCGATCAAGCAGGCGTTTAAGAGCGCCATGGAGGGCATCACGCTGGGCCTCGGCGCCTTCCACCCGATCCGCCAGGGATTCTCGGGTGTCACGGTCCTTGCCTGAAACTGAGTTTGACCTCGATAGCGAACCAGATCGGGACGAGCCCTTAGGGGGCATGCGAGCCAGAGAGTTTGATCGTGATAATCCAAAGGCACTGTTCCGTTTCATAGGTGCGTTATCCTCCTCCGCAATCGAGGCGAATCGTCCGCCTCCCAACTGTGAAAGGGCTGCGTTTTCGATCTTCAGAGCTTCGATTTCCTCCTTCAACTGCTGCACTTCAGCTGGATCAGTAAGAGGCTTGCCTTCTTTAAGCAAGTCTCGCTCAGTACGAAGCTGCTCCAGCTCAACTCGCATAGCGGTTAGAAGATCCTCAAAGTTGTCTTTTATTTGACGTTCTTCTGTCAATTTGCGGCGAGTGCCCTCCAAAGCACTTTCAAGCTCGCGAGCTTTAGAAGATAAGTCGGAGATTTCAACCCTTTCGCGTCGGAGCTGAAACACGTCAATTACTGTAGTTGGCAGAAGAAAAGACACGGAAAGCCTACCTGAGCAACCTGAGCTTCCAACATTTGGACATGCGATTCAGACGCTGTCCGGCGAGTTCGTTCCTCCTGAAGCTTGTGGCCGACATCGACCCGGAGCTGAGCGCGCTCTTGTTCTGCAGCGCGCTTATATTTTTCTATATCTTCAACACGCCCACCCGACTCATAAGCGTAACGGATAGAGCTAGTTCCCGAGTCCGAGAAATAATCACTGGTACGCCTGTTCGGTGCTTCCGATGGCATCTCAGATTGTAACCTCTCCACCAAATCTTCTAGCTCCATCTCCCGTCGAATCGACCCCGCCAGCTCAGAGCTGATTTCCCGCAGCTCATTCTCCAACTCCGCCACCAGGGCTGAAGGGGCTGAATCCCGTATACTGGTGCTGCTGAGTGAGCCATTGCGCATGGGGTAGTTTCCAATGGGTCGAGCGCTGGGGTCGAAGGGTACTGAGGTGGAGGGTGTGATAGAGTAAGAGGTACTAGGTATTGATGGAGGCATGGGTGACGGTAGCGGAGATCGGCCACCGTCGGAGATTTCTGTGCTGGAGGACTCGCCCCCAGGAGATGTAGCGGCTTTCCAGCCAAAGAAGGAGCTGATTTTGCTCCCAGGAGTTTTCGGTTGCCGGGGGTCGTTCACACCATTGGGCATGCCTCGCGCGCTGGAATCAATGTGTAGAGGCGGTGGTCGGTTTTGTGGTGGGTGCAAGGCCATAGTCCTGGCACGTCTGTGGTTTGAGGATGCAGGAGAGGGAAGGACGGGGATGAACGGTTCGCTGGTGAGACGACTATGCAGTGGAGTCCCATTCGTGAATTGCGATTCATATAAATTAGTTATATCGTCGTCACTATCGTCGGTGTCGTCGCCGTCTGCATTCACGGCGGAGGCGGAGGTGTCTATACGGAGCGGAGTCTTAAGAGGACTGCCCCGGGGAAACCTGGAGTAGAGAAATGGGCGCACGAGGTTAGTCCTGTACCGTCCTAAACGGACGAACATACAACGTCCACGAAAGCACGATAAGAGAGAAAGGAGGTCCAAAAGAACAAGAGGGGGAGGGAAAAGAACAAGGGGGAGGGGGGACAAAGTTGTGGTGACAGGGGGTGGAGAGGGAAAGTAGGGCTGGGCATATCTTGACATACCTGTCCAGGGTCCTGCGAGAAAAGAGCGACGGGTCCCCACGCGCAGCAGAAGACGGCACGGCCGAGTTTGAAGGAGGGGATGAGAGGCTATTTGCAAGAGAGCTGCCCCGGGAATGAGAGAGAGAGACGGAGGAGCGCAGCGGCGGAGGATCAGCCTGCGAGAGGGAGCGGTTGGAGTAGAGGGAAGAAGACGACGAGGTGGAAGGACCAGATCGTCGAGGATGAGGAGGAATCACGGGAGAGGCCGTGGGCGGCAATGGTTTCCTGCGCACGAGAGCAGGATCGGGCTTGGAAGAGTCAGGGACAGGAGTAGTGGCTTCAGGTAGATGGGGTTGATAGGCGCTCGCTGCGACACTGTCGGTGACAGAAGCTCGGGCGCCAGGCTCAGGCGGAGAGATCCAGCCAGGGGCCATGATTTGTCGAAACAAAATTTAGTCGCAATATACAAAGCGATAAAAATAAGACAAGGTGATAATCATAGGAGAGAGAACGGAAATGGAAGGGATGCGAAGGATGGGCGACGGGAGAGTTTGGCCGCCAAACCCTGGGCGGGCGACGTTCTCATGCGAAAAAGAGCAGACGGCGCAGATAGGAGAAATAAAGGGCGCTCTCGTCGAATGAGAGGCCGTGCTGGGACAAGGTGATGGTCAATGGTCCTTGGATCGACAGACCCTCATTGCGACGCGCCGGCGACAAAGAGCGTAAGCGGCAGACGAAGTGGGCTGGCGAGCAGGAGGAGAGGCGGAGAATGGCTGAATGGAGTAAGACTCGAGTCAAGAGAAGGACAAGAAGGCGGCAGAGTTGGGGCCAGGACCAGAGCAGGAGTCAAGGAGAGGCAGGAGATCAGGAGAGATGGGAACGAGATTCAGGGGGAGCTTGCGATAGTCTGGCACGGTGGCACTCGTTCGCAGTGGGTCAATAGTCGATACTCGCCAACTTTATCGGCGCAATGAGATTCTGCAACACCAGGCCTGCCTTCTGCACGCTGTTTGCAGTGGCTGCTGGGCGATAGAGATGCAAGAATAATAATAATGGCTTCAGGCGTTGGGAGGACGCATGCACCCGTTGCCGTCAATTGGCCCAGCCTGGTTAGCACAGAGCCAGCGCCTCACTGGCGATGCAAGGAACGGCAGGAGCTGAGCACGAACCAGCTGCCGAACATGGCCGGATCATCCCCCACCCGCAAATCCTCAGGGGTAACACTCCTCCAGTATCAGTGACACTGACAGTGAGTGAGTGAGGGCGTCTCGCTCCGAAGCCCAAGCCCAAGCCCGACTCGGGCTCGCCTTGTCCTGAAACATCCAGCAGGGCCGGTGGCGTGCGCTAGGCCGACATGGCACCTGCAGCTGTCCACCTTGCACAGCACAAAGTCAATAGTAGCTTCAACTGTCGCTGCAAGGGATTAAAAATATCCTACTATTGGAAGACTGCCATTGTTTCAGGCGCCTGGGCCTGAATGTTCCAGATGTCTATTTATACCCCATGCAAGGCCTCATCATTCATGTTTCTTTGTAGGGGCTATGGCCAGAACCGGCGCCTGCTGAAACCGCAGCAGTCCAGAATGCACTCCTTGCTGCGAATGACCTTGCAATATCCTCCTCCATGTTGTCGCACGCTAATGTTCGGAGCATGCATGAATACGCACCAACGACCATATATTTGTTGACTCGTCAACTTTGAGAGAAACAAGCATCAGCCTATTCGAAACTACTGCCGCTGGAGTGCAAATAAAGTTGTCTCTGGCTCTGATCCTTCTCGTATTTCCATACTTGTCTTCCAGCGCATTCCTCGGATCTTCCCGACTGCCAGCATTCCCCGTCAACCATGCGATTCCAGAAGGTTGTTCCTCATGAGTAAAAAGAATTCATTATAATCGTGACATCGCTACCTCGCTCATAGATTGTACGCCAACTTAGAAATTAAACTCAATATATCGAAAACCATGGTACCAAGATAGCATATCTCAACATCACACCTCTCCCGTCAGTACGGGATAAAATCAAACCGCATCCGATCTACTACTGTTAGCACGCAAGTCTCGCATAAAGGACCCAGACATAACATACCAAGGAAACGATTCCAACTCTCATGCTCATTTAGCTGGTGAGCCCAATACTGCTCCAGGAACTTCAACGACTGCAGCACATTCGGCACCCGGATGGTATCATGGAGTTTCGACAGGAGATCCCGAACACGGGCCCGGTCGTCGCCCTGCGCTTCACAACCCGCGATGAACAACGGCGTGGTAAGCATCGTCCATGGGCTCAGGCCCGGAGACGGCCCGATTTGCTCGGTACATTCGATGATCTTCTTGACAGATCGCTGCACGGCTGGTGAAGCTGCCGGTACCCTGCGCAGTCGACGCTCGATCTGAATTAGTGCGCTGTGCTGGAACGCCTCGTTACACAGCGTAAACTGTAGAATATGGTCCTCTGATAGTCCCTCGATTACTCCAGGGTAGAACGTGGGTGGGGACCGTGCCCCCTCATCGATCAGCGCATGGACCGATGATTCCAGGGCTGTAACCTCCGCATCATCTGCTGCTTGATCCGGCGGGGTTTGCCAGGCGGCGGCCCCAATGCCGCGGAATACCGCTGACAAGCTCACCGTGAATCCCCAGTAGTCGTCCAGGTAGTCCGGTGTATCCGCTGTCGTAGGCACTGGGCTTCCAATAGTCTGACATGTAATACCGCCAACAGGTGGCCCGTTGCCAGTCAGTGCCGTCAACGATACTATTGACCGATACCACCGATTTAGATACCTGCGGAAGCCCTCGGACGAATCTGGAGTCGACCCTCCTCGCTCACGAGACGCAACCATCAGCGCCTGCGCACCTTCAATATGAGCTCGCCATGAATTAGGCTGAATTGCGCCAGAGTGAATTTCCGCAAGACATAGAGTGCGTGCCGTCGCCAGCAGCGCATCCGTTCCCCTTGTGCCTGGGCTCTGGAGCTCCTTCCGGAAATGTTCTAAGCTCATCGCCATGAATCGTGCGATATCCGGCGCTGATTTGACGTTCTCCGACTGGTTGTGTAAGGCCTGGAGATGGATGGCGGACAGCGCCATGGTTGCGTAGAGTAATGACGGTGTTTGGAGAGCCATCGGCACGAGCATGCGACATATTTCTTGTTGCATGCCCGAATGGCACGCTGTTATTTGAGAAGCATCACTGAGGAAGTGATGAAGAAGGGCTTTCTGGTTGCTGTTGAGGGAGGCGAACGGATCAACGGATTTCGGTAATGTGATCGTTCCGGAGGGTACGGGTTCGGTTGGTGATAATTCGTTGGCAGTGGTGTAGATGAATTCTCCCGGAGAGTACTCTGTAAACCAAGAGGACGATGTTAGATTCCATCAGGAGTATGCAGGTCAAAAAAAAAAAAAAAAAAAAAAAAAAAAAAAAAAAAANCCGGAGGGTACGGGTTCGGTTGGTGATAATTCGTTGCATCAAACGTAGATGATTTCTTCCGGAGAGTACTCTGTAAACCAGGAGGAGCATGTTTGACTCTCCCAGGAGTATGCAGGGGAAAAAGCAAAAAAAAAAAAAAAAAAAAAAAAAAAAAAAAAAAAAAAAAAAACACACCCAGCTTCTGCATACACGAGCCAAACCTTGACTTCGAGAAACCCCGGCCTCCCCACTGCAGCTGCATCGCATACTGACATCGTGACCCTGCGGACTTGCACCGCCCACAAGTTGGACGGTCCTCATCACATTTCTGCCGTCGCGCTTTACATCGCTTGCAACCGCCAAAAGATCGTGACATTTGGGGGAAAAGGGGGCTCTTTTTTTTTTACGCTTTGGGTGCGGCTTCGAAATTTGTATCGGCGTGCGCGATTTTCCTCCCTCTCCCCGCTTCTGGGGTCGGTTCACTGATAAGAGAGAAACGGCTGTAATTCGGCCCGCGGGTTAATGATCAAGAAGTCTGATGCAAAATGAAGAATAAAACAACAAAAAAATTATATGAGGAAGATCGAGGAGAAGCGGGGAAAACGGGCGTTGACCCCTGGCCTCCATGGCTCGTGGCCGTGGCGGCATATTCAGTGGCAATCCTCCGCGATAAGCTGCTGAACCATGGGCGATCCGTATAGCGGCGATCACCGGTCCACCGCTGGTTTAATGACTTGACAACTTTGACATTTGCAATTATACGCCTAATTTTTGGGCGTCTTCTGCGGGATATTCGAAATGGCGTCTCATGTTGAAACTTTATTGTAAGTGTGAAGGGACAAAGCGGCCGCCAGGAAAATGCCGCAGAGATCGTGGGGCTTGGCGTTTCGTCCTGTGCGGTGAAACATCATTGACTTCGACATTTGCAAGAAATATATTCATTCTATGCTGGACCCATATCCCAGCTATATCCACAGTATATTAACGAAATAACACGCTGCAATGTCTTTACAAGTTAAGCAGAGAATAACATGAACGGTCGGTAGTGGTATACTGAGTCCTGGAAGAGAAATGTACAAGATCAATCGTCAAAGGTATAACGGAGCCACTCTCCCACCGCTCGCAGGCTCTCCCATCGCACCGACTCGTCTTTATCGGCCATTAGCTCCATCACTCTTGTCTTCAACCCTAGTTTCTCCAACTGGCCCCGTCTTTCGGGTAGCTCTTTGACCAAATGCCCGACGTCATTGCAAGCAATGGCCAGGACCTGCTTGTCGTTCTCCCAGCTCTTAGACATAATCTCGCTCAGCTTTTTGGGAAGTGCCCCGCTGGATTCATCCAGAATGCGGCGGGCATTTTCTTTCCAGAAAGTGGGATTCCTGTGAGGTGGGGACCACCGTAGGTGGCCAGATTGTAGCTCTGCGGCGTACTGATCGAAGGTCGTCTGGGTTTTGGTGTATTCTTCAAGAAGTTCCGATAAGTATGTCAAGTCTTCCAGAAGGTCGGGGTCTGTCAGGTGTCGACCTGAGAGGTTCGAAAGAAGCGCGGGAAGGCGTACAAACACCGCAACAGGAAGGAGATTAGCGCGGTTGGAGGAAAGCAGATTCTTGAGAGTCGCAAGGAGAAGACGTGTGGTCTTTTCCTTTGGAGACAGTCGTAGAAGGTGGGAATATAGTTGAAGAATCTCATGGTCTCTGCACGCACATCAGTAACAACTACATGGTGTCACATGTGGGGATACTCACGACTGTAGGTCATCGCCAATCAGGCTGCCCTCAAAGCTCAGTTGCCAGAGTACGAGAAGCACGCGATATAGAAGCTGTAGACCGACCCCGCCGGCAATCCCTACATCGCCGGCTCTCGAGCTACCGGCAAGAGTAGTGCTAGAACCACTGTCTTTGGCCCCTGCGGCTGCACGAAGAATCTCAATCAAAGGATCAACCGTTTCCTTTCGCTGCTCCCAGAATAACTGCCGAGACCTAGACGTTCGAAGCAATGTTGATAGCCCCTGGACTCCAATGTCCTGAAGTCCACTGTCCTGGTTTTGTGTCAGAGTGGACAGATAGTTGTACAGTTGCGGAAGAGCTTCTTCATCTTGCGACGCCGATTTCGAGGAAGAAGTTATGCTTGTTGAGACGAGGTTTGTCAAGAAGGTTGAGGCGAGCAGCGGGATAGGGTCTTCGGCATTCGTAGAGTGGCGTAGCAGTGGGAGGAATGGTTTGTACGGCTGGGGATGTGCGATCAGGGCGGACGACAGTGACGGGGCGTCTGGGAGAACGAACGGGTCATTAGTCCTTGTAATTCGCAACAAAAAGGGTTATAGAAGTAGTCATTACCATTGATGAGATCTGCAGCTAGGACCAGGATATACTGTACGATATCGCTTCTCTTCGCCGCGGACTCAAGGACACTCTTCCCGCTCGAACCTCCTGCCAGCAAGCTCACGTATCCTGGGATATCCCCATCAATCGTCTGACGCCGCTGTTCTTTGCGAACCTTGTCCACTGCCTTGATCTTTTTTAAGTGGTCATCCGTGATGTTTCCAGCTCGAACAGCTCCATCCCAAGGAATAGGTCGAGCTCGGATGTTGTTCTGTAGGGAGCTGAGGTACGTGGGGGGCTCCAACGAAGCGGCCGACATTTTTTCTGGCAAATGAATGCGCCTGCCAGGAGGGTAATCGGGAAATAGAAGCTAGAGAGGGGCGGGGTGTCTGGAAGAGCTCGCCGGGACAGCTGTAGACAAGCGGAGCTGGGCAAGTTGACGTCCAGCAGACCGAATTGGGGAAGCCCGCCGCCAAGCCCGTTCTAGTAATTGCTGCGCTCGTCCACGCAACCCAGACCGGAGGGTAATCTTACGTCTGTCAACGTGGAATCAACGTTGAAACTCGTGTTCCTTTACCTTCTCTTGCTAGTCGCACACTGTCACTTTTCATGGATTTTTACTCCGAACCAGTCTCTCGTTTATTCGTGCCTTTGTCTACGATTGACGCAAGCAATCCGAGATACGGCTGCCTCCCGACCTCATAGCAGTGCAAGCGGGCCACCTCGTATCGACATTGTTGACAATTCTATACGGCCTTTTTCCACCCTTCTTACGTCGAAAAACCAAACTCGACCTCTATCTTCAGACCCGCGCCGTACCCGGCTTGCCGTTGTACAAGACATCTGGCACCATGTCGCAAAATAAGTGGAAAGTCGGTTCCTTTCTACAGCAGGCCGTCGCAGGCGTAGAGTCGCGATTGGACCAAATGCTGACGGAGGAGGAAGATGCAAAACGACAGCAGCAGATGAAACAAAGGGCAATGAGGCCAAAGTCGGGTGACCAATCTGGTAGTACGTTGTTGGACGATATAGTGTTGAATGTCTAAATCCGGTTGGCTGACGTGACGTTCTTTAAGGCATCTCCCGAAGCTCGTCCAATGCACAGAAAAATGACCGACTCCAAGAGCGCCTAGCTCGTGCTATGGTAAAACAAAACGCACAGGGTGACGGCACCGATTCTTCCTCCCCCGCCGGTATTTCTCCAGTTACCAGCCCAGTTCCAAGCAACGGCGCACGATCAAGTATGGATATCGAGTCCAGCCTCGGCTCGTCTCGAAAGGACATAACCTCACCTCGAGACTCCATATCTGTCACGCCAGCAGTAACGGCCCCGAGGACAAGCCACGACTCTTCTTCTTCGCTTCGCAATTCAGTGGACGTTGTGGCGTCGAATCCCACCGATAAAGACACCTCAGCTTCTGAGCCGACTTCAGTGCCTGACTTGGTGGAAACTGAGTCTTCGCCTGTACCAACAGAACCCACGCCAGTCTCTGCTAAGTCGCTCCTGGAGAGCGGCAGTGCCCCGCCGAATGAAGAAGAGGGTTCAGGTGGGCTTTCCCAGGCAGAGAAGAGCGTTGAGGATTCCGCAGTACAAGAAGAAATACATGGATATATTGAACGAATCGATGCTTTACAGTCAAAACTGAAGTATCTAGCCCAGGAAGCTGCGGAGTCTGCTCGAAACGCGGCTGCTACAGCCGAGCCTGGAAGTACCGACAAGCAGCTGCGAGAAAAGGATGAGAGGATTGCGCTTTTGCTCGAAGAGGGACAGAAGCTGTCTAAAACCGAGATGGACCATAGGACTTTAATCAAGAAGCTCCGACAGCAACTAGCAGAAAACTCCAAACTCCAAACAGAGGCAAAGAAGAAGAATGACCGGCTAGAGAGGGACTTAGCGAACTCTGAAGCTAAGGCCAAACGAGCAGAAGCAGCAGAGAAGAGAGCGGCTGGATCGCTTTCCGCCCAGACCAAGACTGCTCGAGACCTGGAAGCCTTAACAACTGAGCGGGATGCTTTAACCCAAACAGTGGAGGAAATGAAAAGCCAACTTGCTCGTGCAGTTTCCCGGGCGGACGATGCGGAGGCAAAGGCAAACTCCGATGCACTGGAACGGGAGAAGCAGCGCGCCGATAAGCTCGAGGAGGAACTCTCGAGCGCTAGGATTGAACGTGAAATTGCCGAGGAGAAGCTAAGGAGGGAAATAACCAGCCTCAAGGAGAATGTTGAGCAGGAGAAAGAAAAGGCTCGAGTATTAGAAGCCGAGTTGAAGGGGGAGCAATCTGTGTTAGAGAGCAAGATGGAGTCTCTGCGATCAAGAGCTGAGGAGGTGTCCTCTGGTGCTGCTGGGGACGCACAGGTCAAGCTTCTACGTCAAATTGAGACATTACAGACGCAATACGCGGTAGCTAGCGAGAACTGGCACGCTTTGGAAGGCTCTCTACTTTCACGACTGGCGAACGTTGAGAAGGAACGTGATGAAGTTTCACGACGAGAGGGTGAGGCACGAAGAAAGATCCGTGAAGTGGTGAGTTCACCTGACTCCACGTTTTTGTCTCCTGAAACTGACAGATTGTAGAATCTTAAAGTGAAGCGGATTGAGGAGGAACTCGAAAACGCACAGGAAACACAGCGCGACCTTTCGAGCAAGGTAGAGGAACGCTCTCAAGAACTACAAAAGGCCGAACACAGGCTCAAAAAGACGGAGGATGAGCTAACCGCAGCCCAAAATGAAACGGCCGAGCAAAAAGCCCTTTGCGACGCAACCTGGGCCCAGAAACTCGAGGATGAGCGGGCCAAGTGGCGTGAACAAGCCGTGCGCCCCATGAACCCGGTCCGACGCAATGAGTCCCCTGTTTCCTTATATCGCCCTAGTAGTAATTTGGAGGCGGCCGTCTCGCTGTCCGATTACCGCCCGACGAGTCGTCGCTCGTCCGCGTTACCAGGTGTCACCCCCGATCTAGGCATAGGCACACCTCCACGACAGAACTCTTTCCCCATTTCAGCGTCCCAATCAGTATTGTCACCTGTTCTTTCAGGAAACGGATCAGTGCCGCCTGTTCCGGAAACACCAGCCCTGAACGAAGCGGATGAATTCTTCACCGGCTCAGGGACACCCTCGGCCTTCGGTGGCGCGCCAACTCACTCGCGGGGGATCAACGATATTATCTCCGAGTCCACCGTTGGCGCCGGCCCGTCGGTCCAGCTTGTTGAACGGATGAGCGCCACAGTACGTCGACTGGAGAGCGAACGGGCCGCCTCGAAGGATGAATTGGCGCGTATAACCACCCAACGTGACGAAGCCCGGGAACAGGTCGTCGACCTGATGCGGGAGGTTGAAGAAAAACGAGCATCTGATACCCAAGTACACGAGTTAGAACAGAAACTCGAGGAACTCAACGGACGGTACGACACCACGCTTGAAATGCTCGGCGAAAAGAGCGAGCAGGTGGAAGAGCTGGAGGCCGACATCGCGGATATCAAGAGGATATACCGCGAGTTGGTGGATAGTACGATGAAGTAATCTTCATGTCTGTATGAGTATGTAAATAGATAGCATTCGCAAGAAGTTCAAATTCTTGACGAAACATAAATATATGGTTATTCATGACATTCTAATCTGACATAATAGAGGAGGGTATCTGAAAGGCCTGCGACCTGCACATTTTGGTTGCATTTAATTTCGACTCATAACTACAAGTCAATTCCCTCCCTCTCTGCAGCTTGCAAAATATAACTTCGAACCTAGAACCCAGCCGAGTCAACATCGCCCGTCTAAAGCAAAGGCTTGCCCACTTACCCTTACATCCGGTGCCATATCAATTGCCCGCTTCCCGTCCTGATCCTCCTTATCGGCCTCAGCACCGGCCTTCAGCAACGTAACCGCTGCGTCGCCATGACCCTCCGAGATAGCATGGTGCAATGCCGTAAGGCCATCAATATCAGTGGCATTAACAGGGCTTCTGCCTTCTTTCAACAGAATCTGGATGATTGGCGAAGAGCCTATTGCAGCAGCACGATGAAGCGCCAGTTGGCCCCGCTTGTCCTTGACCCGGGCACTGCATTTATTATTTAGCAGAGTGCGGATTGTGGAGAGATTCCCTTTGGATGTTGCAAAGTGCAACGCGTTCTAAATGCATTAGTTAGCCTGGCTTCTCGAAGAAATTCCATTGGACTCAGGCGACGGATGGGAGGGTTAGTTACTTGGCCGGTAACACTCTTCACATTGACATCTGCGCCTTTTCGTAGAAGGAGGTCAATAACAGGGTCCCCTTCTGCGTTTTTTAAACTTGATGCGATCATTAGAGGGGTCCAACATGACCCGTCCTGTTTGGTGTTAGTTGAGAATTCAGTTCCAAAACATGTGTGGATGACGAATGTACCTCGACATCAGGATCAAAATCCTTTGTTGCTACAAGTAGCTCCACGATGGGGAGATGGTTGTACGCCACTGCCCAGTGGATGGGTAGACGGTCATCGTCGTCTTTCATTGTTGCTAGTTTTGGGTTGGCCTGCGCGTAGAATTAGATGATTAATTCAGAATAAAATAGCATAGCCCGCAGAAGTCGATGCAAGGAACGCATGTTCATACATTCAAGAGCGATTCAGCTATAGAAACTGTGGGGTGGTTAGCGAGTGTATATATGGCTTTTGTATGGCGGGGAGACAAACGCTTGCCCTCCCGAGCAGCCTCATGAAGAGGAAATTTCGCGTCAGTCGTATTAGCCATAATGAAATTTCTGCGCAGTTTATAAAAACATAAACGTGGGGTAGTGTTTGTCCGATGATGGGGTGAGGACAAGAAGTGGCAGATGACGATGATACCTGAATTATAGTGCCTTACGGCCTCAGGCATAAAATCCGCGCTAAGAGACTTCCTTCCGTCTTCGATCACTGAAGGTGCACTCATTACACCCCTCACCTACCTCCTAATTATCTCTCTCATAAACGGGCCTATAACTTATAGCTCCGTCGATATTTGTGTCGTACTGAATTGGGCCCTTCTTCGTCCAGAATACGCGAATCGCGACACGAGAGCCCGGAGCCCTTCGACCAGCTTGGTTTTCAAGCTTCTCGGATTTATTCACGCCCTTCTTTTCAACCTCCCATCAGCCACAATGGACGTGATCCCTTCGACTACCCCGGAGGAAGCCGTGCGCAACTCCGCGAAGAGAACCGCTGAGCTATTTGGCGCCGAATATCTCATGGTCACACCCTCCGTCGCGAACGGATCGATTGGCGTTTCCTACCGACGAAAAGCAGAATATGAAGACGTGAAGGAGCTTCCGCCCGCTCTCGCCGAAAAACAAGCACAAGCAGCTGCTGCGCGCTCGAAGCGACCTAAGATCAGTGCGAAGCCACAAGGAGAGGGCAGCGGTGATAAAAGTGGCGCGTCTACGGCTCTTGTAAGGAGAGGAGGCCGCGGACCGTCTGCGGGCGGTGCTGCCGGGGAAGATAAGCCCACAAGCTTGATACAAAGGCCATCAGCCACTCGGCAACAACCGCCTGAGTGGCATGCGCCATGGAAGTTGATGAGAGTCATCTCGGGACATCTGGGTTGGGTGCGGGCTTTGGCCGTGGAACCGAATAACGAGTGGTTTGCTACTGGTGCTGGTGACCGGACAATTAAGATTTGGAACCTGGCTACTGGTGCATTGCGGTTGACTCTTACTGGACATATTTCGACTGTTCGTGGATTGGCTGTGTCGCCGCGACACCCATATCTCTTCTCCTGCGGCGAGGATAAGATGGTCAAATGCTGGGATTTGGAAACGAACAAAGTCATTCGCCATTACCATGGTCATCTCAGTGGTGTCTACACACTTGCCCTCCACCCTAGACTTGATCTGTTAGTCACTGGTGGTCGAGACGGCGTCGCCCGTGTTTGGGATATGAGAACTCGAAGCAACATCCACGTCCTATCTGGTCATACCGGCACAGTCGCAGATCTAAAATGCCAGGAAGCCGACCCCCAAGTCATAACCGGATCTCTAGACTCAACCGTCCGCCTCTGGGATCTCGCGGCTGGCAAGTCCATGGGCGTTCTCACGCACCATAAAAAGGGTGTACGAGCCTTAGCAACCCACCCGCGAGAGTTTACTTTCGCATCAGCTAGCACCGGTGCCATCAAACAATGGAAATGCCCTGGTGGTGAATTCATGCAGAACTTTGAGGGTCAGAACTCCGTCATTAACACACTTTCCGTCAACGAAGATAACGTCCTTTTCTCCGGTGGTGACAACGGCTCCATGTCCTTCTGGGACTGGAAGACCGGATACCGCTTCCAGAACATTGAAACAACTGCCCAACCGGGTTCACTGGAAGCCGAAGCTGGTATCATGGCTTCTACATTTGATCAGACCGGGCTGCGTCTGATCACTGGTGAGGCGGACAAGACGATCAAGGTCTGGAAGCAGGATGATCAGGCTACGCCGGAAACTCACCCTGTGACATGGGCTCCGACGCTGGGGCGACAGAGGTATTAGGAGCTATTTATGATGCTCTATTACCTTCAGTTCTGCTCATAATTCCTTCCTAATAAAAAGAATACCCTTCCCACCCACCAATTTTGGGTCTTGAGACGGCTTTTCCGATGCACTTTGTGGAGTTTAGCGTTTGGTGATATGGTTTTGTTCTCTATCTTGAAATTTTTTTAGAATATAAGGCTACGGGTTGGACCTATAACTTATTTGAATGTATTATATGACCCGCAAAAATTTACTTGTTAAACACAAGGGTATCATTCGATCTAGTAAATTAGTGTACATACATATCCTATACTAGGATTCATGCTAAACGCCAATCCAATGCTCTATGCTTATTAACCTCAAGTTTCCATCCCCAGTCCCAGCCCCTTCGCCTCGACATCATCCCGAAACGCAGCCCGGACATCCTCCGCCGCAACCCTGAGCCTCACCTTCCCACTGCGGTCACCTCGACTCGGAATAGCCGCGCTCCCTAGGGCACCTCTAGAGCTAGTCTCCAGAGCAAGAATCCCAGAATTCATGAGCTCCATCGCTGCGAAACCCAACGCCCTGACACGGGCTCCGTTGCCGCCAGCAAGGAGGAAGTCTTTGATCCCTGCGCCGGCGGCTCCTGCAACGGCCACTGCGGCATCGGCAATTCGTTTCGCTTCATCCATCACATCGCCGAAAGTGGATTCTGTGATGCCCGTTCGGCGGACGCGGGCTAGGAGGGCGGCAAGGAAAAGTTTCGCGGAGAGAGGGAGACAGCGGAGGGATTGTTGGAGCGGTGTCGAGGTCGCTTCTTGGATAGCTTGCTTGATGGTTGCGATGGTGACTCGCCCTGTTGGTTGTTTTTGGGAGGTGGGCTTCTGTGGCGATCCCGCTTTGGCGCGTGAAAGGGCCTGCTTTGCATTTGCTCTTTCTTTCCGCGCGGGAGTTTTGCTAGGTGTTGGAGGGAGAGATTCGGTATCATCGTCTCCATCTATGTCTTCGACCGGGACGACTTCGCTAGCCTGTTCTGCGATTTCAACCGCCCGTCGGCAGATATCCAAGGCGCGTCGAGCATCACCACTGACGGCGGCCACCTTGCGACTCGCGAATTGAATTGCATCTGGGTCGACGATATTCCCTGGTACATTTGATAACCGAGTGGTGATAATTTCCATCAGGTCGTTATGTGTGTAACCAGGAAACGTGATGCGTGTCAAACCGAGACGACTCGAGATTTTGTTACTCAAAGTTCGCTCCGGGAGGTCCATAGTATTTGCGACTGCAAGAACAATGAGACGCGAATGGCGAAGGGCCGGCCAGTTGAAAAAGTTGTACATGACTGATTGGTTCTTCGTGACCAGCTGGTCTAGCTCGTCCATAAGAACAACGCAAGATACTCTTCGGGGTGAGGGATGGGAAAACTCGCGATCCAGCAAATCAAGGGCGTGAGAAGGTGATACCCGATCTCCCTTCAATGCTTCCCAAAGTAGAGAATAGGATTGATGGGGGTCAGTGACTTTCATGCCGTTTATCTCCACGAATATGAAGTCATCCATTTCCTCTGAAAGGACCGCAGAGTTTAACTGTGCAACAACCTCGCGGACAGTGGCTGTTTTCCCGGTTCCCGGTGTTCCAGATATGTAGATGCAGGTGCCGGTTCCCTCCATAATGGCAGCACTGAGGTGGCTGTATACTGTGTCAAACTCCGTCTTCCGGCATGGGAGTGAGTCGGGAACCGTCGAAACATGGAGGAGATTGCGTGCCTGCCGGTATGGCGAAGCAAAATGGGTTGGTGACAGCACGCGTGTACCAAGAGGCGTGAATTCGAGAGGCTTCTTGACGATAATTCTGATCGAATGAGGTAAGTCTCCATATTAATCGTGGTGGTAAGCTCATCTATTTACCTTCTATGGGACGGAGTGGTCATCGCTTTCTGGCGCCGAGACTGTGGCGTAGCGTTTGCTACCTTCTGCTTTTTCCTTGGAGTCTTCGGCGCCTCATCGACAGTGTCTTTTGTTTCGACATACTAGCTATTGCGTTAGATCCTATTAAACCATCAAGGGAGCTCAACAGACTTACGTCAGTGTCCACTTGTTTTCGTTTTTTGGCTGCTTTCAAGCCATCTTTGATCAGGTCAACAAGGTCATGGATCTGATCCTGCTGGTAGACATCTTCCCACAAAAATTCCTCAGTATATCGCCCTTGCAGTTGACTGACCCCTCTCCGACAAACAATGCATTTGTTGTATTCGACCAATTCTTCCTTCGATTTTGGCGGGGTGCCGTTCGGGTACCGCGCAAAGAAGGCATCTTTAGACATGACTTGAGCTTTTCCGTTTATTGAAGTCAGCGGGTTAACATTGAAGTCTGTCGTCAGATATTGCTCATTTGGCAACGCATCGGTTCTCCGCTTGTTTCTTGTCGATATGAACTCGTCCGGGGAGGCAAACCACATAATGTTTGCGGACTTGATGGGCTCGTCTTCCTCGTCATCTTCTTCCTCACGGAACTGCGTAATAATGCCCACCCAGTCCTTTCCAGGTTCCGGAGATTTCAGCAGAATAACCTCGCCCAACTTGCACTCAAAAGAGCCCATGCGAGCTCCGATGATCTTCCGTTGTGGTTGGCGAGAGGAGCGCCTTCGGGAGGCTTTTGGCGTCCCGCGGGAAGGCTCTGGCGTATTTTTGGATTCGTTCGCATCGTTGATGTCGACATCGAATATCCACTCCCACGGAAGGTCATCCTTACCAAGCTCATCGTCGGAATCGTCGCGGATAATGCCTCCCTTGGTCATCCATTGTTCGGCACGCTTGAGAGCTTCGCTCTTGCGGGACCGCGAAGCTGCGCTCTCATCTGCAATATCGATAGCCATCTGGCCTATGGAATTGTTTTGGGATCAACTCCGGCGAGCTTCAGCAAGCAATGGCTAGTTGGCTTGGACGTCGAGCTCGGGGAACTAGGGGACGCGAAAAACCGCGTCTGTCCACTTTAATCCTTTTATGGACTAGTGCATACGCACGTGATTTGAATACGTTATTTTAGGTTTAGCTCAATTGCCTGTCGCCCCACACACAACTATAGGCACAAGGAGATAGTTACTGAGCACCTCCCATTTAGAACTTCCTGGGTCGATCAATTAATTGCTCATATTCCAATCTTCCATGGGGAGAGCGATCTATCAGTGACGAGAGGTATGGATCTTTGAAAGCGAACCCAACATTGCGTGGTCCAAGCAACCGCCATCACCTTTATAACTACTACTTAAAGTTAGGCCATGCAAAGTATGCCGAGTCATTGGGCCAAGTGAGGATACAGCTACAGAGGAGCAGTAAGGGTAAAATATTTGGATAGGATACCTGACCTTAGTCCTGTTGGGAAATAGCTTTTGTTTTGTGGAGAAACCCTCGTACGGGCCGGAGATTAAGCAAAGAGCAAACAGTGGCCAACTTTCTTCACCAAAGAGCTGACACTGACCGAGCGACAAAAAAAAAAAAAAAAGGAAATTGGCAATTGACTGGGGAAAGCACTATGACAATTGGGCCGGTAGCCGTTTCCTTAACAAACATGGTGACTGCCTGTTCCCGAGACATCCATCCATGCTATTCCTCTCAACGACCACTTTCACGGGTACTGGCAGAAATAAAAAAGATATATAAAACCTGGACAGAGACCTGTCTTCCATTGTTTATTCTACTGTCTACCTGTGGGGCATCACTGGTTTGTAGGTAGCATTGGCAACAGAGGGCTGCTCGTTGCGTTAGCAATTTCCTCTCGACTCTTCACTGTTGTTTTCCCTGTCGTTTATTTACTTCACTCCATTCATAGAAGGAGCACTCCGACTCATCACCATCTGATTCTGGTCCCTCCTTCAGAGCGTATCTGCGTCTACGGTGCTTTTATCTCATTCCACACTTCCCGCACTCTCCAAGCTCATCAGAACTACTTGAGTTATCTGAATTGGCTTCCAATGGAGTGAGTGTTTGGTTTGGTTTCATCCTACATCCAAGTTGCTAATAACTATCGCAGCCACGAGGTATCTGGTGCCCAAGGTACGATCCCATGCAAACTTTACCCTTTTATGACGAAACATGCACTGACTCTCTAAAGAGTGGCAGCTTCCTGGCTACGGTCGAACCGCACCCAAGAAGAGCGCCGTAGTTTCACCACCCCAACCCGACCCGCCGTCTCGTAAGGCAACTCCGCAGCTAGAGCCTCCAAAGCAGCCACAGACAGCACCCAAAACACCTAGTCCATCGCGAAACGTCGTTGTTGGCCGCGGCGTGCCGAATGTGAGAGTAAGGGGAACCGCGAGAGGTAGGGGAGCCTCGCCTAGAGGAGCTGCACAAGGCCACTCGAACAAAATACTTCAGGACACCCCTGCAAAGGCGAAATGGAGAAATGGAGCAACCCCCAGCGGTAAGAACCATCGTGATCACGGTGTCGCTTTCGGCTAATAGAACGGGATGGTTTAGGTGTCGTGCAACTACCTGCTCCCTTTGGGACCTTCAAACATGAGTGAGTGTATATGGCCTTTCCACGATGTCGCTTCCCTGTTGACACTCCCAGGTTCTTTGGTTTAGCAAGGCTCACAGCATCTGTGAGAAAGACTAACTCCGGGCAAAATAGAAATGAAGTATTCGAGGATATTGGCAAGCGAACCGGCGCTTTCATTCAACCACCGGTGTATGGTGACCATGTTCGTATAGCATTCTGCGCACCTATGCGGACGATGGTGCTAACCACCGGGGTAGATTATTCAGGTATGGGGCGAGCCGAGCCAGGTAGCTTCAGCGGAAGAGCAACTCAAAGGTATCATTGCCAAGTGCAACATGTTCAACAAATCCAAGGAGCGAAGCGACTGGACCAAGATCCATGCCTATTCAACCAAGAAAGAACTGGATGCTGAGTACAAGGAGAAGGGTGAGAACATGCTACACGAACTTCGAAAGCAACCTGAGTTTGATACTGCATTTCCTGAGCAGGTCAGTTCTTTTCAAAGTTAGAGTTGCCGCTCCGAATTCTCTCTAACACATTCTCGCTAGCTACTCTTTTTATGGCCCGAAGATGGTCCCTCTCTGCACGAATGCCTAGGGCCTGAACTGGAATCCCTTGACTCAATTCGAGCTAGGTTTGGCTGTTATTTGTTTATCCCAAGAGACCTACCTGCCTATATATGTGCACTTGGAAACAATCATGAGAGTATGAAACAAATCGCACAGAGCATCAGAATTCTATGGGCTGAGGCTGTGGCAAAGAGTAATATCAAAACCAAGATATATCTTGTTGAACCACCGGAGCCGACGACAATGAAGGGTAAAATCATGGTCAAGAAGCTGAACCAGCTGCACAAGCCCATCCTTTGCGGAGGCCGGCTCAGAGGGCCCAGTCTAGAGGAATGGCAGGATCGTTTTGGGTTGGTACAGTCCAGAAACAAAACCCGTCTTCTAACCGCGGTTGAGAGCTGTCTGAAAGGACTTTCCTTTGTTCGTGGACACTTGCGGATGCGTGTTAACCTTGGTACATTTGTACTTGAAAACTATAAGCTGCCTGAAGATAATAAGGGCTCGTATAGTTTTGAGGAATTTCGAGAAACATTGATGCACGAGCAAGCCAAGGGTCGACTGATTCCAGAGTACGTATTACGTTGATAATATTTTGAGCATAGCTAAATCGTGACTTATAGGTTGAAAGTCGGCCAGTCCGAATTCCTTCAGAGATGCTTCAAAGCGACTGATTTATTCGAGCCCTACGACGGTACATCAACTCCGCTTGCAAATGCAGAGCTGGCATACTCCGTAAATTTTGAATTCCTTGGTGCAGACAAATCCATGCTTCGATTGGAGGCAGAGTTTTCAAAAACCCCTGGAGCAAAGGACTACCATACTAATGAACGCCGCTGGCTCAGGCCTCGTACAAGTGGCCAAACTGGAGACAGGCAACCCCCTTTGCATGTTGCCATGATTGACTTTGGACGGTAAGATCCGTTGACCCTAGAGTAATATTCATATTGACTAATGGTATGCAGTTCGGATTGGCAGTTAGAAATAAAGTCACTCGAGTTCTACGAAACTTCATCGATTGACGCTGCTCTGAAAACATTCTCTCACTCGATTGGATTCCGGCGCACCCCAAACATGGGAAATATCTCTGCGAAGCCGGAACGAAAGGTGACGTTTCCCTCCAGCCCTCCAGTATCAAGGCTCGTGGAGAAATCTGCCATTCGATATCGGATAAAAGGTACAAAGTACATCTTTGAAATAGCCCGCTACGATGAGTATAGACGCATGGAAGTACACATCGGCCAGACTGGGGCCACGATGACTAGTGGCATGTCAGACGTTCCGTATACATCGTGGGGGGCATCAGTTTTCGAAGCAAACTGGGACAATTTACTCGGGGGTCATGCAAACTTGCCCGTTGGACATTCCGCAAAATACAATCCCAGCCTCGTCACCTTCTTCCCACCCAAAGAACCTTTGACAGCCCTAGAAGACCAGACCAAAGGCCTTTGGGAGTTTGTTGACCTGGTCAAACAAGCAGCCGAGCTCTTGGGTCCAACGAGGACGTCCTCAGAGGACGCAGACAATGACACCGTATCCAGTGCCGGATCGGCTTCGCTAGGGTTGGGCTCAATAAAAACTGGACTGGCCTCTTCTGAAACGCCCGCAAATTCTACTGGATATGGTCCTGCCGGGATGCTGAATGCAGATCTAGGTACCTTGTTTTAAGCAATTAAACGTGGTTATCGATGTATACTAGGTACCCCGCAGGGCTGACTCGATTGGGAGAACTAATGGCCTATGTTACATTCGTCCCTGCTTTTTGTTCTTGTCTTCCTTCGTCACTGTCATTGCTTTATAGTCGCCACAACTTCATTTTATTTCATGTTCCCTGAGAGAGTATATTCAACCAGCAGCCGCAGCCTGACCAGACGATGCAGCACCCTCACTCATCAACTTCTGCCTCAGAGCTGTTGAATCGTCAGTCCCATGTCGTTAAAAAAATAAAGAAAAAAATATTTCCCAACTAACCTTCTTCAAAGACCCGCTGCTGAGAGCTCTTAGTCTGCACAACCTTCTCCAGTTCCGTCAGATTCGTATCCAACTCCTTCACCTTCTGGTCGTAGAATTCAATCGCCTTCGCGGGTGTCTGAAGAAAAAAACAATAATAATCAGCCACTAACCCCACTATACCAGGAGATAAATAACCCCTACCTTTTCAACATAATAGCCCGTCCCAACATCAACAAGCACATGCTCCCGATCCGTCAAGCGCCCCTTAACATACAACGAGCTCGTCAGCGGCACCAGAATCTCATCTTTCCCCTGGGTGCCCTTCTTCGCAGACCCGATGACACCATCGTTAATAGAGCGCACGCAGTCCCGGAAGCGCGACTGGGCGGCGCGCAGCTTTGCGTGTGAGGAGGTGAGATGCTCGAGCTCGGTCGAGAGACGGGTTTGCAGCGCGCGGAGTTGTTGCGAGGAGAGGGAGTTTATGTTTACTATTGGAAGCCGTTAGTTTTTGTTGAAGGAAGATTACGGAAGTAGAGCGGTTTTAGAGAGGCTGGGAAGGAAATGAAAGGAAAGGGAGTGGGCGTTGAGTATTTACCTGCGCCGGGGGGAGCATCGCCTTCTGATGCGGGGGTGTTTGGAGGGGGCATCTTTTTTTTTTTTTCTCTCTTTGGATTCCGTTCGCTTTCGGCGAGGTGGTGTTGCGGTGCGGTGAGAGGTGGATTAATACAGGTGTAGAGGTTTCGTTGAGGGGAGGATTTAGAGCGAGTTCGGGCCCCGGGGTTGTTCAATTGTTGTGGGGGAAGTTGGTGGGAGGTGTTTTATGTCACGGGCAGTGAAGTGGGTTGGGATAAAGTTGAAGCTGTGCCTTGTGCTCAAAGCTCGGGCCAAGTGGGCGTTGCCCGATGCGGTTTAGCGTGGCTGATATATAGTTGGGGTTTTGCTGTTTTTGCGAAAAATAAGCTACGGGAGTTTCTATTGAGGTGATATAATTGTACGAGACGAGCTATATGGTAGATTATATGCGAGGGATGTAAAATAATAAAACAGTCGGTGGATATTTGCAAATGGAAACGAATGTGAGGATACTAATCAAATGGGCAGAGGAGTAGTATAACATATTTAGGTATGACTGTCCACTAATTGATGACCAAGGCGATGTCACAAAGAAATTTAATGCCCATTATTTGTCTAGTCATTAGACCTAGTTCTGTGATCCAGCGAGCCCTATACCTCGATTCGAAATTGACTACTCGAGAGATGACAGCGCCTTGAGAGACTCAACCGCTGACCGGAGGAAGTCACGGAGTCGGTCACTGTCAGAAGCCATTTGCACCAGGAGAAATTGGCAATACCTATATTAGTACAGTCAGCTGATGGTAAGTAAAGCTCGAGCATATAAGTATGAACCCACAAGCGGTGAATTTCGGTTGGAAATGTCAAGACTAGATGGCCACAATATTTGACTCCGGGGTCAGGTATTAACTCAGCTTGTAGCCATCCATTGCTCCAGACCGCCTGGACGGCCACCCTCAAATCTTTCGATGTTTCGCGCCCCTTGAACTGATGTGGCTCAACAGCGCCAGAATTGATGGCGGTTTCAAGGATGTGGGTTGTGGCCGCGTTTTCTAGATCATTTGGCTGAGGTAGGCCCTTGGTAAGACATTTACCGCTCAAGGATTCGAAGAATCCCATAGGATTACCGAAGAGGCTCTCGACAAGAATTTGCCGGTCAACAGGCTTACCCTGTTCTATGGCGGCTTGGGTGTCCTGTTAATATATGTTAGTATTGATATATTGTATAGGGAGCGGGCCGTATACAATGGATAGCATACCTCATTTAGTAGAAGAGCTTCTGTAAGGCTTTGAAGTACCCCGATGTGCCCACTGCTGCATCGAAATAAACTCTCCTGCAAGTCGTCAGTCAGAGAGACCGGGGACGAGATAATCTCCGCTGCATGGTCTGTGACGAGATGTTTTGCTTCATCCTCGCGTAGCTGGAGACCAACGGGGCCCCAAGGCCACACCGTTTGCTTTTCACCTGGACGCATTGAGATCTGAGCTTCTGGTCCAAAAGACATTGGGACCGCCGAATAAGGATTAAGATAGATATATGGAGAACTAGTGCCCGGCAAGCAGCAAGAAGTAAATAGAATTATGTACGGATATGCCAGCCGTTCAATACTCTTGAAAAATGCCGACCAAAGCCCTTGATCCCAGTATGACTGCTGTGCCTCATCAATAAGCAGGAAGGCCGGGTAGCTAGTCCAATCATAGCCTTGAACACCCGTTACCAAGTACAGGTATTGCTCCCAATGGCGGGCACGGCGGACATCTTCCTCGTTCCAGCCGGTAATGGTATGAATAGGCATTGTTTTGCCATACTTCTTCAGCAGGGCGTTAACTGTAAGGTTCATCAAGGTAGTTTTGCCAGAGCCGGATGGGCCATTAACTCGGATGATGTTAAATTCTTCGACTCGGTTTATTATCCCGTTAACAAGTTCCGTTCGGGAGAGGGTGGCTGCTGGAACAGCTAGGTACAGTTAGCTTGTAAGCTGGCTGTATCTTCTAGATGGCTTCTTCTCACCTATAGGCTCAGTTACCAGCGACTGGGGAGTAGTCGATGGGGAACCCTTGTGTCTAGACACGAGATGCCCGCAGTAACGGCACTCGCCATTTGCCTGGGCTGTACCTTGGAAGTGGAAATAGTATCCTCGATCGCATGGGCAACAGGGGGAAAAACCGTGGGACCAGGTGCAGTGGCCGATTATGGTGATTGTGTGCCTTTGCCGACTCATTGTGAGGACGGAGCTTCGCGGGACTGATTTGGGGGAGGCCAAAACGGGGACGGTGAAGAGGAGGGTTGAAGAATAGAAAGACGGAAGGTCAGGTGTTAAGGTGAAAGATGAGCCTTTTATTTGAGGAAGAAGGAAAGATAAACTTCACTTCAGTTTAAGTCTTTTTTTTTTCCCCTTTTCTTAAACTACCCAGTGAATTTGCCTCAATGCTTAAAATACACCAGGAGTGTAATCAATAACCTGCGCCTTCTCTACAATACCCTTTAGAGAGCCAACAAAGGCCAAATGCGCCGGATCCTTCTCAACATAATAGTCACGATCCTCAGTATTGGCAAATTCTACGACAAAAGCGTGAGTTATGCCTCCCTTAAGAAAGAGATCTGATTAGCATATAAAGCAATAAATAAATGACGGATCGCCTGGGATGCCCATGACGCACCTGAAGCCCCTCGGGCGAGTTATCTATCCCACCCGAGGAAGACACGATATACGGCTTTTGAGAAGTTGGATGGATGCAGTTATCCTTGAGGCCCAACATGCGTGTACAGACCTGTTTAAGAATTGGCATTAAGGTAAGTTTTTGGGGGTAAATAAGACTGGTAGAACATGGTGGGCTGACGTACGTCGTTGACGACCTCGGCGCTAAGGCCGGCTTTAAGCTGGAAAAGGACGATGTGGGTGATGGGCATATTGAGAGTTAAGGTCCAATCTATAGAGATAGTTGGAGAAAACAAGAAGATGAGCTGACGGGGGTTGGTGTTGGTTATGTAGTCAACGTCAACAACTGATTATAAAGCAGAGTGCAAAAGTGGGGTGGTTCGGCCTTGATTGCAATTATCCCACGGACGACACAGTCACAAGAGAAATCAGGACTGAGGGGCGCGGGGATGAAAAGATAACTTGGTGAAATACGATAGATTTATAATTCTCAACTTGGAGAGTGAGAGGAATAGCTGATAAGGATGGCGTTTGTTTCGTGGAGTCGGTTTCGTTGGGTTGGTTATATATATCCAACACCGACGCCAACAGCTACGATATACTGTATATTTATGCTGAGTAACATTATTATGAAGACCGGGGTTGGGCAATTTTTGGGAGTTTAAACGGAGTGATTTAGATACCCAATCCGTAATTACTTCAGGGTCCGCTAATCTAGTTTTTTGGGAACATTCAAAGTATATCAAGGCACGTCTTGATCTGGAGATAATAACCGAAAGATACATGATATTATTTGACAAGCATCCCGAAACATCAATCAACAGTATTTGACTGACAAACTCTCTTCACGATTATGAGCTCGTGAGCTACAACGCGGTAAATGTAGAGAGAAATGGCATAAAAGAAGCAATAGAAAAGAAAGTAAACACGGAGAGATGACAGAGTGTTTAAGAAGGCAAAAGGTGACAGCACACGCCAAATTTATAAGAAATTAAGGCTTAACGAACTTGGTGGCAGCGTCGGGTATGCTCTTGGAGGTGATCTGGCCGTCCAAAGGCTTTCCCACAGTCCTGCGCTCGGCATGGATAGGCATTCGGGGCGATATGGATTGACTTGATGTGGCGGATGAGGTCGCCGACACGAGAAAAGTGCCTGGTACTGGTACAGTCCTCCCATTTACACCGAAAATAGGGAGGGGAAGGGGCAGACTCCGAGAGGTGCCCTTCACTGGTATTCCCAGCTGTGTTTGGTTGGTTGGCGACGACATCCTCCATAGGTCTCACATCCATGGAGTACCGTAGGGCCGGAGCGAAGGGAGTGGACGGAGGTGGGTAGTAGGTGGACACTTCAAGCGGAACGACTCGTGTTTGGCCACTGTCAGATGTAGCAGAGTGTCGAATGCAAGGTGACTTGATTGAGGGCGACGAATTGATATTGACACCTGAAAAGATTGGCATCCCCCTGTCTTGAGCGATATCATTCGGCCCGGCGAGGGTTACTTGTGCGCCGGCGTCATTGTTCGGGATGGAGAAAACGTGCTGGTTAAGCAAGAATGGATTGATTGAATTGCCATTTCCCGTTGGCTGGGGACGGCTAACAGGCCACTCCATCATGAGCAGAGGTTGAGTAGTTTGATATAACAAGAGAGATGGAGATCAACCAAGTTATAAAAATAAGAGAAGGCAGGAGAGACATTCGATTATATACCATTTCTTCCCAGCAGAATCTCCCATGTTGGCGCATCTCGAATCTCCCTGGGCGAGCATACCTAACGGACTACTTTGCACTGAAGCAAAGTACATACTATCTTACCTTGGCCATTCTTGGCCAAGTGAGGTGCGCAAACGGGATGGGGCAACTAGGAGATCGTCCGTGGGGTGGACCAATCAGAGCCTACCGTAAATCAGGAATCGCCTCCAGCCTGCGGGATCTAAGTAGTGTGGGCTTGTGGCCACTGGATCAACCTCGACGGAGGCTGAGCAAGCCAGGGTTGTGAGCCACTCACATTCATGAATAAATTCTTTGAGTTACTTTTTGGAGCACAGGAGGCAGAGTTGAGTAGGGAGGAGACTCAGTAAGTTGGCATCAGCAGCCACATCCAGAGCCTCGTGCTAGGCTTTGAGAAAACACGCCCAACGCCGAAGATGATCATCAGCTGTGCGCTTCCTTGAGTTCCTCCTTTCTAGTTTTCAGAATTTTAGTTTCCTACTTCCCCTACTTCATACGTCAATGTCAGACAGTGACTAAGCCTATTAGTATAAGTTAGACAGCATATACCCCAAAGTGGTTTAGATTTCGTATCAGGTCCCTGATGTAAAATCCAAACTGTGTTAAGGAAGGGCTGGCTGAGCCCAGGTCTTTATCTAGGTTGCACATCCAAAGATCTTCTATCTACCCCGTGAAAACAGGGTTTGCTTTCTCTCAAGGTTTCTCTTTACATAGAACAGGCGGCAGATTCGGAGCAGAGAGACAGAAGTATAAACCGAGACGATATAATGATGCTTGAGTAGAAGCCAAATGGATTCAAATCATCGTGACAGACTGATTGGATAATGATAACCATGTCCGCCTCTTGGTAAAGACAAACCATCTTCAGCTTCAACCCCCAATCTACTCGCGCCGACGCATTTCAACAGCCCCAGGCTTCACCATATGCTGCGAGCACAAATGGTCCGACTCTGGCAGAGCCTCTGACTTGAGCGGGTGACATTTGACGTTTGTGCCGGACCGCTCGTCGCACTGTTTGAACAGCTCAGGCTTTTTGCAGCCGCATGAATATGTGCGGTAGAACTGGGTGCACATTTTGAATAGCTTTTCTGGGGAATTTTAGCTATACGTTTTCAAGGTAGATGAATATGGACGGATGGATGAACTCGTATACATATATCCAGCCTTCTACCTTCATGTGAGAATGGGAGTTGTTCTAGCTCGATAATCGACCGTCTTAAAGGAACAGTCCCTATTATCTGTATTTCGAGATTCAACGAGGATGAGCGTTGAGAGATCGGGTAAGTTGGAGATGCTGGCGCCTACACGGTTGACCCCGTTAAGCGCCGAGCGAAGTGTGATGGCCAGCATGGCCCGCCCATGTATTCTTGAGAAGCGACCAATAGCCTCATGAGTGAATCTATTCTCTTCCTTAAATGAAACCGGAAGGCTGAATCGCCCAGATCACAAACTCTACTACAGGCTGGCACCTTCTCCTACTTGTCTACTCTACAGCCCAAGTAACAGCTATGGCATCATTCAATAAACCAGGCATAAATTGAACTCGTCGCATCGTAATTCTCATTCATACACTCAACCGTCGACCGAGGGTATCTGAAGAAAGCTCATTCTGTACATCCATCCCCGAAATCAACACACTTCGCTCCCACCTGAAAATATCCAATGCGTCCCAAAGCATAACAAGTATCAAGATTATCAGCAGCAACAAGTTAAACAATCGCAACAACAATCACAAGTCTCGCCGCAGAGCCAGCAGCAGAATAGCGTCGCCAGACTGTTGCAGTACACCCAATCCATTAGCAAATTTGTTTCTTGCTGGGTGTTGTGAAATTACACGACCTCTAGGGCGACATACCAGGTCATACAGCAGCCTTTGTCGTCTTTCTTCTCTTCCTGGACGATGATTTGTTGGGGAGGGGGCTGTTGGTATTGCATCTGTAGAGGTCGTTGGTTAGTATCTTCACATTTGGGGCGATTAGGTGGTGATTGACTAACAGGAGGGCCCTGGGGAGGGTAGCCACTAAATTCGGAGACCAATTAGCGATGGATTCTTATAACAAGGTGAAATGTACGTACTAAGGTTGCTGCTCGTAAGGAGGTTGTTGGTAAGACATGATGGTGGTGTTAAGAGTCCGAGTAAACTTTGGTCGGTGTTGACAAGTAGTGTATGGTAGATGAGACGGAAGGAACCTAAGTAATATAAATAGGCCTGTAAAGACACAAAATAATGCGCATAAGCGCTGGGTAGGCAGCAGCATTTAAAAAGGAATAATAATAATAGCAAGGCTGAGCGCCATGCAATTGCCATGCATTAGGCCGCTCGGCGAAGGACAAGCGCGATATTGAAGTCTCAACCAAGGAATCGCTGTCCAATGATACAGGGCGTCCAAGGCCTGAGTCGCAAATGGGTGTCAGAGTGGATACATGTGATTTGTTAAGGCTGAAAGAATAGGTTCCTATATAAAAAGTGCTATTTTGCGATTCAATTTGCTACGGTATGAATGCGTTTGTCTGGGTTGTTTGCTGAATAACGTAGTACGGCAGAATGATAATGGCGACATCTTCCTGATAATAAATAAATTTAATCCTCATAGACCTCTTCATATGTTTCCTCATATTCCTCTCTTGCCTCTTCGAGCGCCTCCTCTTCGCTGCTAGACGCGTCCGAGTCCTGCGCGGCAAGTTGCGCCTGCTCGTACTCTTGACGAGCTTCTAGGACATCCTCACGGTCGCTAGAAGACACAGAGCTTCCATCTGCGGTCTCATCTGGTGGCAGACCTACAGGAGGAGGAGCCGTGGCGCTACTATCTGCTGCCGCCGCGTGTTTTTCATCGTCAGAGTCGTCACCTTCGTTAGCCATGTTAGCAAATTTCAAATCAACAAATCGAGTAGGTATAGGAAGGAATAAGCTGGGATATTTGATGACCGACCGAGTGCATGTCCAATAAGCGCACCACCAACAGCTCCAACAGCAAGACCACCTGCTGCGCCCATCATCATCTTCTTCTTGTCATCCTTGTCCGAGTTGGGGTCTTTCGCCTGTCCCTGTGGATAGTAGCCTGCTCCCGCCGGCGGGGCCATTCCAGGGTTCTGTCCGCCATAGTACGGATCGGGTTGTGGATAAGCCCCTGTCGCTCCCCCGTAGTGAGGTACCTGGGGAGGCGGGTACTGGCCGTAGGGGGCGTTGTTAGAGGGCGGCTCCCACCGAGAAATGCCGGTAGCCTGTTCGATATAGTACCAGCGCTGGCTGGTTTGGTCGAACTGGGCCACCCAACCGGGAGGCAGAGGCGGGCCTGCTTGTGGGTTCATCGGCTGCTGAGGAGGAGCATATTGGCCGGGCGCTGGGTAAGGTTGGCCATAAGGCTGAGGAGCATAGTTTGGGTCGTAGGCAGCTTCAGCCACAGACGATCGATCATCAGTCAGGGAAACATGGAATTTAAAATATTATTGGAACCAAACCGCGGTCCCAAGAATTGGTTCTGTCACTCACCATGCTGGCCCTCGGCTTCCTTCTCCTTGTGCTTTTCTTTGTCCTTGTCGTCGCCTGTGAGCGAGGCCTTGAGATCCTTGAAGTCCTTGGCAAGGTCCTTGAGGAACGACATGTTGGGCGTGGGGATGAGAGGGAGAACTTTGAGGAGAGTCACTTTTGCTGTAGACGACAGTAAACAAAGAGGGGTCCTCCGCCACACAGTCGGACTTCATTGTGGCACGACTGTCAAGTTGCAGCATGTGTGGTGGAGCTACATAATTCTGCTGCCTGCAAGCGACCAAATCAAGGGGGCAGCCCATCTGCCAAGGTGATGGTGTTGACGCTTCTCGTTCTCGATTGGCCGTTATTTATGATCTCCAAGCGGCTGCTGACAGGTCTCTTGAAGTTTCGAAAGTCGAGAGCTCTCCACGTCGCTCCCAGTCAGCCTTGTAGGGCTCTCCGCGTCAACCTGTTCCCTCTCATATTTGACGACCTGAAGAGATGCTATCCTCGGGTTCTCTTCTGCTCCCCAGGCTTATCTTACTTTCCTTATACTTTCCTCTCCGAAGCGCTTTTCCTCTGGGCTCCACTCCAGCACTCCACGTCACCGAAGATGCAGAGCACGACAGCTCCGATTTATGGCTCAACTTGAGCGCAGCGGTTGCACTGGTCCTGATTGGGGGTGTTTTCGCTGGATTAACAATTGCGTACTTGGAATTCGTTTAACATCGGATGCTTTTCATAAACTAACGGTTTACTAGGCTCATGGGCCAGGATGCAGTTCACCTCCAAGTGCTCGCAACCTCCGCCGACGGCCCTGAGAGAAAGCATGCTCAGACCGTCCTCAAGCTTGTCGGTAAAGGGAAACACTGGGTCCTGGTGACTCTCTTGCTTGGCAATGTGGTTGTCAATGAAAGTTTGCCCATCGTCTTGGATAAAACGCTAGGTGGGGGATGGCCTGCAATCGTAGGGAGCACTGTCTTGATCGGTAGGATTGCAGAGTATTCCACCAGATTTGACACGACTGACCGTTGAATAGTTATCTTCGGCGAGGTTATCCCCCAGTCCGTCTGCGTCCGCTACGGTCTCCCGATAGGCGCATACCTCTCACCTGCGGTCTTGTTCATGATGTATGCTTTTGCACCCGCGGCCTGGCCCACTGCGAAGCTTCTCGATTGGCTCCTAGGCGAGGAACACGGAGTGGTCTATAAGAAGGCTGGGCTGAAAACGCTCGTCACCCTACACAAGTCACTAGGCTCGCAGCCCGCAGAGCGGCTGAATGAAGATGAGGTCACTATAATCACGGCAGTGCTAGACCTGAAAGCCAAGGCCGTACAAAGCATCATGACGCCCATGGACCACGTTTTCACCGTCTCTACCGATTCGATTCTAGACGAGAAAACTATAGAGCTTATCCTATCGGCGGGCTTCTCCAGAATCCCCGTCCATGCGCCGAACGACCCCTCGAATTTTCTGGGGATGTTACTGGTGAAAACACTCATCACCTATGACCCAGAAGACGCCAAACCAGTGGCCGAGTTTGTCCTCGCGACCCTCCCCGAAACAAGTCCCGAAACCAGCTGTCTCGACATCTTGAATTATTTCCAGGAAGGGCACTCCCATATGGCGCTCGTATCTAACCACCCCGGCGAAAACGGCGGCGCTCTTGGTGTTGTAACCTTGGAGGATGTTGTTGAAGAGCTGATCGGCGAGTACGTCCTCCCTAGTAACAGCCCATATCGTCCCTTCTACTCACCACATCTAGGGAAATCATCGACGAGTCCGACATGCACGATGACGCCCAGCATCCTGCAGAGCAACAGCAACCCCCTGTTCCAGACTTCCCTGTACCTCTCAACCGTACACTACGTCGCGCTTCCACGGCACCAATCGCTAAACCGGGCTATATCAGCTCGATCACGCCCCAGCAGCGCCAGCATCTTGACAATCTGGCTCCGTCGAATTTAGCGAGGAAGCCGAAGCAGACGAGGTTCCCTTTTGTAAAAATCAAGCGCTCGTTGCAGGCCAATGGGGATAATGATGATGTGAAGGGGGATAGTACAGTGCAGGGTTCTGCAGATGAGAACACCCCATTACTGGGGTCTTGAAAATAGAAAGTGTTTGGGCTTGTGTTTGGATATAGTACGATACTTTGTAGCAATTCATGGATAATGGAAAAGTGTTCAGGCAATTAAGATACTAGCCGTTGATGAGAGGTATGGATGGAAACAACGCTGTTTGTATAATGTAGCCTCTGCAGGCTCATCGAATAGGGAATGTTTGGGTATACATAATGCAGCGCTAAGTTCGTGCCATGGTAAATCAATTCAGTCTAGTGTTCTATTAATACGGTCTTTCTGTAAATAATTCGTATGTGATTTCATTTCATAAAAAAAAAACCAACTAAAATAAATCGCCAGCGATGACAAGTTAGTATGCTCATCTTCGTGCCTTATGTATGCGCATGAAATGCAAAGCTTCCTCCCATCGTAATCATTAAGGTCTTCTGTCTATTCAAAGAGCGCAGGCTCAAACCCACGTCGCTGCTCAAACAGACTCAAAATAGGAATAAAAAGGTGCTTTCCCTCCGTCTCCCTCCCCTCCTTATCAGCCTGGACCTGCTTCTCCCAGTCCCCCCTCAGCTCCTCCCATCCAACCCAGCGCCACTCGGCACACTTGTGTGGTTCCAGAATCTGTCAAACCATTAGCACCAACTTCAACAAACCTCTCTCTACCCGTAGGTAGACATATATCTTTATGTGTTTGTTTGTTAAACAACGAAAAGACTAACCTCGGGCTCCTGTCCCTCCTTAACCCTCGCGCCTACAAAGACAGTAACATAGTGCTTCCCGTCCTTGGGCATAATATCATTAGTCGCAGTGAGGAATTGCACATTCTCGATATCGAGGCCAGTTTCTTCCTTCAGTTCGCGGATCGCGCACTCTTCGAAGGATTCGTTGAATTCGATATGACCGCCGGGGAGCGCCCATGTGTCTGTTTCATAATGTTAGTATTCTTTATATCTTTATATTCCTCTTTCCATTGAAGAGGTTGGATTGAATCAAAGGACGCGGGGGTGTTTGATAAGATTGAGAGAGCGGGGTGGGCACGTACTTGCACCATGGGAGCCTATCCTCTTCCCGAAGACGAATTTATTTTCGTGGTTGAGGGCGAAGACAGCCACACCGACGCGGACAGTGTTGTTGGCCATTTTGGTATTGGTTGTTGGTTGTTGGGTAAGATAGAGTAGAAAGTAAAAGGTTGATGAGTTTGTGATCGGCGCGAAAAGGCAGAAATCGGAAAATGGAATGCAGAGTGAATGTTGTGGTTACAGATAGATGAGAATCCAGGTATATTATATAGATTCTACAGCAAAGCAAGAGTTTCAAGTTACATGGTCAAGATGAAGTTAGTTTTCTTTATGAGTTCCAGTTCCTTGTAACATGAGGCTGTGTGCATTGGTGCTTTGACGCAGGGCTCAAAGGCGCCTTGGCGGCACGGGGCTGAATCACTGAGTGGCTGTTTGTTACTGTGAGACCCCCCATGTCGCAGCCGCCCGACTGTCTGCCTTGTTAGTCGGTGAATTAATTATCCAATGAATAAAATACAAAACCAAGTTGGTAAATATTATACAATGGAGGTGTGGCTGAGATGTGGCTACAGCTGTGCTAACAGCGACTGCACGACGGACGACAGGTCCTTGAAAGCCACATCCTGCCGCACCCCTAAGCGCCGACATTGCACTTCCAAAGTCTGTTGTTTCTTCCAGCCCTTGCCTATTACGACAATTACCGGGTATCCGATAAGGTCTGCATCTCCAAGTTTCCATCCCATCTGCTTGTCGCTGCGGTCGTCGAGAATGACGTCGACAGGTGAGGCTTTGTCGGAGACCAGTTCGTCGTAGACCTTCTCGGCGACCTCTTCCTGACCCTCTGTGGAGACAACAACCACTTCAAATGGTGCCATAGCCCTGGGCCAGTTCAAGCCCTTGGTATCCGCGAGAATATCAGCGACGGCAGCAATCATTCGGGAGACTCCGATCCCATGGCAACCCATTTGCATTGGCACCACAGCGCCTTCCTCGTTTTTGACAGACGCCGCGAGAGCCTCGCTGTACCTCGTTCCAAGGTGGAACGTGTGACCTAGCTCAACGGCTGTGTGTGTTTTCAGCGCGCCCTGCGTACATTTGGGGCATTGGTCGCCGTCGTGGACTTTGATTAGGTTCAGCTTGTGGCTAGTTCCTGGGAACGTGTCCAGCCGCAGAAACTCTATGTCCTCAGCGGCGCAGCCAGCCTCATGGAGGATATTGAGCGGCGGCCTATTGTAAACATGTACGAGCGAGTCATACACATCCAGCAGCTGCGGAGGCTCTGCGGGAGCATCAGAAACTGCCTTGGTGGACTTTACATACGCGGTCCACTGCTCTAGTGGGTTCTCCACACTGATATCAAGTTCAATGCCTGCGGCGCTGGCAATGGCTTTGACGGCGTGGGAGTTGACCTCCCTACTCACGGGGTCTGTGTTGTCGCCTTGCACGGTGAACTCGGGGTACCAACCGCGAAGTAACGTCCTCTTGTCCTTTGAAATCGCCATCCAAAGGCCTGTCGAAACTCTCGAACCAGTTGAGGTGGTTCGACCCTCCACGTCAAACCCAGGGGCTGAATCAGCCGAGTGTTGATGCTGTGAAATTTCGTTGGCTTTTCCATCTGCAAGTTCCTCGTTGTACACGCTGTCACAGTTGGAGCAGCTGACAACTGTATCTTCGCCTTTCGTGCTGAGGAAGTGGAACTCATGACTCAGGCTTCCACCCATGTTACCCGAATCCGCAGCTGCCATTAAATACGGTATTTTCAAGTCGTTAAACAGATTCGTGTATGCGCTCCTCACTAGCTCGTATGTTTTCAGAGCATTTTCGACATTATGGTCGAAAGTATAGAGATCCTTCATGACGAATTCTCGACCACGAAGGAGGCCTTGCCGCGGCCTTGGCTCATCTCTGTACTTCCTGGCTACAATAATCAGCCAAAGGTCTTGGAAGTTTTATTTTAACTTACAAATCTGGTACACCCTAACGGGTAGGTCTCTATATGATTTAGTGAGGCTCCCCACCAGGGTAGTGATTTCCTCCTCGTGCGTTGGCGCAAGGAGAAATCGAGATTCCTTTCTGTCCAGGAAGCGGAAAACCTAGACGTATAATTAGTGAATGATTATGAGCCAGTAGTATGCTTCTTACTTCAGAGCCTTCCTTCAGCCGCCCAGACTGCTCCCAGAGCTCCTGCGCCGAGATTGAAGACAGAGAAACTTTTGAAGCGCCTGGGCAAGTCAGCTGGTGTTCATACAGGGCTGTGTAGTAAGATACCTACCCACTGACTGCATGTGTCGGTCAATCAGCCGTTCTAGCTTTTCTTGTACCCGCAATCCTAGAGGCAGCATATGAAAGATTCCCGAGTAAGCCTAGGATTGTCAGCACAGCCAACTCCTTGTGGATACGCCGGGCGTCTAGTACCTTTCGGAAGAAAGATGCCTGGACCATCAGGTCATTCACATCCCCTTGCAGCCGTCAGCCATGATTCCATATAGCAAAGTAACGCATGATACGTACCTGTTTCAACATTCGCCTTTTTCTTTGGGACCCTCTCCGTCGGCATCCAAAAATTGGATACTCGACTCCGGCCATCGGTCTATCCAGCCTCATTAGTAATCTATACCAAGCTCGCGCTAAAGGAACATACATGGAAGTCACATCTTGCTATTCGATATAGTCGCAAATTCCAAGTGTATGTTGGGGAAGGCCTCAGGAACCGGCCGGCAGCCGGGCGAAACCCGGATATCATGGATGATTCGTATCCCAATCGCACCCACGATGCAAGATAAATGACCCAGACCACCCAGCAAAACCAAACCCGGCCCAAGAAGAGAGATTCAGTACTCCTCGTGCTTTGCAATGGAGAAGACTATACAGCGAAACATGCGATGCGTCAAGGAGCGGCCGCCAGTCACGTGAGCGGGAAAGGCACTAGCCCATCAAAAGGCGGACTAAAATTTCGGGCGGCAGAAAAAGAAAAAAAGTGAGGAGAAAATAAGAAGTTGGATATCGACAGCCTACAAGCCGGGGCCATTTTTTTAAACCTGATCATGGCTAAAGGCAAGCAAAAGCAGATTACTGGGGCGAACTCGGTCGCCGTCAAAAACAGAGCTACCGACAATGCCTCCAAGCCTGGAGCAGACGCTCTTCCTCCGATGGAGGAGAGTGCTTTTGCGGGCCTCCGCCAAAAGATCGAGCAGAGGTTGAAAGATGGCGCTGCGAAGCAGAAATCGAAGAACAATAAACCAAAGTCGACCCCGGCCGGGGATGCGAAGAACTCCAAGGATAACTCTACGAAATCCAATTCGAACCAATCCAACTCCGAGAAGAATGTCAAGGGCAAGAAGCGGGATCGCAACGGCGAGGTGATTGCTCATGATGAGAAAGAGGACGGGAAATCGCAAAACTCCAAGTCGGATAAGGTAGACGGCGATGATACTCTTCGGCAGGAAATATTGGCTCTTGGTGGAACTGAGGAAGATCTTGAGTTGCTTGCGGGGGTTGATTCCGAGTCGGAAGTGGAGGACGCGAAGACCTCGAAGAAGTCGCAGGGGTCCTCGGAGGATCTACTGAGAAAGGAGCTGTCGAGTATGCTCGCCGCAGCTGGTCAGGTCGTTCCCGAGGATCTTGCAGATGACGATGTAGAGGAAGAGGAGGGCGATGAGGAAGAAGACGATGAGGAGGAACTTGAGGGAGACGGAGAGGAGGAGGAGGAGCCTGCCGATGAAGAGGATAGCGCTGAGGATTCGTTATCTGAGGAAGCACCTTCTCCGGAGGTTAAGAAGTCAACTAAGAAGGAGACCAAAGAAGCCGTGCCGGAAACCATCTTCCCCAAAGAGTTCTCGAAGCTTGTAAGTGGCGTCGCCTACATTGCGGAAGCTGCATACTAACTGAACGCTTAGGCCGTCCAACCTAGATCCGACTGGTACAACACGACTCTTGCACCTATCTCAGCGAAACAAGCCACTGGTCTTCCTCGGCATATAGTCGACCGCGTCCACAACTATGCCATTTCGCTCCTTGAGAAGGAAAACAAGATGTACGGTGAGGCTCAGCAGGCCTCGGCATCTTCCTCATACAAGTTCTACAGCACCATCATGTCAACCGGTACGCTCAGCGATAAAATCTCGGCCTTGACGCTGGGCGTTCAAGAGTCACCATTGCACAACACCAAATCGCTAGAGAACCTGGTCTCGCTCGGAAAGAAGCGTAGCCGTTCCCAGGCTGTTGATGTGCTTCGATCATTGAAGGATATGTTTTCGCAAGGTACCTTACTTCCAAACGATCGTCGGCTACGTGCGTTCTCGAACCAGCCAGCGTTTGTCGCCGCCTTCCAAAGCGCCGGCAGCAAATGGTCCGAAGGAGATGCACTTCCCGGCGGTCTCCAAGAAAGTCATCTCATTGTATGGGCGTTCGAGCACTTCCTTAAAGACCAATTCTTTGAAGTACTGAAAATCTTGGAAGTCTGGTGCAATGATGAAATTGAATTCTCGCGCTCCAGAGCGGTTAGCTATGTCTTTGAGCTTCTCAAGGAGAAGCCAGAGCAAGAGGCCAACTTGCTACGGTTGCTTGTCAACAAGCTCGGTGACACATCGAAGAAAATCGCATCACGAGCATCATACCTACTTCTACAGCTGGAACAATCACACCCATTGATGAAGCCCACGATCATCAAGGCAGTTGAGGAAGTCCTTTTCCGACCTGGTCAAAGCCAGCACGCCAAGTACTACTCCATCATCACCCTGAACCAGACTGTGCTCAGTAGCAAGGAAGAAGAGGTCGGAGTTCGGCTGCTCGACATCTACTTCTCTCTTTTCGTTGTCTTGCTGAAACCTTCCAAGCATCACAAGTTCAACAAAAACGACAAGAAGCATGGCAAAGGCAATAAAAAACAAAGCGCCAAGGACAAGGATAACTCCGAAGCACAGAACGAGGAAATGCAGGATAAGCTGGTCTCTGCGGTGTTGACAGGTGTTAACCGAGCTTATCCATTTACGAGCTCAAATACAGAGAGGTATGCAGTTTACCGGTTGGTCCAAGTCAAAACCGTAGCTAACATTTGACAGGTTATCGAAGCACATCGAGACCCTCTTCCGGATCACTCACTCCTCAAATTTCAACACCAGCATCCAGGCCCTAATGCTGATCCAGCAGTTGACGTCGACTCATCAAGTATCTAGCGATCGCTTTTACCGAACCCTCTACGAGTCTCTGCTTGACCCCCGAGTTGCTACGTCGTCGAAGCAGTCTCTGTATCTTAACTTGTTATTCAAGGCTCTCAAGAACGACGTCAACGTCCGGCGGATCAAGGCGTTCGTAAAGCGCATTGTCCAGGTCCTTGGGTTACAC